CAAATTAATTCTACAATTATGATGTGCATGTACATGTAAGTGTAAATAGCTTGCTCAAATGCGTTGAATATTTCTAGCAATTATTCAATCTTTCTGAAAATGAAGTTGAAATAAGCAATTAAAATATTAATATAATAATATAGATTTATCATCTGCTTATTAAGCAATATTTTATTTTGATATACTTCTATGGTTACATTGATTATTTTTTAAGGTCGTTCATTCAATGAATTGGGGCTTATCTTCAGACATGTACATGTATGTTTTGATATCAATATAGGAACAAAGACGAGCAAACATGTAGGCCTACTATTTTAGTCGCCGTCTTAGAATTGTGACGTCATATGAAAAATACATGTTCGTCATTTGCTGTTAAATTTTCCAAGGAACAAGTCTGTCAAGTTCCTCATCAATCCTACTTGAATTGGTGGAGCCCTAAGAGTGTTGCACCTGAAAAGAACAAAAAGAACATGGAGTAGCTCTTGGGGTTCAGTTCCTGGTCTAAAAATCGTGGTCTATGTCTCACATTACTTGAAACATCAAGAACTTACTTCTAATGCATTGATGCTACAGTATCTGTACATATTTATTGGACCAGGAACTAGGCCCCAAGGACTGGTCATCTTGTTGCTCTTGTTGTTCTTGTTGTCTGTACTCGGTTCATAGTAAGCATAAGTTGTTTTTGTAGTTAGATTGGTAATCCTGTGAAAACCCCATTTCTGATCAAATTGATTTTAATCTCTTTAATCTCTATATGAATATCTTATTTTGTGTGGATGTGTGCAATTAATTTGTTTATTTTATTCAGTTAAAGTGCACATTGGAACTTAGTCATGGAAGTTGTGAGCTGTAAAAATGTACATTTGTACAATAATCATAATTTAATAAAATACAGGGAAAGCAACTTGTTACATTTAAGACATTAATTTCTTGATGATATTTACAGTAACACATATTAAACCACATATAAATGTATATGTATATGTATAAGCATTGTATGTTATATTGTGTGATCTTTGTTAGAAAGTGGAACATATATATATTAATGTGTAGATCTGACAGACTTCATCACAGAAAATTAAAAACAATATATGTAGGGTTGAACAAACTTCTGTAACTAATAATAAAACTGTAAGTAAATATACTCTTATTTAGTGGAGTGATCAAATAATATTGACAAAGACAACTATGATCAATTCTTACTACCGGTACATCTATTTATAGTGTTCATTTTTCCACAGGTTCTATAATAATTGTTCTACATTTTTTGCTGTAGTGCCGGATATATACATGTACATATTTGCATCTTGAGACAAACTATTAATAAGCCAGATTTTATTTAGTGAAATAAATTTTGGTAGTTTTTTTCTTTAAGACATAATGTTAATGTCTTTTGAATACATGTAGTTTGTTTCGGAACGGTCTCTGAAAAGAAGAACTCCCCAGACCGTTTCTGTCCATTCTTACATGTACATGTAGGTTTTAGAAATAAGGTCAAGATTTGTACATTGGTTCAGTAAATTTTAATGATAACATTCTATATTCATCGTGTTCTGTGGATCATTGGCCAAATATAAACTGTGGAATAGCTGCTTTCACGTCTAGAATCTTAGTCTCATTGTGTCATTTTAACTACAATATTGTGCAAGATGAATTTCTAATAGGAATATCAGTCTAAGAAATAGTTCAAATCCATTCAGTACATGTATTTATAATACAAACATATCTATGCTTCTTTCTATAAGTCTGCTGCCATTTTGTTGTTGGCCTATAGAATCGATGAATCTGCTTTAAATCCGATTGAATCCAAGCTGGGAGATTATCTAGTATTTGCATTTTGATATTGTTTTCTTAATTAAATGTTAAATAATTTTATATTTTAGCAATAATTGAAAATGATGCATTGTTACTTTAACTGTGTACATGTAGGTGAAATTGAAACGATTATCAAAAAGGAGCATACATGTACATGCAGAAAGGACAGTCTATGGAAAGTACTGGTAATGTGTCCCATTCTAAACATATGACACCCACCTTAGATTAAATTTACTATAATATTACAGCGAATCTTACCCATGATAATCAAGGATACTATCTTTAATAGAAATTGTTTGTGACACCTAGGGAACTTTTCATTCCTGTCATATATTGTACCTTATATACATGTACGCTACTGCATGAACCTAGTGGAAAATGTTAGAGTGTTTTGTTTGTTGCCGATAATGTGTGTAGAAAGACAATTTAAAAAAAGGGTATGTGTTTATTTTGAAGAATTTGCGTTGTGTTGTGATGTGTGTAAAATAATTTAACCGGTAACTGCGTTTGTTTTTGTTTCCTTTACCCGTCTCAACCGTTAGTGCTTAGATATTGTTGACTTTCTTCTTACTCAGCTTTAACGTATTGATTTAGAAAGGGGTAAAACTTGGAGACACATAGTTTCGAGAAGATTTGAGATTTTACACTACCACATTATAACATTTTCGCCTGAATTGGTCTGTTTCTAACATGAACACTATTTTATGCCTTGGTCATAGGCTTACATGTATAATGATCTGGCACTGGTCCTGTTTATATTTAGTGAATGCTCAGCCTGCATACATGGGCCTAAATAAATGATAAAATATTTTAAATCAACTCATCATTGAGCTTTAAATTTGATCATTAAATGCTTTTATTTTCTTCCTTTAGGCTGATTTGGGAGATTTTGGCCTCAGATAATATTTAAATGATGTTAGAGTTAAAAGATAATGTGGTTGCTAACACATAGTATTAGGGCGGATAGAATTTTCATAAACCCATCAATATGTTATGACCTCGGGCATAATAATACTAAACAATATTTTTATCAATAAATGTTCTGAAACTCTCAAATGGACCATGACAATTTCTTTTCTTTACACTACACATTTAGTAGGTAACAATCACTACTTCCAGTTTATTGTACTTCGTGAGGTGTGGCTTTAATATAAAACTGGTAAACATATGGATTTATAGCATCAGAGGATCAAAAACACATACAACTGCGTTCATTTAGATTAGGGGTTGGGGACTCTATTTCAATTACTAGACACACTTTTGTAAAAACCCTTGACCATGCCAGGTGTGGTTTTTATCAAGTTAAAATTCTATTTTAATTATAAATTGCTATATTACACAATTTACTTGTACCCTTAAGGCGTAAAGATAGAAATAAGATGTAGTATGAGTTGATTATTTTATTTTGTCGATCAGGTAATACTTATTGATTACAGTACATGTATGTAAATATTCTAGTTTACATACATGACATACATTGTAATACTGAATGGAAGTACTATAGAATATTCAAAATTACCTCCCTATATTTTTTAAGACATGCTTAACTGTTATCAATCAGAAAAAATTGTCCATTAGATTGTCTTCTGCTGCATTTGCATAGTATTCCGGCATGAATGGGAGCTGAGAAGTTAATGATAATTCTTGTCATTACATGTTTTTCATTAATTTGGATCCATGACTTTTTAATACCGTACAAAAATATATATTTGTATATATTGTTATGATATAAAAGGGATCAAGAAGATTATTAATCGTGTTCATCCACATGTGAAGAAATTCTACACCTTATATTGATAAACACATGTAGACCTATTATTGGTATTTACTCTTGACTTCATAAGTTTATATACATGTACAATTAAAACCATGTTTATGAGAAGCGGATGAATATATATTGTAACAGAATTATTTTTGTTTTATTTGATGACAATATATCTATTTTATTTTGTACAGTAAAATGTATGTGATATGTTGGTTTGATCTGAAGAACAAAACAAAAAAAATTACACTAAGCTTGTACATGTACATTGTAGCATGCTCTATGTACAGTTCATTTCGACTGATTTCATTATTTCTTGACCATTAAGATTTTACTGATCACAGTGAATTTCCATGAAGTACTTTACTTATATAGAAAGCTGATCTTGTATTAGGTATATTTACTTAATCTACTCTAACAAACAGATCAGTAAAATATACAATTTGTTGTGTACAGAAAAAAAATTGACAATAGTAAACAAGGCAATAAAGACAACGTAAAGAGAAACAGGAGACTAGTTGATGTTCTATATGTAGATGTCCAAACCAGTTTAATGGGTAACTTTTTATTTTTATTGTTTGCCACAAACAGCATTTGAAAAAAACAACCCAGCAGAATAAAACATTAATCTTGATGTGTTAAGCATACATGTACATGTATATTCTTCCCAGACAACACATCATATTTGGCCCAGACACGGCCCATATCTGGCAACAGCTGGCAAAATGATTGGGCCGGATATGGCATGCCACAGCTGGGCCAAGTCTGGCATATCTGGGCCGGACATGGCCCAGTCAGAGCCAGATCTGGCCCACATTCGCTAATGCACACGCCCGCCTTGTATGGGCCAGATCTGGCTAACAGCTGGCAAAGATATGGCCTGCCACATTTGGGCCAGAGATGGCACAACTGGCCCATACCTGGCCCAAATATGTCCCACACGTGAAAATCATGCCATGCCAGATGTGGGCCAAAGATGGCAACCTAAAAACATACGGTTAATCCCTGTCCTATCCGTTCTTAAAGTCAGAGGTTGGATAGCCTAGTTGGTTATCGCGTACGCTTGAAATTATAAGGTCTGTCATTGAGTCAAGTGGCGTGGTTTCGAATGCTCGCTTGTACGTGATAAGGAGTAGGGTCACCTGTCCAACCTCGTCGGTTTTCTCTGGGTCCTTTCCTCCCACTGCTAAAGAACCCTACACACAAGCAAGTTATTGAAATAGGGTTGAACCACATGTTAGTCCCAAAATGACCTAGTTTGTGTCAAATGGACGTTACAACCCATTTTTCTCTTTATCGCCCCTTCTTAAAGTCTATCCAGCCAAGACTGTCTTCCCAATTCCATTTCGTACTCCAGATAGTAGAAATTAAGGATATCTTGCATGCAGCTCAAACAACATACATTTACAACAAAAGCAAAATCTTCAATTATAAAATTTATTCATCCATATAACACAACACAGTTCTATGGATAACAATCACTATATTATATACACACGACGCTTCAACAAGAATTCACTGGTCGTTATAAGGCATATAAATTATCCATGTCAATATCATTGTTCCTGCAGCTGTCTCCTCCTCCTCTTCCCCTTGTTTTTGTTCTTCCCCCATTCAACCAGTTTTTTTACAACATTTTTGAAATTATTTTCCATTGCATCCTTGTGGTGAAGTTTGATCACACCTGCAATAAATGCAAAAAAATGTACTTAAAAAAACATGTTTTTCCTTCTTTATATCAAGCATGGCCTAGGGGTCTGTCAATGCAAGTACCAAAGTATTAAGTCAAATAATTCTTATTTGCCAAGGCAAAAGAATAGTTAAATGAAGTTATTTAAATAATGAAATCACATAAATCTTATCTAATTTAATATTATTGTAGAGAAAGTAATAAAATGTACTTATCTTTTTTATCTTTTAACTAAGTTCTGTGAAAATAATGCACAGTTGTGTACCACTGCAATGTCTTCAGTTTAGTACTAAATTCTATTAAGTTGTTTTATACTGAATTTTACAATTTTAAATTCAGCCAATGACCAAACAGATTTCAAGATAGTAAATGGGCTGTTAATTATGCTTTGTTGAAAGATTTACATGGTTGACCTGCTGGCTTCAACAAATTGTATAATCTGAGTACAGAATTTGCTATAGTAATTAAAATCTAACAACTTTGTAGCATGATACCCAACACTCAGGCTGTGTTCAAATAAACTTTGTCTTTATTTCATTGACTTCTTTCAAGAATAATTTATTATTTTTGCTTTAAAGATTTACATTTACTGGCTTTTTGGGGAGGGTGGGTTGAGAGGATTCCATTCATATTATATACAGTACATTCAAAAAATATTATTTTAAGACTGTAATAAAACTAATATAGAACACAGGAAAATTCTACTGGAAACTAGATGTCATATTCTGAGCCGAAATTTATTGTGTTGATATTTTGAGGCATTTGGCCAGTTGGATGTGGGCCATCTCTGGCCCAGATATGGCAAACTTCTCGCATAATATTATTTTTTCATATGTTTTGAATATAAAACAAAAAATTTAAAACTTTTAAACAAACTGACGAGATATTCTTAGATACCAATTACAAAAATAAGTTTAATTCATCAGTAGTGAGCCAATAGTTGCCAAGTGTTACCCAGACTATGGCCCACATGTGGCAACATCTGGCTGGATATGGGCCACATCTAGCCAGATGCTGCCAGATGTGGGCCATAGTAGGGCCAAAGCTGAGTGGCTGTCTGGGTTGTTGTCTTAAAGATTACTTCCCTTTCATTGTACATGTACATGTAATTTAAGATTTCCAGGTAGGATTTTAGTGAGGAAAATAATTTCAAAATTTTACAGTTAAATTTGTTTTCAAACCTTACATACATTTTTCATGAAATATATGTACATGTACTTGGTCTTTGATATTCATGAAATTCTGGATGAGATCGATTTAAGATAAGATTTTTCAATTATTCGTTCAGTTTTCTGCCTTGACAAATAATGTCAAAAATAGCTTGTTTATGCTAAGAAATCAATATTTTTTACCCCATTTTAGTATCAATGAGAGTCCTAATTTGATAGCTGCCGGTGACTACTCATAGCATTTTTGCAAAAATTTGAGTTTTCAATGCAGTTAGAAAGAGAAATAAAAATAGCAGTACTAGTACACGCCTTTTATTTCATTATTTCACCATGGTAAGAAAAGCCTCAACCTCAGTCTGATGTCCAAGTTAAATACCGGTAAGATCCTCAATAACCTACATTGTAGTTACACTACTTTACTTCTTTAGACGGAAAGGAAATTGTTGATTTTATTAAATTTCAATTTGATTTAAATCATAGAGGCTTAATTAGCTCCCTTACTGAATTTATTATTCACGAAAAAGAACAAATGCAATCGGGAATGCTGAACCTACATGTATAGTGAGATATAACGAGTCACAGAGATATGATCTTGAAAACAGATGTACAAACTAGTTATAGAAATTTACCGCAATCCATTGTCTTTAGAAAAACAATTTCACAGATATTTTGTACCCCATTCTTTTACAATACCTGTAACATCTGCTGAACTGAATTGACAAAATATTTCATGATGTTCATTTCATCTTTCTACAAATATGTATGGGAAGACAAATAATAGAGATAAAATATTCTGGTATAAAATGTGTCTTTAATACCAGTAGGCCTATTTACAAGTACAGACACCAGATTTTTTCAACAAAGGCTGGTGCACCATGACAAGATATGGTACAACCCACTTTATACAGTAACTTTAGTTCCTTTAGGATCTGTCTCTTATCGGACAATGTCCGCTGACAGTTCCTATTGTTTCCTATAGCTGCAATATGAAAATATGGTAAAATGTCGCTCTTCCCCACCTCTATCTCAGGCTATTTTGGAACCCTTACCTTCTATTTATCACCGTGATTTTTTATACGCCCACATTTTCATGTGGACGTATATTGTCGTCGCCCCTGTCCGTCCGTCCGTCCACAATTGTTTGTGGACTCTCTATAGGTCACAATTCTTATCCGATTTTGACGAAACTTTAAATATAGGTTTATCCCCAAAAAATCTTGGCTGCTTTCGATATTGGCATGTATCGGATCAAAACTTCATGGATTATGGCCCCTGTTTGTACGAAAAATCACGTTTTTAGCTTGTTGACCCTATAGAGGTCACAATTTTTATCTGATTTTGTTGAAACTTGAAATGTATATTTATAACACAAAGATCTCGGTTCCTTTCGCATATCGGACCGTAACTTCCTGAATTATGGCCCTTGATTGTACGAAAAATCACGTTTTTAGCTTGTGGACCCTATAGAGGTCATAATTTTTATCCGATTTAAAAAACCATATTTTTATATCACCGTTTCACCCTAAAGATGGCTGAGTTCGAATTTCGTGAAAATCGGCCCAAAACTGACAGACAAAATGGCCGCCCTTCGTTCTCAAATAGCGTAAAAATATGGTATATCAAGGTTGTGGACCCTATAGAGGTCACAATTTTTATCCGATTTTGTTGAAACTTAAAATGTAAGTTTATAACCCAAAGATCTCATTTCATCTCGATATTCACGCATATTGGACTGTAACTTCCTGAATTATGGCCCCTGATTGTACGAAAAATCGCGTTTTTAGCTTGTGGACCCTGTAGAGGTCATAATTTTTATCCGATTTAAAAAAACGTATTATAATATCACCGTTACACCCTAAGGACGGAAGAGTTCGAATTTCGTGAAAATCGGGCCAAAACTGATGGACAAAATGGCCACCCTTCGTTCTCAAATATGGTATATCAAGGTTGTGGACCCTATAGAGGTCACAATTTTTATCCGATTTTATTGGAACATGAAATGTAAGTTTATAACCCAAAGATCTCGGTTTCTTTCAATATTCGCGCATATCAGAATGTAACTTCCTGAATTATGGCCCCTGATTGTACGAAAAATCGCGTTTTTAGCTTGTGGACCCAATAGAGGTCATAATTTATATCCGATTTAAAAAAACCGTATTATTATATCACCGTTACACCTCTAGGACGGCTGAGTTCGAATTTTGTGAAAATCGGCCCAGAACTGACAGACAAAATGGCCGCCCTTCATTCTCAAATAGTGTAAAAATATGGTATATCAAGGTTGTGGACCCAATAGAGGTCGCAATGTTTATCCAATTTTGTTGAAACTTGAAATGTAAGTTTATAACCCGAAGATCTCGGTCCCTTACGATATTCGTGCATATTGAACTGTAACTTCCTGAATTTCGTGAAAATTGGCCCAAAACTGACAGACAAAATGGCCGCCCTTCGTTCTCAAATAGCCCAAAAAATATGGTATATCAAGGTTGTGCACCCTATAGAGGTCACAATTTTTATCTGATTTTGTTGAAACTTGTAATGTAAGTTTATAACGCAAAGATCTCAGTTCCTTTCGAAATTTGCACATATTGAATTGTAATTTCCTGAATTATGGCCCTTGATTGAAGGAAAAATCACTTTCTTTTTAGCTTGTTCTCTATCCATCTCTCGAAAAATGTGGGCGTATCCTGCCTGGCAGCCGCTGGTTTTATTTTTCGCAAAAGGAATCAATTCTCGACATATCTGATACAAATTTATAAAAAATTCAACACCATTTGCAAGTAGAATTTTGCCATTAAATAAACATGTTTGAGTCTCGTAATGGCTGATCAATTCAAACGTATTTTGTGTAGGTTTTAATAGCAAAATTCTTCTTAAAAATAGTGTTGAATTATTATAAATGTGTGTCAGCTGTGGCAAGAAATTATTCCTTGGCAAACAAATAAGAATCATGGTGAAAAATAGTCGACAAGGATTCCAAAATAGCCTTAGACCAGAGGTGGGGATGAGCTGTATTTTCATATTGCAGCTATAGGAAGCGATAGGAACTGTCAGCGGACATCGTCCGATTAGAGACAGTTCCAAAAGGAACTACAGTAACTTATGCTCTGCTGAGCACCTCACCCCCTCCATGGATCCTCCCCGAAAATTGTATAATACATATATCTCACGATAAATATTATATGATATGTATACATGTATTATTTCGGGTGTATATGTACACAGTAAAAGGTGTTATGTGTACCATCTTGTTCAGAGTTGCCAAGTTATGTTGATTTGTCTCTGACTTGAATATTTTCACATGTCGAAATTGTCTTTACCTAAACGGTCACCTGGGTTATAACCTAACTTGTATCTGTATTGGCAAATATTGAAATAATACCCCTCTTATTGGTATGCTATGCTAGAAGGTACTTGCACCAACTGGTTAATAACATTAGGTCCAGAAGGACAAAACAATGAGGCTTTGACTAAAGGATACAATTCATACAATGTACAGATAGGCTCATTTGTAGACATCGACCTCAAAATGTTTGTGTTGATCTAACAAAGTAGTTCAGTATGCCTACGTCAGGGGTGGAAAATTTCAGTCTTTACAGTGGATCAATGGTATAAGAATTGTTTATTTGTTTGCAGTTCATTTCATATGTATCATGTTAACTCCTAATGGTACAGGGTACAAAACATAACTAATTTCAATTGATGGCAATAAAATTTGAATGTTTAATGTTATTGTAGTACATGCTGTTACACTATCTGCTGTTTCTGCCAGAGGATTTCAAAATTTCTGCACTGAAATTACCCCTTTTCATACGCCAACATTTTCATGGGGACGTATATTGTTGTCGCACCAGTCCATCTGTCCGAACGTCTACAGGTCACAATTCTTATCCGATTTTGACCAATCTGATTAAAACACAGACCCTATTTCGTTGTGTTTTTTATAGTTTGAAATTTTGTTTTATTTGTCTGTACTACACTAGGATCTGGAAGAGTCATTATATAACATGCATTCTGGATGGCGTGAGGTATTAGCCTATGAAACCATACAGGTCACAATTCTTATCCGATTTTGACCAATCTCATTAAAACACAGACCCTATTTCGTTGTGTTTTTTATAGTTTGAAATTTCGTTTTATTTGTCTGTACTACACTAATATTAGCCTATGAAACCATCTGTTACGACGTGCCATGCATGGAACTGTGAATAAACCACTAGAAACGTCAACGCTGATTGATTAATCAATGTCTGACGTCATACGGTCAAAAGCCACTGGTACGACCCATGATGAGACCTTTAAGTAAAACTGGTCAGATCTTCATGTAGTGTAGGCCATCGAAAGTATAAAAAAACGAAACGAACTATAGATTTGTATTTTAATCAGATTGGATATTGATGAAACTTGAAATACAGGTTTATCTCCAAAAGATCTCGGTTCCTTTCAATATTGGCATGTATCGGATCAATAGTTCATGGATTATGGCCCCTGACTGTCATGTTTTTAGCTTGTGGACACTCTAGAGGTCACAATTTTTATCCGATTTAGATGAAACTAGAAATGTATGTTATAACCCAAAGATCTCGGTTCCTTTCGATTTTTGCGCACATTGGACCGCAAATTCCTGAAATATGCTCCCTGATTGTACGAAAAATCACGTTTTTGACTTGTGGTACCTCTAGAGGTCACAATTTTTAACCGATTTAATAAACCATTCAAATATATCACCATTACACCATGATGAAGACTGAGTTCGAATTTCGTGAAAATCGGACCAAAACTGCCAGACAAAATGGCTACTCTTGTACGCAAATAGTTTTAAAGTAGGCCTAAGTAATATCAAGGTTTTGGACCCTCTAGATTTCACAATTTTGATCTGATTCTAATGAAACTGAAATAATATGTTTATATCCCAATGATCTTGGTTGCTTTCGATATTCGCGCATATCAGACCTTAACTTCCTGGTTATGGCCCGATTGCATAAAAAATCGCGTTTTTAGATTGTGGAACATCTAGAAGTCACCATTTTTATCCAATTTTAACAAACATTTGAAAAAATCATTCTTACACCCTAGTGACGGTTAAGTTTGAATTTCGAGAAAATCGGACCAAAGCTGCCTGACAAAATCGCCGTTCCTTGTACGCAAATTGTGTAAAAGTATGTAAATACATGTACATGTACCAAGGTTGTGGACCCTCTAGAACATTCGACATACCTCGACAGATTCTACGCATCTAAACTCGGCTGTATGACCATTTCCGACATATTTGAACTATTTTAAAGGTTCCGAATGAAAAATGGCTGCCCCCATGGAGATTTCTGTGGAGAGTGTATTATATCAACAAACGTGACACGTTTGGCATTGGGTTTGGGGAATTACCAGGGAATTTTATCAAACCAGCAGCCTTGAGACAATATCTCTGCTCATTTAGGTATATACACTCTACAAAAACGTTTTCCTGTTTAAAGTAAACCGGCAGCGGCATCGCAAATGTATGGGCGTAGGTACATATCACTTACTGTCATACAGCCGAGATTAGATGTAGGGTAACGGAATCTGTCGAGATTTGCCGAGTGCCCTCTAGAAGTCACAATTTTTATCAGATTTTGATGAAATGTAAAATATATGTTTATGTCTCAAAGATCTCAGTTCCTTTTGCTATTTGTGCATATCAGGCTGTAACTTTCTGGATTATGGCCCCTGATTGTACGAAAAATCGCATTTTTAGCTTGTGGATCCTCATTAGGTTACACGTTTTATCCGATTTTAAAAAAAATTATCCGATTTTATCACCGTTACACCATAATAATTGTTGAGTTTGAATTTCGTAATAATAAAAACGAAACTGCCAGACAAAATGACTGCTCCTTGTACGCATTGGCCGGGAACTAGTTGCCTGGGGACAAGTTGTCGGACGAATTGTCCCGTACCTACACAAATAATGTCTAAAGTATGTAAAACCAAGGTTGTGGACCCTCTAGAGGTCAGAATATTTATCCGATTTTGATGAAACTTAAAATATATTTTTATATCCCGAAAATCTTGGTTCCTTTAGATATTCATGCATATCGGACTGTAACGTCTTGGATTATGGCCCCTGATTTTACAAAAAATCGCTTCTTTTTTTAAGCTTGTTCTCTGTCCATTTTTGCAAAATGTGGGCATATCTTGCATGGCAACCGCTGGCTAATGATCAGGTTCTGTATTTTTACATTCACTTCCAAATCAACACAATAGCAGGTTTATCAACAAAAAATGTTACCTTGTCGTTATTAAAGGACTGTAATTCTAAACTTATTAGACCCCTAAAAGCTTGAATGTGAAAGTAAAAACACAGGTTATATGCTTTCATAAAAAGAATCAAATTGAATGAACAATAACAATACTAAGAGATACATTTCTTCCATATTCTTGTGGGCTCAAAGGGTGTTTATTCAAACAAACGGGAAGAGATTCTTCCCTTTCTGAATGCCTCCAATACTTTGTAAAACTGAGTAACCCATTGTTTCTCAATGAAATTTAAGTCTCTTGTAGTCCTAGACGCTTATATTCATTAAAATATTTGAAACCTGAAAAAACATTTTCTTAGCCAGTTACCTTCTTCAACAGTTTTAAGTTTCAGTATTTCCAACATCTTCATATATTTTTTGTCATTGATGTTTATTCTTCAAATAAATTTTTTCGCGTTCATTAAATAATTGTTTTGTTTTATCGACTGTCAGTGCTGTAAGTTTTTTGTCATAACGTGTAGTTCTGATGAACATACAAACACATCTGGATATCACTGTCATATGTTTGGATTGTAAAGTGGTCTTATTGTAATGGTTGTTATTCATTGCCAATACAAAATCTGGAGTGATATGGTATCTTAAAGAAATTGTGTGCCCCAAAATTTGACTGTCAATATGTGCCCCCTGTTTGAAAGTTTCTTATAATGGGCAGTTCAAGTGTGTACTTAAGGTAAGTGATAGAAAGGGTAGTAATACTTTCAGCAAAATAAATAAAACTAGGTAGATCATAACTTTCAAATTGTTGAAGTTGTTTAGTTTGTTCTTTATGATAATAGCAAAGAGACAAGATTTTGCACTCATGTTACTTTATGGGGTTAAAAGTAGTCTATAAAGTTACACCCTTTTATTATTGTAATTTACCAAATTGTGGTGTCAATTTAAAAAATCTGTCTATTTCAAAAAGTTACTTTATACATGTGATGCTTTGTCAGTTTATCCTTTAATGAGCAATAATCAATATACTGAAGGTGGAAGATGGTAATTTGATTTTTGTTCAATCCAGTATCTGTGGTAATGAATTCATTATTAAACTCCCAAGTCCCTTAGAATATATTATGTGTGTAGAGTACAACAGGAAGGGGATGGTTCAGAGTGGAGTCAACGTCAAGTTGGGCTTGAGATCTGGGGGATTAGCCAAAAAATTGTTTAAAATGGAAGCTCTGAGACAATATTTCTGCTCATTTAGGTGCATACATCTTTTGATTTGTTTGCTTAATGTTATTTCGATGAATGTAGGAGAAAAAATATGTTTTGGATATGCGCTGGTTAAATTTGAGATAAGTTTTATAAATTTTATTGATATTTCTCTTTCAGGAAGAGGCAACTTGTACATAAAAGTAAGCAGTAAGGGAATGAAAGAAGAGGGAAATAATGTTTGAATGCTTACTCACAATTATCTCATATTAACTGATCAAGGAGAGTACCATATCTTAACCTGTGATAAACCCAAGTCTTTCTACCAGATAATTAACAACCCTCCTCTTCTATAAAAGTGACACTGTTATTCATATAAAGGTGAGTTAATATATGACTAATAAATATTTCATAACCATCATGATTCTGTTTTATAGGTGGATCATGTCAGAGTATCAACCGATCTCAATATCCCCTTGATAAGTTGTTTATAGACTTAGTTGCAAATCACATTGGGTTCATTTCCAAGTTACAAATCACAATACAGTGTTCATCAAATCAATATTGTATGTGGAAATCTTTCTTCACAGACATAATATAGTTTGTTCAAATTAGTTCTACTGCTATAAAAATTAATTCTGCTGCCATATGAAAATTAATTCTCTTCTTGTCCATAAGATTGGTGTAATCTTCTACAAGTACATCCATGTACATGTATCTGTCATTGGGATCAGGGACCCGGATCAGGTAGACCTCTATTGACATTAATGGTGTATCATTTCAGAAAAGTGTAGAAATCAGAATAATAAATCAGAATAATAAATCTTAATATTGTTTTACCACCACATTAGGTAAGAGTCAGGCGTAAATTTATCAATTTCATCATTTAGCCAATTAAGGTGTTAAAGTTGATAAAATAAGATAATGCTTCTCTATATTTGAGTTTTATTGATAAAATTGTTGTCATAGCAACAAGTATTACAGTAGGGTGTGGTTAGTGTGTTTATTTCACAAGAGCAATCTTTAGTAGTGGATGCCATGGAACTTGTAAGTCATTGATTATAAATTTTCAATCAATATTTTAGAGGTACACATGTATATTTTAGCATGAACAGTGATTAGGGAACAGGCTACATGTGTATACATGAAAAGCTACATTTTCCTACATGTCAAATTATCTGTGCAGTTTTTTCCCTCATATAATATTTCCTATTTAAATATTTATTGAAATAGATTACATGTATGTACATGTATAAATGTAATATAAATAACAATATGCAATACAGAATTATTGATAAATATTGAACTATGTCAGTAACGTTACAGGGTAGATTCATATTAGTCTCACCTTAATGTCCTGAAATAAACATTTAAATATGTCTAGATACTGCACTACCGTAGCAATATAGTTATTCATTTATAAAAACACACCGCATCCAGCCTTTGCACGGGGTTAAAGCCACATGTATCTACAAAATCATTGAATCTTACAAACGTCCACATTTCTCAAATATGTTTTTAAAAACTCTAATTCTTAAATTGGTAGGCTACCAAAATAACCTTTGGTTACATTACATTGTAAGTGACATCAGAGAGAGAGAGATACGAGGGGTATCCCAAAAAGTTTCCGATCTCCCTTAGTATTATGTGATCTATTTGAAAATTGTTATACTTATTTTTTAACATCTTCCTTTTCGATATCAATGCAATTGTTCCACCATTTAACCAGCATATTTAATCCATCAGCAATGTTTGTCACGTAACCCTAAAAACGGCTCCAAAATAGTGACCCATCCCAAATCTGCGGACAGATTTAAGTTGTGGGAAGATGAAGAAGTCAGAGAAAGCACAATTAATCTATGCAATATGCACCATTTATTGTGGAACCATTCCTTACATAATCTACCGATAGCCATTCTTTTGGCTGTAGGCGACATCACATGCTTCCACTGGGTCAAATAGATGAACCTGGGTTTTATCCTGAGTGACAATTTGACCCAAGAAAGCTCATGGATCTCACCAATAGTCCTTGAGAAGTTTTTGACTACTTACATGTATGACTCTCTGACCTTGTTCATGTGCAAATATTCATGGATTATTCATTTCACTGATGTTTTGCTAATGTCATGTGTAGTAGTTACATGTTCTAACAGTTACTCACCTGTCCTTCATTATTGTGTCGAGAACAGCATCAACTTTATCTTCAGTGCTGATCCTATCCGTTATAAATCCAGCACACCACAGTTTGAGTGTACTATGCGAAGGAGCTTTGTCACCTAATGTTTGTGTCTTTGGTGTAAACTGAAATGAAGTCACTTTATCATAGCTTTGCAACCGGTTTTATCCATTTTAATTGCAAATTAGAGGGTCAAGCATATGCTGAGATACTTTTCTAGCAACATGAGCAGATTGGTTGGGTTTTGGCGATCCGTTTATGGTGGGGCCTGAAACTTTTGGGACACCCCTTGTGCACAATGGGCATTAGTATGATGGCGATATATTATTCTTGCTTGCATAAACTTATAGTGATGACGACTAATTATTCTGGCTTGCATAGAATTATTACCACTTAAACCTATTGATATATATAACGCGGCCTGAAATTTTTCTAATTTACATGTCTTGTGTTTTTTTCTACAAAGATGCAATTTGTTTGTATTTCTACAAGGACATATATTATGCCTGTATCTGTGTGTATCATTAAATCTTCTGTCATCCTTCATTTATTTCGTTAAACAGATATATTGTATAAACCATAATGCATTATTAAAGCTATTATTATAAATATGAATATTACATTACAAAAGTATATTGTGTTACCAGACAAAATCTATTGAAAGATCGTCTATCATTTGTGTCATATTATGCTTAAATAAAAAACCATGAAAATAACACCCACATGTACATGTATATTGTATCAAGAGGGAAATTAAAGATCTTAATGATAAGACATCTTGATGATTGTATGAGTGAATAAATCATTAATATTGATTAAACATACATTATACAAGAGCTAAATCTGATTATTGCAAGTCTTTATTGAGGCTTCAGATGTCAAAGAAATTTTAAATTAGATCTTTATTTACACAACAAGCACAAAATCAACTCTGTAGACCCACGGATGGCTTGGATTTAAACAGGATTTCATTGATTGATTAAATTTTTAAATGGCATCGTAAGCGGAGATTAACCGTTACATTCACGTCCTACTCCCGGAAATTTTAGATCGGGGCTAAATGATAGAGTGTACGAAGCGAGGTCGCTGTTGAGGGAGGCCGCATGTCAGTCAATTTGATTGAAAGTTCGATATATACGGCCTTGATATTATGTTTAGTTGTGGTTACAATGAGAGTTTGGATGTCGGTATTATACACTCTTTTGTCACTTGCGTTTACAGAAAAATTATGGAAATTGATAAACATCGCAGCTAACATCGCCCCAGTTGAATTGCAGTCTGCTCCGGGGATTGCAATGGTGATAACTTTGTTCAGAATAAAGTAATTTGACTGAAATTTTCAATATATTCTTCTTTCATCATCTATTTTTGAACTGTTATAGAAAGAATGGCCAACTTTCTATTAAAATCTCCCATAATGTATCTTTAATGCCTCTGTTCATTAGAATAAACCTGGGGTATTGTATTATATTCAGAATGTCACAAGTGTTTATGTATGCATTGTTAGCCTACAGACAGACACATATATTTCAAAGCCTAATTCCTTTGACACTTTTTATATACTCTCCGATCATACCAATTACATGGTGCTCATCTGCAGGAGGATATTTCTTTTAACATCTGGCAATTTTTAATATGGGGTATTTCTTGTAGATGTTGATTTATTAAGTGATGATGGGTATAATAGTCATGCAGTATGCCATGAGGGTAATTGTGCTCCAGCAGTGGCATTTCCACCTACTCTTCATTGAATTCCAACTATTAATAAGGGTTAATCTTTTATATGAATGACACAGAGTACACAGATGGACCGTTGGTTTTTATACTATCAAAACATCTACCAGTAGTTGTTTTTTTCATTGAGGATCTCCATACTGCACCTTTGACATGGGTAAAACCAGGCTGGAAAATTATAGGAAACTCTTTTTGTCAACCTGGAATTGAATCCAGGACTTCCTGGTTAGTGAGGCACTGCTACCTTTGCTGTAATTTCAAATTTGTATTGTCTGTGCTCTTTCTTATGTTTTATGCAGTGTTCCTGCACTAGTATGCTGTGCAAATGCATGGAATTACCAGAAACTGATACAATATAATTGGCTCATTTCATGTCAAGTGGGCCAGGGTGGGAAATCGATCCCCTCGAAAAAATCTGAAAAAAAAATATGTTATGTGAAAACAAGAAACTGCAAAATTTGTGGTCTGTAGCTTAAAAATTGATTGAGATATGGGCATTTGAGTTTTATGAGTTACCGATAAGTTTTCGGAACAAAATATGTATCAATAATTACAATAACAATATATTTTTTCCAGATTTTTTGGGACGGGGTCGATTTCCCAGCTTTCTGAAAATTGACCCACTTGACATGGAATGAGCCAATTCTATAGTCATTGTGGGTGTTAGAGCTGTTGTTTGACTTGGTACTTTATTTCAAATTTGACAAACGCAGTTACAGAATAAATTAATTCTTGACTGTTATAAATAGTGATAACCTATCAAAATTGTAACCAGTGATAGAACAGCAAAGAACTGAATCAAACAGTGCAAAAAGTTTCAAGTCAAAATGTTCTTGCATAAGAAATCTATTCATGGAGCCCATTACCTGTAATTACATACCATTAATAGAATCAGGACAATGAAAACTGTTCTGTTTTGTGTTATAATTTGATTCAAGGTGAAATTGCCTATTTTCATTGTTCAGAATGATTGACCATGACAAGTCTGCTAGAATTTATCTTAAACTTTTGATATCAAAATCAATATGTTGTTTTCACTCTTGATATTATTGACTATGTATTCGTGATCGTTCAGATTGGGTTTGTCAGTTATATTATGGATATCAATAACAGATAATGCCATCTTGTTTACTAACCGTCCAAGAGTTTTCATTTCAAATTATTAACTAGAGGATAAAGTAGAATATTAGATAAAACCATTAGGCTTTAGCAGCACAATTATTGGTAAACATTCACAGTTATAAACAACCTTGTATTCATTTCCATAGCATTTCCAGAGACCTTAGTCTCTCATTGATTTTGCAGAGAAAAAGTATCAGCGATTGATTCTTGATTGAAATCTAATAATGCACCAAAGACATGCATCAGTTCACTTCCATCAGATTTAGTTTGAATCAAAATAAAGTCCTTTGTAGTTATAGTTTGGGGCATTGATCCTTTATAGATAGTGGGCGGTGGAGGAGCAGGAGAATAATCTTATATTTTTATAGTTCTTTAAGAGTGTTGTGCACATCAAAAAATAGTCCACCACCAACAGACAGTACTATAGCATAGCATTAACACTTTTCACTTCATGATTGGAATGGTGCAGCAATGTTGGTATTGGAAAATAGAGAGACCCAATCCTACTAGAATGATAAAAACAAATATGGGGCACGCACAAGACAAATATGTGATTTCTTCACTAAATGAATGCTTCTTATGTGTTGTGTTGATGGTTAACAGTTGTGAGAACATTGAGAGAATTAAACATCCAGTAGATTCTGCTATTAAACTCCTGAAAAAGAGGTTGGCAGAGAATACATGTACTCTTGGAATTTACTTAGGCTTCGATATTCAGGTAAATGTACAGTGATTAACGACAACTACAAGCTGACAATCACAAACAATTCACAAAATAAACAAGCCTGATTTCACGGCATGGAATAGTCTTCTTCAGATTAAAATGTATTGAAAGGGATTTGAAATAAACTTTTGATTTAGATAAATTAGTCTGAATATGTTTTTTGTCCAAATATATCATCAAATGAGACAATTTCTATGCAGGAAGGCATCTTTAAAACACTTGCTTTATTGCAAATTGACAAAATATAAGTTTCATGTTGTTACATAATGGCAGATGTTAATGATAGTTATTGTGCCATCTTGACACATGAAAGCAGAATGGATTAAAATATCCTTATGTCAGCTATTGACATCCATGGTAGTCCAGATTGCACTCATTAGGCATTACCATAATATAAACTTATAGCTGGCCCACTTTATGTAATGACATTTTTCTTGTAAAGCAATCTGTACTGAACGTTTAATCTGGTATATAATGCAATATAGCCAGCTGCATAATCTCTTCGATCATCTTTTGTCTAGAATGGGTTTAAAAGCAGAAATCAAAAGGGGATAGGCAGAGAAGGCCATGGGTACCTTGGCTTAAGGCTACAACCAGGGCCATGTAAGTTAGTTGGAAGGGGGACCCCCGCCGGTCTTAAGCACAGGCCAGAGCACCTGAGGTTAGCCGAGCTACATGTATGACCAGGGTTTTCTCAACACCAGTTAACTTTAAGGAGTCATTTACTTTATATTCCTACAAGAATAAAAGTTTTGTAAGATGTTAAACCAGAACCGATTCAAGGAACCTATAATCATTACCTAGATTGTAAGTAACCAATCCCCCAACTTGTTTCCTTAAATGATTTGAATAAAGGATGGGATATTTTCATATTGAATAATTTATGTTATTATTCTAAGATGGGGCAGCTAAAGTAACGTTATAGGAAATAACAAAACAGATCATGACAGAGTGATTGAAAACAATGTATATACTTGTTCACATGACCAGTTTGAAACAAAAAGTCAGTAAAAAATAAATTAAATATATAGTGGTATGGAATCTACCAGGTCAGTAATGAATAAATTATACATACAATAGTATTGAATCTACTACTGGATCAATAATACTTCTAAGAGTAGGTAGGAAGTACATGTAGACTATCAATTCCAAAATATGATAATGGTGGATATTCTAATATGCAGATAGGGTCTACAAATATTAGAGGCACATTGCGGTTGTGCCTCATCTAAATTATGGCAGTATTCAAAGTATCAAATAGAACCACCGCAGTGCATCCAAACTACAGTTAATTTGCTCACATTCGTTAAATCACATTTCTCTCTCTCTCTGATACACCAGTTTTGAAACATGCATTGGTTGCCTCATCCTTGGTATCCCCATTGGTCTCATTCCATTACAATATTTGCGTACAAGAAGCCGCCATTTTGTCAGGCAGTTTAAGTCCGATTTTCATGAAATCGGAACTCAACTGTCATTAGACCCTGTTACACCCTATTGACAGTTAAGTTCCAATTTCATGAAAATTGGACTAAAACTGCCTGACAAAATGGGGGCTTCTTGTATGCAAATATTGTAAAAATATGTCATACCAAGATTGTGGATCCTAGAAGTCACAAATTGTTATCCGATTTTGATGAAACTTAAAATATATGTTTATGTCCCAAAGATCTTGGTTCCTTTCGCTATTTACGCATATCAGACTGTAACTTCCTTGATTACGGCCCCTGACTGAACGAAAAATCATGCTTTTGTGGATTCTCTAGAGGTCACAGTCTACAGTATCCAGTGGCATGAAGAGTTGATTAATGTAAGTTAATTAATAGTCCATATAACATTTAAGGCATAAAGAAAGACCTACAATAGGCGGATTTATCTCTTGCATAATGCCTGTTTAATGTGCTCATAATGCTCTAGCCATCAGAAGGCCTATATCGTCGGAGAAGTGTCAAAAGGGTGTATCTAAGAATTTCTAAAGATTAAAGCGAGAATTTCAAATTTTCTAAGAAAGTCAAAACATAATTATTTCTATGTCTTTTGCTCAATAGGTTATCAAATCACTATTATACGATCATGGACATTATTTCCCACCCTTAAAAATCTATGACACAGGAAATAACACAATTACCTCCCCTGTTTTGCTATTGACAACATGGGGCAGCGATTTTCCAACGTTGGAATTTGAAGTTAAAAATGATATTTTTGCCAATTTCTCAGCTGGCAATAGCGAATTATAGGATTAATAGGATTATTCTTTAACAAGGTAGGACTGTTTATGGATACCATCTATTTTAAGGCTTTATTTTAATACATTTCAAAAATATAACTTGAAAATTTGCAATTGCAACTTTAAGAAATAAAACTTTTTGCATTTCAAAATTTCCACAAATCAAGATACAACCTTAAAAATACAAAAAAGTGTATTTGACTAATTTCCCGAGTTACACCCTTTTGACACTTCACCGATGATATGTGACTTTATACTTGTAGAAGTTTTTTGACAAATTACTGACCACGGCATTTAGTTTAAACGGTAAATACAAGAAACTTTCAGGATTTATTAGATGGAACTAATAGAGTTTCCGTTGTGGCTGAGTTAATAAAAGAGAAATTATACTCCTGTTAATCAAACACTCCTGAACATAATGCTGCATGCATTTAATCATTTAAACTTTAAATATTGATTAGAATGAGAGAATAATGAGTGCACATATACATGTGTTGTCTGTTTAAAATCTATCATTGCTTTGATTCAAACAGGATTAATTACAGTATTAATATTTGATTGTATCCCAGAAAGAATTGTTGCTTTTATTAAGAACTTGTCCATACTTATTGTGCTGGTGTTCATTCTCTTGCTTTTATGCTAATATTTGATTGTTGCCATATTACACATTGTTTTTTTCCATATTTAATGTTTATTCTTTTCCTGGAGAGCTGGTAATTGTAAACACTGATGTTATTCTTGTTTGATGTTCTGTTTTGATCTACCCACCTTAATAAATCCTATAAACTCATAACACAAGCGAATGGATTATAGTTGTTAATGCTCCTTTAAGGATTTGTGAAAATTATTTTATCATGATTCATGAAGTTTTTTAGATCAAGCCATTTATTTAAAGTGAATGTAACTTTGAGACAATATTAATTTATTGGGCATACACGGGATTAAAAAAGACATTTCAAATTAAAAGTAAGGTCCCATAAACAGTTTCCCATAAACATCCTTGAAAATATTTAAATACCTTTTTGATAATTAATTACAGACACATCACAAGTATAGTATCATAAAAATGGGGTTATGTTAAAGATGATTCCCAAGTTCAAACTGTATAATTTGTCTACGAAAAGTTTGCTTAAATTACCCCTCGAAACAATTGTAATCTCAAGAAAATACCCCCATGCTGCAAGAATCTATTTTAAGCCACCTTGTTTTTGTCATATGACATGATTCAGAGAAATCTATTTCAGCTTGTCTTTCTCATTAGTCAATGTCCATTTACCATAAAAGCCGAAGCCCGCCAATTTCTTTTTCTATTATTTAATCGCAGAGTCTACTGGATGTTGTTCTCAACCTTTAGACATGAGATCAACACATAAGGAGCGCACTTTTGTGTCACTCGAGCAGACAAGCTATCTTTTCTATTCATGAAAAGTCATATAAAGTTGAGAATTAGTAATAAACAAACATTTTTTTGTTTATCTTATCATTCAATATTACATTTTTTTGTGTTGCCAATATATATATATATATATATATATATATATATATATATATATATATATATATATCTATCTACATGTTAAATGCTAAAGGCATTAAAAGCAAATTAAAACATTGATTTCTATTTAGAAAATGAAATCATTTATGACAGAGTATATATGACCTCTTTTCTATTAGGTTGATTACTTTCCAATATTAAAGGTGATTTATATAGTTTTCTTATTGAAATGCAAACGGTCACAGTTTGTCTGTAGAATAATTCAGGTCAAACCATTCATATGGGTTTTAGTTTCAATAACCTACTAACACTATAAATGGGGATAAAACCAATGATTTTGAGACAGGTGCATGTACTTTTTATTTGAAAACTACATACTTTTATCAATCTTTAAAAATAGAATAAGAATTGTTCATAATATTGTTCAGTTATTCTTGCCCATCAATTTTTGTTTTATTTATTCCAGGAGGTATAATGGCAGGATGGTCGCTTTTTCAAAATAAAATAAACCAAAGATTTCTTAGTATTCTGTTACTAAGCCTTGTGATACAATTAGGTAAGTCCATGTACATTTATGTTAATAATTCATTTTTAGGAGTTCATACATGTAGATAGCAAAATTCTTTTTAAATTTTATTGGGCTTGTACCGTGTGTTTATTAGCTTTATTCTTGATTCAATTTAATCTGGTGTTTTTATTTCAATGCTTTGTCGTAGATCTCAGCATTTTATGTTTGTCTGCACAAATATGATCTCATACATGTGTAATAGAAACAATTATTTGGTATTCATGAAATTGTAAATTTCCCCGTATATCCCAGTAATTGGTTGGGTATTTTATTTGTTTACATCATTGATATTGTCTTTAACTAGTCACACACATTCTTTCTTTGTGTATATCAAACAGCACTTTTACTAGGTAAAACTACTACTGTTGTCTTCTTATATTTAGTTAGCGTCTACCTTGTTTACCTTAAGATGTTTTTAAGACGCCCATGGTTTTTCTTTTCTTCACTATAAATCTAAAAAACATATTTAACAGAATTTTAGCCATGCTTGTCTCTCCATAGCTTAACATCAACATTTTCAAATGGTGACTAACATAAAACACTCATACTTAAGTTGACCATATGCGTAGAATGAAAGTGACCATAATATATTCAAATTATTGAGTATACACAAAAATCGGAACTAATAGAGAATCTTTTGAAAACAGAAAATGTATTTAGATGCTGATATTAAAGATACAGATAAGTAATTATTAACCTTTTAATGGTACTCTTCTGACATTAATGGGTTGCGAATGAAATCAATAATTTTAATTCTGCTTACATGTTTAGATAGTATCATAGATATTATTGTTTTAAACTAATGATTTATCATTGAAGTTTAAACATAACATTAATTTAAGACATTGCTGTGAAAATTAAAGGCACACATACACACACACAAATTCCAGACTGTTTGATGGGACCAGTTTTGACTTCAGTCAAATTGATGCATTTGATATTAAAATAAGTTGATATACAATAATAAATAGAATACAATATGAAAAACAAATTACCATTTTTTCCAATTTTTCATCAGTAAATATACCAACTTATTCAGGGATTAAGAAGTATAAGTTAGTATTTTTACTGTAGAAATGTTGGATAAAATGATGGCTCTTTGATATTTTATTCTATTTATTATTGTATATCAACTTATTTTAATATCAAATGCACATCACTTTGATTTAAGTCAAATCACGTTTTTAGCTTGTGGATCCTCTATCTGATTTTGATTAAACTTAAAATATTTGTTTATATCCCAAAGATTTCAATTCCTTTTGATATTGACGCATGCTGGACCATATGACATCCTCGATTATGGTCCCTTTATTGTACGAAAATCACTCTTTTTTTTCTTGTTCTCTGTCCATCTCTTGCAAAATGTGGGCATATCTTGCATAGTGAACGCTTGTTGTCTGATTTTGATGATGAAATTTAATATATTTATTTATATCCCAAAGATCTCGATTCCTTTTGACATTGATGCATGCTGGACCATAACATCCTTGATTATGGCCCATTTATTGTACGAAAATCACTCTTTTTGCTTATTCTCTGTCCATCTCTTGCAAAATGTGGACATATCTTGAATGCCGAACGCTTGTTATCTGATTTTGATGAAACTTAAGATATATGTATATATCCCAAAGATCTTGGTTCTTTTTGATATTGACGCCTGTTCAACCGTAACATCCTGGATTATGGCCCCTCATGATTGTACACAAAAATTGCTTTTTTAGCTTGTTTTCTGTCCATCTCTTGTTTTGTACATTGTAAGATACATGTATATGTACTAATGAGATTAAATTTATATTACAGTTACCGCTAATAACCCTCCATATTTTATAAAATTCGAAAGTGCATTAGTTTGGCCAGAAGACACAGCTGTTGGTATGTAAACATTTTGGACAAAATCTGTTTTGCCATTATATTTGTTTTAATCATGCAGTTGTTTTAAACTTTGTGCAGAAGAGAAGGTCTATTTAATGCAAAATAATTTAATTTTACAAGTATGTTGCTGCTGATACTATGATCTAGATTTGATTCGTTGAAAGAAATTGATTGATGATCCATTAGTGTATTTCAAATTAATTTGTTTGAATAATACAACTTTAGTATTGCTTTTTGTAGGTACAATTTTAGGAAACTTAACTGGAGTAGATACAGATGGACCAGCTCCATTAGAATTTAAAACTGATACAACAGATACAGGAAATCTAGTAGAATTAAGTCCACCTCGTGATTTAGGTTCTGGTACCAGAATAGTTGATATTAAATTAAAAGCTGTTTTAGATAGAGATTATGTAAGTTATTCATATTTTTATTCGAAATGTAATGAAAGGCATATATTATACGATTAACTCAAACTAAAATCATGTAATAAAGGACACAAGATGATGTGTTTATAATATTGACCCATCTATGAATAAATCATGATACCAGAATAGTTGATATTAAATTAAAAGCTGTTTTAGATAGAGATTATGTAAGTTATTCATATTTTTATTCAAAATGTAATGAAAGGCATATATTATACGATTAACTCAAACTAAAATCATGTAATAAAGGACACAAGATGATGTGTTTATAATATTGACCCATCTATGAATAAGTCATGAAACATTATGGAAACACTACATAAAAGGTGGATCCCAGGGATTAGGAAAATGTTGGATTCTAATTTTAAAAAAAGGGCCATATGATATATCCACATTAATAAACACTTTAGTCATTGGAATATATCCAGCACAGTAAGATATGCAAGACTGCTTACAATTTTTTACCTAGTCTGAAACTAAACTGATTAAGTTATTTAAATGATATTTTCTTCTTAACAGGAACCGAGTGAAAGACAGCTATTCTTTAAAGTTTCTGATAAAACCAGTGAGGTAAAAACTATTTGATATCTACAAATGTCTAAAAAAAAGCCATTAATTTTATTTCATTTACTTAAATGAACAAGGATATCTTTAAATAGAATTAGTTTATGTGTTTATGCAAATTGTAGATTTATCTCTTTGCTTAAAAATTATTTATTATTTTCAGATTCCGGCTAAAATCACCTTATTTATTCGTGATGTAAATGATGTTAAACCACAGTTTAAAAATTTACCCTACAAGGCAACAGTTAATGAGGTAAACATTTAAAAATCATTAAATCTAATGGAAATGCATTAGGAGTGAGTTTATCTTTCAATCTGTTTACTTTTTAATCTTAAGTTTATGTTGACCTTTGTTGTTTGAAAACTATTGGTTCAAGCTCCTGTAAAATATATAACATGAGAATGTAATATATGTATAGGAATACTTCATCCTGTTGAACTTACTGTCAATATTAGAATTCAGAAATGATAAAACACAAGTTGAAAAAGTGTTTACTTTCTTTGCACCTGAACAGATTCCACAAGCTTGTGCCAAGAGAAGATTAGTTGACAAGATGCTTTCTAACTTGTATCTGTGAATTTACACAAAAAATCTGTTACAAGAGAAATTCAAATCAATATTGTTGAATAGCTCAGTAAAAAGATTAAAAATTTATAATATTTTCAGTTAATGCTAATTTGACAATAATTTAAAACTAATTGGTAAAGTATTGAAACTATTTTTTTTTTTTCTAAGGTGACACTTCTATTAGTAGGTCTAAATATGCAAAATGTTTTGCCAGGTTTTAATTTTTGGTCACTCTTCAGGATAACATTGAGGATGTGAAAACAATCAGACGTCTGTCATGCATGTTACTAACATATTGTTTTATGTGTGATTTTAGAGTGTCTCTCCAAATACTGTTATGTTTATGGGGGTAACTGCAGATGATCCAGATAATGGTAGAGGAGGAACTGTTCAGTACTCTATGGAGGTAGGAATAATAAATATTTGTTGTCACACATGTAGACCTATGTGTACATTAATTGCCATATTTATTCTGAAAAGTCAGTATATTAAAGTCTCTGAAGATCATGTAAGGAATTTTGAATCCCTTTCAAACTACAATATTGCAAAAATTGAATGTTTAAAAGGAATATCAGCCCAAAAGTCATTCAATTCTTTTTAGTATCTACAAAGATATACTGAATTGAAAATTTTACAACAGATAATTAATAAAGCTTCAGATAAAATATCCATTTCCCCAAAGTAGTCAGATTTTTCTTGGTTATTATTTGGAACACTAATACAAATTCAGTATTGTTCATAACAAGAATTGTATTTTATGAGAAATCTGTAAAGAAATATACCTGCACATGTATGTTTTTCACCCGGTACAAAATCATCATGTCCTTGTTGATCATACATGTGTATGCCTGTAAGAAAGTGAATTTAATGTATGTAATATTTCAGACTGATGCTCAAGCTGCAGATGAAGATTATAGAACCACATTTGAAATAGACCCAATAAGTGGTAATATTACTGTAAAAAAGCCACTCAACTATGAAAAACATAATTTTTATCAGTTTAAAATAAAAGCTGTGGTAAGTATTTAACTGATTTTACCAGAAATGTTTTAAATGAAAGAACTGAAGTTTTTATTAAGTGGACATAATATGTTCGAATGAAAAAAAAGATTTAAATGCACTAAATCGTTGGCAAAAATGTATGTTTATACAAAAGTGTCCTCTCTCCAACCGTTGGACATGTTTGACTTAGCTGCTGATATAACTGATGTAGCACTTGCAGACGATTAGTGTAAAAATGCAAGACTTTTTAAGTCCTCCCCATTATGTTTGATCATCCTGGCGCTTGGGCTTTGTAACACTGTCAATATACAATGAGAAAATCCCAATATTGAGTTATAGTGTTCTGTCTCTGTCAAAAGTAATTACCAGTATGTCTTTTACAGGATGGTATAGGACTAGAAGCTGAACCAGCAGATTTTGTTGTTACAGTTTTAGATGTTCAAGATACGCCACCATATTTTGTAAATCTACCATATAGTGCTGAAGTTAATGAAAGTGTTAGCATTGTGAGTGAAGTATTTGATTGCTAATCCTAATCAGTTTGCGAAATAAAATTTAACAGTTTTGAGTTTCTGAGGAAGCAATTTTTTCATGATATGTTTGTCAGATAGCAGATGGACTTGAAACATGAAGTAGTAACATATTATTTCAAAATTTTGTAGTAGTACTGTTTTGATTTTTAAAAAAAGTAGAACTTCAGTGACTATATGTACTTCTGTGAACATCCAAGCCTCCAAAAACCTTTAGTCAAATTTTTAGCCCTATACAAATATCATTAGCCAAATCAAAAACTTGTAGCCAAATTTTTTATTCATTTGTTATTTTTTTTACATACAAAGTAAATGGTTAAATGAACTTATTTAGTAGACAAAAGTATTATTTTATTCCTCCCAGAATGTACTAAAGTTCACAAAAAAAATTAAATAGAATTATGAAGTATGCTTTCAGACCCTCAATTTAAAATTGAGCCTTTGTCAGTTTGTATATGAAATACTAAATTTTTTGTTCTGATGCCGATAATAAGTTCATAAAGACCGGTATGATTGAGACTGGATACTAAAAATAGACACTACAGTGATGCAAATGTTGATGAAATCGACGTTTAGTTCAGAAATACTAAAATTTTTGTTCCGATGAAATCGACATTTAGTTCAGAACGTACAGATTTACAGTATTTTAGTCCCTAGAAATTCATTCATCAGATGTCAGATTTTATTTCCAAAGGAAGGACTTATCACTATTGGCAAATTGGTGAATGCCTAGGGCAGTCACTTGTTGATGAATGTTTGTTATACCTCATACTGATTTAAACTATACTGTATATTTAACAGGGAACATCTATTCTACAAGTTTCGGGTTTAGATGGTGATAGAGGAGTTCCTAATAATTTAACTTACAGCTTTCTTAGAGGTAATACAAATCTATCATTACAAAATATTATTCTTGAAATTTGATGCACCTTTTTCCTCTTTTTCCCTACTGTATTATTCACATTCCTTGTCTACTTCTTGGTCATAGAATGACTTCAATGATTTGATCTTTGATATTAACCGGTTGCAATAAATTATCCTTACAAAAGTGAAAATGTTTTGTTAAGAGTAATTCTTATAAATATTAGTTAATCAAATAGTTTAAATTTAAAAAGAAAATCAATAGCACAGTTGAATTAAAACCTAATTAATGGATATAGTATGTACATGTACTGCTAACTTGTAATCTGTGTGAAGGCCCATGTTTCAGAATAGATTTTGACTTGAGTGTCTTTTGATGTATGCTAGGCTTGTAAAATATTGGATGCTATCACACAACAACAATAAATTGTCCTCATAGCTTGATAATGTTCAGAGAACACTCTTCAAAACGTCGCTCAAATAGATAAGTAGCTGTTTTTCCATAAGTATGTGTATAGTTTATAACAAATTGTTAGCTACTTGAACCCTTAAATAAGAAGTGGTATCAGGTGTTCTATAAGGACTAAAGCTATCGCACTCTGTCTCATGCACTACACATATACTACATGTAGCTAACTGGAGCAATTATTTTGACCTCAATTTCAGAAAATGAAGTTTTAGCTACCGAGATTAATCTTGTATGCTATATATGCCGTAAAATATAAGCTAGATGAGAGAGCTTAATCACAAATTCCTTTTCTATTGTTTTGTAAAGTAGACACAGTCATTGTTTTGATAGGAAGTCACACACAAATTTTCTTAAACAATAATCCTGGGAAACCTGTTTGTATAAAACATATAAAAAACTATCCTCAAAAACAAACATTGATTGCTTTCTTGAACACATTAAATGAGTTCACTTTGTTTGTCTTTTTTATCAGTTTCACATTCCACTGAGGCTATCAATTTATTTTTTTTATGATTATCACCATTTATTGCAGATGTAAATGTTTTTGGCACAGGTTTGTTTATAATGTGATGAAATATATGAATAAACTATCACATATATTAACCAATATAATTATTCTGCCTTTTTATTTTTGGTTCATCTTGACTTATAGAAACCTTTTCATTTACAGTCATTCTCCCATAGGCTACCATTATATCATTTAAAGATACATTCCCGCGTACAAACTGGGTGATTTGATGATATATTTGGACTAAAAACATATTCAAACTAATTAATTTATCATAAATTTGCTTCAAATCCTTCTCAAAACATTGTAATTGCCAAGGAATACCCTGCTATAAAAAATCTATCAAAAGAAGTCATGTTTGTGTCACGTACATGACTTACCTCTCTTGGGTACCTATATCGATGGGTGCGAAGTCAGAGGAGAATTCATTGCATACTCAAAACGATGTTGTCTTTAATCGCTGACTATTTATTACAAATATTGAATCCTAATTAAATTCTCGGATTATCCACTGCCCGCGTCTTTTTCCATGATTTTTATCTCAAAAAGTGTTGTACGTCTAATTCTTCATAAAATTTATCAACATACGTACATCAAGCACTCAATCTTTGCGTGCAACCTTGGACGTCATGCGTGCAGATATTCCCAATCGTCGGGCTGTTGATTTGGGGAACCCTTACATTTTTGTCCTTTAAAGGCTCCATGAGTGTTTTTCAGGGAATCCAGTAATTTTCTAGCAAGATTGGATATCTTTACTTTCCATATATACCAAAATTGCCATACTTTTATTGGAAATAACCAACCGATAAATACTTTTCTGGGAACCTATCTTTAACATTTTATTAATAACAGACAATTCCTATTTGGTGTGTAATCATGTACTTCCAGCAAAATAGTCATAAAGATATGTAATGTAGATGGTTCTTTATTTATGGCCTGCCTTAACAAATAACATTAATGTTCAGTTTGCTGTTTTAATAACGATTTCATATCATCAGATTCATCTTCTTCATTCATTGGTTACTTCAAAATAGTTTCAATCATGTTGAATTCAACCTTTTAGTTATTTTAACTGTTTTATTTGCATATATAACATCCTGCTAACGATATTAGTTTATTTGTTCTCATATATTATATAATCTCATGCCTAAAAATGTTTCTTTATTAGCATTTATATTTATATAACATTGATATGGATGCATACGTACAGTATGTTAATTTTAGCGTTTGCTTATGATCTCACTTATCAGACTATAATTTTCTCCGGTTTTACACTGTGGGTTTATTTGGTAATTTTTAAATAAGAGAAAACTATGTTAATACAGTTAATGAAATAAATATCTATGATTAAGTTGTGAAATATGACAGTGGGACCTGAGGCTTGAATATGGATAAGTTATTTAGATTACTGGTAATTCCAGTTAAGACTTATTAGAAGTAAAATAAAAAAATGTCCGCAAGATTTAATTATTTATTACTACAGATAAATAGAAATATAACTATAAATAAAAATATAACTACATGTTGATATCAGCTTGTGTTAGAGATAACATTTAATTTAATTATATATTTTGTTTATTTTGAAGGAGATTATGAGAAGTTTAATATAGATAGTTCTACTGGTGTTATAACTGTTAAATCACCCTTAGATCGAGATTCACAAGAAGTTAGAAATAGAGGTGGTGTTTATGCTATGTATGTTGAGGTAAGAAAGAACCCAGACCAATTTAAAGTCTTTTTAAAAAAAAGCCCAGGATTTGAAATTAATTAATTACATTGAAAATTCAAACCATGGTATGTTAGAAAGTAAACACGAAGTAGAACCATTTTACTGCAGCTTGAGTTCTCTGGAGAACTATGCCAAATGTTGCATTTGAGTATAAACCTGTATCAAGTAAAAAGTTCAGGTACAACTTTTAATACACAAAACATTAGCATTTTGTGTTAAGAGTGAACTTTCTAATTTTATTGCATAAAAATGACTTTTATTTTACATATTCCCTTTAGTGTAATTTCTCATGTGGATGTGGTCTTGTCCATGATTTCCCTAAAACTAAAGTTTAAACAATCTGTTTGGAAAATACAATTGGATTACTTCAGAGACGCATTATGTAAGATTTAGATAAAAAGTTGGTCGTTCTTGCTATAATAGTTCAAAAATAGATAATAAAAATTGAAAATATTGTAAATTTTATTCAAATTACATTATTTTGAGCAAAGTTATGAGTGTTTAAAGTTTGACAATATTGTCTCGGTTGTCAAGTACCATTGCTATGATAATAAACAAGGTCTTGATTAAATTATTATCAAATGGCGATTGTGTTTTAATCCATTCCAAATCACGGCCAACTGTGGTATGTTGAGTTGGTCATGTAAATAACTGACTAATTAATCATTTAATTTATATAACATTTAAAGCCAAATAAAAGAACTGCAATAGGCAGATTTATCTTTGACAAAATGTATATTTAAGTTATAGAAATCACTGTTTTAGGACAAGCTGTCTTTATTTCTACCTGTCTTCAGTCAGAATGTGATAAATATATGCTAAACTGATCTTTAATAAATTGTTAATGTCCATTTTCAGGCTTCAGAAATTGTTCCAGCAAATCAAGTAAATAATGGCTTAACAACAGCCAGTACCCTGGTGACTATAACAGTTGAAGATGTCAATGATAACTCGCCTGTATTTAATAAGATAAATTATAAAGCGCAAATCCTAGAGAACATGCAGAATGGTGTACCTGTTACATTTGTTAATGATGTAATGAGAGTCTCAGACATAGATCAGGTTTGTGTAAAAATAACTAATACAAAAAAATGTTTCCTGTGAAATTCTCAGATGCATGGGAAGTGGTATTAGCTGTTATAGAATGACATGTGTTGGGCCCTGCTCACAGTTTCCAGTACTGAAGCTAATTTTAATGGAAGGTGGTGAAGTAAAGAGTGTTCACTGTTACATAGGTTTGATGAGAGAAGGATTAAAGCTAATATAAATGGTATCAAATATTTGTTTTTCAAGAGGTTTTTATGATTTATGTTGTTTCTTGTAGGGTACCAACAGTCATTTTGTTCTAAGTGTAGAACAGAATGGTCAGCCATATTATGATTTTACACCTCTACCTCAAGAAGTTTATTCTGAATCTACCATTTTACTGAGAGTAAACAACTCAAACAACTTGGATTATGAGAAGAATCCTGAAATCATCTTTCAGGTAAAATCTTACTAACATAATGAACTGAATTGATATATTGGTTAGATGTTAATTAATGAACAATTTTGCTTTTGTATTATGTTAAATTCTTTTGCTGTGATGTATATTGCATTTAATGGATATATAGGTCAAAGGATACAGCGATTTGATGCAGGACTTTTATTTGGGCTATTCATTTCACACAGTGTTTACTGCTATATGAAATCATTTACTAAGAAACCTATTGATCAGGAAAGTAAGATATAATAGATATACGTTTATATTTCAAAGATATTGGTTCCGTTTGATATAAGTGCACTTCAGATTGTAACTTCCTGGATTATGGGCCCTGATTATATACAAAAAATCGCGTTTTCAGCTTGTGGACTCCTAGAGGTCACAATTTTTATATGATTTTAAAAAATGTTGATATATATTAATGTTACACCATAATTATGGTTGAGTTTGTATTTTGTGAAAATCGGACCAAGACTGTCTGACGGAATGGCCACTGCTCTTAACGCAAATAGTATAATAAGCATGTAATACCAAGGTCACAATTTTTATACACCCACATTTTCATGTGGACGTATTATGCCGTCACTTCTGTCCGTTCGTCCACAATTTGATTGAGGACACTCTACAGGTCACAATTTTTATCCGATTTCGACGAAACTTGAAATATAGGTCAACCTCCCAAAGATCTTGGTTGCTTTCGATATTGGCATGTATCAGACCATAACTTCATGGATTATGACCCCTGATTGTACGAAAAATAACGTTTTTATACGCCCACATTTTCATGTGGATTTATGTTGTTGTCGCCCCTGTCCGTCTGGACGTCCACAATTTGTTTGTGGACATTCTACAGGTCACAATTTTTATCCAATTTCAACAAAACTTGAATTATAGGTTTATCTCCCTAAGATGTCGGTTCCTTTCCATATTGGCATGTATCGGACCGTAACTTCATGGATTTAGGGTCCTGATTGTACGAAAAATCACGTTTTTAGCTTGCGGACCCTATAGAGGTCACAATTTTTATCCGATTTTGTTGAAACTTGAAATGTAAGTTTATAACTCAAAGATCTTGGTTCTTTTCGATATTCGCTCATATCGGACCATAACTTCCTGAATTATGGCCCCTGATTGTACCAAAAATCACGTTTTTAGCTTGTGGACCCTATAGAGGTCATAATTTTTATCCGATTTAAAAAAACGTATTGTTATATCGTAAAAATATGGTATATCAAGGTTGTGGACCCTCTAGAGGTCACAATTTTCTTCTGATATTGATGAAACTTTACTACCCAAAGATCTTGGTTCCTTTTGATGTTCGCGCATATTGGAAAGTAACTTCCTGAATGATTATCCGATTTAAAAAAGCGTTCGAATATATCACCGTTTAACCGTGATGTTTGTTGAGTTCCATTTTCCTGAAAATTGGGCCAAAACTGCCAGACAAAATGGCTGCCCCTCGTACGCAAATAGTGTATAACATCTGGTATATCAAGGTTGTGGACCCTCTAGAGGTCACAATTTTGATCCGATTTTGATGAAAGTTGAAATACATGTTTATAACACAAAGATCTTGGTTCCTTTTGATATTCGCGCATATCAGATTGTATCTTCCTGAATTATGGCCCTTGAATGTTGAAAAAGTCACGTTTTTAGCTTGCGGTCCATGTAGAGGTCACAATTTTTATCTGATTTAAAAAAAACCTTGTGAATATATCACCATTGCAAAAGATCTTGGTTGCTTTTGATAATCGCATATATCTGAAAGTAACTTCCTGGATTATGGTTCCTGATTGTTCGAAAAATTGCATAGCTTGTGGATTCTCTAGAGGTAACAATTTTTTTTTCCAATTTTAAAAAACATTTAAATATATCACCATTCCACCATAATGAAGGTTGAATTCGAATTTTGGGAAAATCGAAATGAAACTGCCCGACAAAATGGCCGCTCTTTGTATGCAAATTCTCTAGAGGTCGCAATTTTTTTTTCCGATTTTAAAAAACGTTTAAATATATCACCATTCCACCATAATGAAGGTTGAATTCGAATTTTGGAAAAATCGAAATGAAATTGCCCGACAAAATGGCTGTTCTTTGTATGCAAATTGTGTAAAAGTATGCTAAGAAGGTTGTGGACCCTCTAGAGGTCACAATTTTTATCCAATTTTGATGAAACTTAAAACATATCTTTAATTCTTTATATTCCAAAGATCTCAGTCCCTTTTGATATTTGCGCATTTCAGACCATAACTTTCTGCATTATTGTCCCTGATTGTACAAAAAATCCTGTTTGTTTTTAGCTTGTTCTCTATCCATCTTTTGCAAAATGTGGGCGTATCCTACCTGGCAGCCGCTGGTTAGCATGTGCAAGAAGGAAGTTGTGGGTTGTACCCATCAAAGTAATTAAAATATATTTCATATAGGTTGTTGCTAGAGAGGTTGATACAGTAGAAAAACGGTCAAGTACAGCAACTGTGACTGTCACTGTTGAAGACATGAATGATAATGCTCCCGTTTTTCCTAATGAAACTTATGTTGTTAGAGTGAAAGAAAATACAGATATTAATACAGTTATTCAGACTATTCAAGTAAGTTTATTTGATGTTTATATCTGTAGTATAAAAATTTATTTATAGTTTACTCACATGTTCTAAAGTTAGACATAATGCTGTCCCTTTCTGTTAATATTATATTTTATTATCTTATTGTACAAATATTCATATTTTCTTGTAGGCAACAGATGCTGATGAAGGTGTATTTGGAAGTATCACTTATTCTATAAGAGGAGGAAATAACAAGTAAGCAATATTGAATTGATATCAAGATCTAAACTTACTACTTTTGTTTATCATTAGATATGTGGTTTAAGATGCATTATGTATATTTAGATAAAGGACTGGCTATTTTTGCTATAGTAGTTTTAAAATAGATAATGGTAAATGAATACATTGAAAATTATTTTATTCTGAGCGACGTTATGAATGTTTAAGGTTTTGACAAGAAACAGTGTAAATAGTCTTGATTGTCAACTATTATTGCTATGATAATAAATAATAATCAGGATTTATTGCTTAACGAAGAAATGGCAGACATTTTCTAATCCACTTAATATCTCAGCCATTCAGGGGTCTCGAGGGTTGATTATGGGGTTGTCATGTGAATAAATGTCTAAAGATTTACCATTTGTAAACTAACAAGTTTATGTTCAGGTATTGTTACTTATTTGTAGATTTGGTATTAATAAACAAACAGGAGGAATCTATATAGCAGCTTCACTGGACAGAGAAGAAACAGATGAATATTACCTAACAGCTGAAGCAAAAGATGATGGAGGATTACGTACACCAGTAGAAGTTAAAGTCATCATTGAAGATATGAATGATGAAAAACCTGTTTTCAGGCGGCAGGAATATGAGGCCATTTTGAGGGAGAGTGATTCTGATTTTCTTCGTCCATTGTTTGTAGAGGTAGGTTTGATTATTAATAATGTAAATTATAAACATCATTCTTTTCGATAAACTTTTACGTATCTTTTACAATGATAATTATTATATATTTTAGGCAACAGATGATGATCAAGTTAACACTGCTAATAGTTTTGTCAAATATAGAATAATTGAAACACCTGCAAATTTGCAAAATAATTTTACTATTAACCCAGATAATGGCCATATAACCATAACTATACCTATTGATTATGAGAAATTAGACCAATCTTTGAATAGTGTAGTTAATCTTAAAGTGGAGGCAATAGACCAGGGATCACCACCTCTTGCCTCAACAGTTAATGTCAGCATTGTAATGGAGGTAAGTAGTAGTTTGAAAGGGTAACAAAAGTGATAGTTTTCAAAATTCTCATTAGTTAAATTAAACACCAAAAAATAACATTCATATTGTTCTTAAATAATAAGATGAGAAAGAAAACAGATTGTGTAGATAATATTCTGCAGTAGACTAAATTTTTATTCACATTTTACATGATTAAAACTCAAAAGTATGAGTCATGTGAACATAACTGTGTCATTGTAGTTGAAATATGTAGAAAGCATAATTCTTAATATTTGCATTTGTTATATTTCAATTTAGGATCTCAATGATAATGCTCCTGTATTTGAACAAAATAAATATTCAGCTGTAGTTCCAGAAAACTCCACAGAAGGTATTTATGATAAAATTGTGCTTATGAGTGTCAATTAATGCTGTATGGAAGTTGACCACAATTAATTTAAATACCATAATTTTGACCATAATGTAGTTTAGGGGATACTCGATTGAACATTCCACATTTAGTGTCAATCGAGTGAAAAGGAAAATTTCCGTGTACAATGCATGTGCCGACTGCATAAAAAATATCTCAACCAATCATGACAACTGAAACATATTTGTTACTTAAAATATGTCACGATTCTACTCACACCACCTCAGCTGTCGGGACTGGCAGAACTGTGACAGGGCAGAATTCCATATCACTTGATTGCAATTCTGTCAATTTGGGACGTTTCGGACTGACAATCGAGCACCCACTTATTTTCATATTCAGAAGATTAAAGGGGAATAACTCTTCAAGAGATCATAAATTACCTCCCCTGACACATCATTGCTCTTGATAGTAACTTCATGTATTTTACAAAAAAATTGTCTAATTTGCATTGTAGGAACTGTTTTGTTAGTGGTTAAAGCTACAGATTTAGACGGTACCAACCCAAATAATGAATTTATCTATCGGATTGAAAGTGGTGCTTTGGACAAATTTAGGATTAACTTTGCTACAGGCGAACTAACAGTAGAAACTGGTGCCAAACTGAACAGAGAAGAAAAAGATGTTTATATAATGAATGTCTCTGCAATAGATAAAGGAACACCTCCACAGACTGGTCGATGCACTGTTGTTGTTAATCTTACTGATGTTAATGATGAAATACCCATATTTCAACAATCAAGTCAGTCTGTTACAATACCAGAAAGTGCAACTATAGGAGATGGTTTTGTTACATATGCTGCTACAGATGCTGATTTAAACAGTGAATTAAGTTATCAAATTATTAAAGATGGTTATAAAGCTTATGATGATAGAAATGAAGAAGTGGATGTTGAGAGTAATAATATCACAGTAAGTGGACATTTTTGACTTACGACTTGACATTCCTGATTTGATAGTATTGTGTTTGTATTTCTTTAATTTTAATATTCTTAATGTTTTGTAGGATTACTTTAATGTTATACCTAATACCGGAGTTGTGTATGTGTCTGCAAAGTTAGATAGGGAGATTGCTGAAAGAATTGTTCTGAAAATATTGGCCACTGATCTAGGTGCTTGGAGCCCAAAAATACAAACAGCAACAGGTATACAGAATCCTTTACTTGTAAAACACTTGACATGATATATTGAATTTAAAAAAGCTGATATAAAAAAAGAAAAATGTTCAGGCATTTTTAAAAATTTAAAGAATATCTCTATCCTTTTGTATATTGTGAAAAAGTTACGTCATCATTAAATCTGGCTTACTACATGTTACTTCATTATTATACGAATAAGCCCAGTGATTTTCAATGATTTGCAATAATTACTACCAGAGTTATGGTCCTTGATCACTTTGAAAAATCTTGTGTATGTTCTAGAGACCAAAGTTATCATCTGATTGACTTTAGATTGATAAACGGAGTTTAAGGTTTTGACTTTAGATTGATAAACGGAGTTTAAGGTTTTGAGACGAACAAGTACATGTATATTGATTTTCAATGAATTTTGATAACTTGAACAGCTAAATCCATGATATTAAATGTTTCGTATACTAAACGTTAGCATGGGGCAGAACTAAAAGCCAAACAATTTCTAATGATTTTCGGATAATTACTTAATGAGTTGTTACTCTTAATCAGATTTGAGTGTATTATAAACGTTTCATTACCGACAATAGAAAAAATATGCGACAACTCTTGTTGACTGCTCGGACGACTTATAGCTGCTGTGGGCGTATGTTTCGTTGCCTGGCAACCTATCTTTAATAAACGTTTTAGTTCTGTTATCTAACAAAAAACTGCTTTCTTGGTTCTTTATTCTATTAAATTCAGCTTCATCATAAAAAGAATTCAGCTTCATCATAAACACCTTTGAAGCAATTAAACCATATAGATGGTATAATCTACTAATAAAATTATATTATAGGTGTTTATATTTGTGTGGATTCATTTTCAGCTACATTAACTGTATTACTTGAAGACTCTAATGATAATGCTCCGGTATTTAAACCTAGTTCTACATATGTAGTAAATATATCCGAAGGTCAAGATATAGAGAGTGAAGCTTTAAGAGTAGAAGCCGTAGATCCAGACAAAAACCAACAAGTAACATACGATTTGGATACAATTGGTGATGTAAACTTCAAAATTGACCAACAGACAGGTAACTGAGTTATTTTAGTCTACGTTATTTTTCTCATATAAGTTGTCTGTTGTTCCATCCGCCAGCATTGACACTGGGCATGGGATATGACTTAATCTATATTTCTTGGTTCTTAATTAAAATATTAATTATACCATAAGAGCTGTTGATCGTCATTTGATGGATATTAAATACCCTGCTTACACTTTGTGAAAGTTGAATCTCTATAATGAATATCGATTAAAAATGATGGACCTCTTTTTAATCCTTATGATTCAAAGCTGAAGAATTATCAACCATTGATATTTTGATTTTGTTTTCCATTTTGAATGTTTCTCTTGTAATTTACAAAAATAAGCTTTATTATAAGCGTGATCTCATTTTTACCTTTTCAGTTGCTTTGGTATATAGAAGATACATATATGAATTACTCAACTAAGTCACATATATTTTCAGGTATTATAAGAATTAAGAAGAAATTGGACAGAGAGTTAGAACCAAGTTTAACATTTGTTGTAGTAGCAAGCGATAATGGAAACACACCTATGATTTCATCAGCTACTGTCTCAGTTAGTGTTCTAGATATCAATGACAATGCCCCAATATTTCTGCCCCATCCTCAAATTTATAGTGTTGGTGAGGATGCTCCTACAGGTACAGAAGTAGGTAAAGTAAAAGCTACAGATCCGGATGATGGTGCATTTGGAGAAGTATTTTACCTTTTAGAAGGTATTGACAGTGATGGTACATTTGATATTGATCAAGATCAGGTAAGACAAATAGATGTATATTGCTTTATAAATTAGTTTTATTATGATCATCTTATATAAAGTCTTCTGAAAGTAAAGCTTGCGATTCAGTGTTCATCATAAAACATAAAATGTGGTTTTAATTTCTTTTGAAATTCCCATTCTGGATAAAAGTCATTTGGCTGTAAAGGTAGACCCTGTTTCCCATAGTTGGCAATTTTAAACAATGTGTAAGCTTGTTATCTTGTAAATAGTCATGCAAATTGTGCCAATTTCCTAAGTGAATTATGCAAATGTTTATCAAAAATACCTGCATTATTTAAATCAAGTCTTTAAGATGATATAGATTATTAGATATATGTATTTGTTTGTAAATGAAATATGTCTATATTTTTTCAGGGTGTGATAACTGTTAGTAAAGAATTGGACAGAGAAGTAAAAGCAGAATACAGCCTGGTTGTTGTAGCTACAGATAACAAAGCTAACCCTAAAGATCAAAGGTCAAATAGAACTACAGTTACCATTCACTTAGAAGATGTCAATGATAATGCGCCACAGTACAATTTGAATATTTTGCCAAGTGCAAAATTTGTACGAGAGTCAGCAACTGTTGGTACAATTGTTGTCAATATACTGGCTACTGATAAAGATAAAGGAGAAAATGGAACTGTTCAATATTTCTTAACAGGTGATACAAATGCCACAAATGCCCAGGGTCAAGCCATTTTCAAAGTTGATCAAATATCTGGTACAATGTCTGTGAATGCTGATTTAAGAACAGCTACAGGTGTCCGATATGTGACAGTGAATGCTACAGATAAAGGCAACCCATCTCAATACAACACTACTGTTTTAGATTTTACAATAATAGATGATAATGACGATCCACCAACATTTATTAGACCAGATCCTTCTAATCCCCTTGTTGTTATAGAAGAGGTAATTAAGACATGAATATAAATGTTTTTGTATGAAGATTTTTTGTTTACATGTAATAACCTACCTATTTTCTAAAGGCTAAAACTATTTTGACATATTTTTACAGAGATCTTTGATTTATGCCATTATGGGAAAACATGTTTATTTAGAAACTTATATGCCATTCAGGTGATTGTTAAGCTACCTATCTTTGCAGAGACTTTTTTCTCAGCAGGCTAATCTTGGCAGTCTGAACAGGTTGGTTTGGAATTGCCGTCTTCAGCTATCTTAGGGCACATGTATTTCATTACATATTGTGGGCATTTGTGGTATCAAGTAGTTCATACCTATAACCTCTGATGTTTGAATTCTGCACTTTCCTGGCTTAAAAACACTGGCATTTCAAATTAGTTTATATATGGTCATCTAAACAGCATCTGTATTCATATTTTGAGATATGATAGTTTATAGCTGACTGTTAGTTATAGCAACTTGCGACATCAGAAATTGACATCCACTCCACACAATGCTATAGATGGTTAAATATGAATATTTATATTGTTTTATCTATGAATTTTTGATAGGGACAACCAGTCAATACTACCATTATAATGATCAGTGCTACAGATGATGATCAGGGGGAGAATGGGCAGGTTGTCTACTCTATTATACAATCTAAAACTAAACAGGACTGGAAGAAATTTCATTTGGATAGTATAACAGGAAGAGTTAGTAATAAAGAAGTACTTGACAGAGAAACACAGAAATTTTATGAGGTAATAATAGAAGCTAGCTTTAAAAAAGGTGTCTATTTTAGTTCAGTGTAAACTTGTTTGTCTTTGATTGATTGCATAGCTCATTATTCACCTTTGGAAATGAAAGAGAACTTCTTTTGTCAATATACACCTCTCTTGATTACACTGATTTAGCTGAAATAATGATAATGATAATAATCCTCATTTGCATAGATCAAAAATGCTCATGAAAGCTTCTTTATTTTAAGTGTAGAAGGTACATACCACACATAATCTAAAAAATCAAGAATACAAACTAGCTAGTACAAGACAGAAAATGTGAACATTGTTAGCCATAAAAGTCAATGGATCTGGGGGCTTTTTGTTTTATCTACAAAAAATGTTTGTTGTTTTTTTTCAGCTACAAGTACGGGCAACAGATAGAGGCAAGCCTAGAAACTATAGTACAGATCTATCAATGACTATTGAAGTAAAAGATGTAAATGATCAGGAACCTGAGTTTGATAGATCAAAGATTGAAACACCATATAAAATGAGTGTATTAGAAGAAAGTAATGCAGAATGTGTTGGAAATGTTTCTATAGCTGAAGACAAAGATTTTGACAGTAATTTTACAATCATATGTTATTATATTGTCAGTAAGTAAATCTATTTTAAATTTGTATTGAATATTTTGCTTTTTTTTAATGAAAAATGAATAAGAGAAGGAGGCGGGGGTAATATGGGCACGAGGTTAATATGGGCCACAGCCCCGACAAGCTTGTCATATGACATTTCTTTAAAATGTTATTTGCCATGACCTCTACATCCTCTAAACATGTGTAACACATCATAACAAGTTCACAGATCCATTACACAAAAAAGCTCAGTATTTTAAAAATTTCTTCTGTGTTAAAAGTCTTTTAGGGGTTAAAGACCATCAGTCCATTTCATGAAACATTTACCTTGTAAAGAAAATCTATTCTGAGCATTAAAATAGATTGTTACTGTAATACGGACATGCAAATTGGGGAAATATGAGCCATGGTTCATATTCCGTCCTAACCATTAAGAATAAATTGTCTATTGTGAATGATTTGTAGAATAAATCATGTAAGCTAAAATTAGCACCTAACATTGTCCTTATATTTTATAAATTGAAAGTTGAGTTCAGTAGCTTTAACTAGAAAGTTGATTTGTTTTAATATAACATTATACCTATGAAATATTCCACATCAAAAAATTATGTCCCATATTACCCCCACGCCCCCCCCCCTCCTCTTTTCAAATAATTATTTCACAAATTTTGATACTGGATGTTTATATATTTTCTTTGTACATAAACCACACCATAATCTCTTCTTTGCAGTCATAAAAAAGGTACGTTCTTTTATAAGCACTGTCATTGCTCTTGCACCCCCTCTCGCCAATACCCAGTGGTGATTATCATATTCTTATTTTTTAGGTACAGGCCTTAATGATACTTTCACCTTATCCCCATCAGGAAATCTTTGTTTAAAGAATAGTATAGATAGAGAGACGACTCCATATGTCTATCTAGTTATTCAAGCTTCTTCTAATTGTTATGAGGACAGAAGTTATACTATTATTCCACAAAATGCTGAAGTTCCACCAGAGTACAATGATGAAGATCCAACATTACTGTGGGTGAACGTTTCAATAACTGACATCAATGATAATTCTCCTAAGTTTAAAATGAAAGAATTAGCATTAGGTATTACTAAAACTACACAGTTTGGATCATTTGTATACAATTTAAAGGTAAGATTTTGTACTAGAAGCAGATATATTTTATTGATGAGGCACCATTCAAGCTTTCAAATGAAAGGGCACTTAACTTGATTTTATGGTTGTTATCAATATAATTCATTTGTTTATGATCGTTATTCTGTTTTAGACATTTTATTTGTAATTTATCAAGCTAATTACTTAAATTTCAATAGTTATTTGATAATTGGCTCGTATAGAATCATTCCTGAAAAGTCAATTAAAGTTATGATTTCGGTTTGTTTTATTTTCAGAATGAAGTTATTGATGCTGATTCAAATGCTTACGGAATAAATCAATTTAGTTTGATCAGTATTGACATTCAACCAGAGGAGTTAAGAAATGAATTAGACGGACAAGTTCCCTTTGTCTTATTCCCAAATGGAACAGTAAAAACTAACACTTATTTCCGTTCTACAATGTTTGGTTATTTTATCTTGTCCCTTGTGGCATCAGATAAAGGAAATAAAAATGACACAGCAAATCTAAGAGTGAGTATAGTATGCATATTTAATTTCATCAAATTATAATATAACTAATGTTCCCTTGCCGATTCTATTGTGCACCTTTCAAATTGAAAAACTGACCAATTTCCCTTACACGCATGAAACAGACTCAGTTTTATGTTTTATACACCCACATTCATAGGTGTACAAGCCCGGGGTGGGGGTGGGGGGGGGGCGGAGACAGCTGCCCTGCTAAATTTTAAGCAATCTGACTTTTCGGGCAAATGGGTAAAGTGAAAAAAAAATATATTATTTCATCCAGATGGAAACATAAAGTGCTTGAAATCTAACAAAACATTAATTTTACCTTTCTTTTAATTGAATACCATAAATTTGTACTGAATTGACCATGGATTAAACCATTTTGTCTGGAGCCACTCTACTTTGTGCGACATTTGTCGGCATCAATTATTATTTGGAATTCAGGTCGGCATAAAGTGGAATGTCGGTTACAAAACCATTGGACAACTTTGGAGTTGCTTAACTCACGGGCTATAATAGCAGCAAAACACATTTGCGACAGTTAAATTTTCAAAATTTTCTTAAGGAGGGTGAGGCCCCCATACCCCAAGACAACTGATTGGTTGTTTGGGATTAAGGTCAGCCACCTAAGGTAGGCTATATTGGACCACACTGAGGTTGCTGTATTCATGGGCTGGAATAGCAGGAAGTCATGTTTGCAACATTTAAAGTTTCAATATTTTCTCCGAACCTTACCGTCTCTGTGTACTGTAAATGATTGATTGGTTGATTGGAATTCAAGTCAGCAATCTTAATTAGACTATATTAGACTACTTTGGCTGGAATAGCAGGAAAATGTGTTTGCACTGTCAAATTTTCCAAAATTTTCTTGGGATGTCCCTACACAGTAAGTTCCACTCCTCCACTCTCGCAGAAGACTGGCGCCGCCGTCTGTAACTCAATGTTTTTTTAGGGTTCTTCCCCCCTAACTGTCATCGAACCTGTACGCCTATGCCCACATTTAATGTTTACAGATTTTGTTGTCATAATTGTTTAGAATCTTCATTATGTGACTTTGTATGTGAGCTCTGACTAGTTCGAATTTGAACAGTTTAATTTGTGGTTTGCAGAGTTACACCCTTGGGATAGTGAAAATATATGATGCATTTTTCACCAGATTTCTATAAAATAGTATGACACTCCAAACTACCTTGTAGATTCAAAACCTGTTTAACTGTATTTTCAGATTTCGTTGATAAATGATAACCAAAGATTAAAAGTTGTATTTAGAGAACGAGTGGAAGAAGTAGGAAAGTTTAAAGATGATTTTGCAAGGTAATCTATATTGACAGTTCTATTGTAACAATACATAATTGAATAGAATGAAACAAATAACATGATTAATGTACTAGACTATTTATTATGTCATATAAACAAATATTCTGGTTCTCAGATAAAGTCTGTCATTGAGTCAACTGGCGTGGTTTCGAATCCCCGGTTGTACGTGACAAGGAGTAGGGTCGCCTGTCCAACCTAGTGGGTTTTCTCCGGGTCCTCCGGTTTCCTCCCACTGCTAAAGACCCCTATGGGCAAGCGAATTATTGAAATAAAATTAAACCATATGTTAGTCCCGAAATGACCTAGTTTGTGTCGAGTGGATGTTAAACTCCATAATTCTCTCTCTCTCTCTCTGTGGTTCTCAGATACTTCCATGGGAATATGATTTTCTAGAACTAATCAGGGACTGACCTGTAAAATATTAAATTAATAGCAGAAAACTTTACAATATTAACAAATCAATGTACAACACTTTAGCAGTTTCTCTTAATTAATATTGGTATATTTCAGTGAGTTACAGAATATCACTGGTTACCGTATTGTGGTAGATAAAGTACAAACTCATGAAAATGATGCTGGAAAACCAGAAATTGATAAGTAAGTTGATATAATATATCTAAGTATATAATTTCATTGTTTGCAAAATATAAATAATACTTCTGTGGGAAATTACAAGGTATATACAGTTTACTAGCATTAAATAAACCAATCACTAAAGAATTGGAGACTAAAGGGGGATAACTCTTTTGTTTACAAATTAAAGGATACTGTAAAAGAATGTGAATCATATGAAAAGAAATAGATTTTGTAACAGACCATAATTTTATATACTACACATGTTCTGTGCATAATAGACTGATCATCTACTGAAACATCCCCTTGGGAGCCACAGTGATCCAATCAGTAAGACACTGGCTCACTAACCAAGAGATCTCGGGTTCGCTCCTGGTGTTGGCCAAGAAAGTTCCTCATGTTTTCCGGTGTGGTTCCCCTTTGTCTGGTGCAGGACAGAGGACAGCTGTCTAGTCATTTGGATGGGATAGAAATCCCAGGTCCCATGTACACATTGGTTTGCACATATAAGAATCCTTGACAGTTGGAATTTGAAATAAGAGTAGGCCGTAACACAGCTATCCGGGCAAAATTTCCCTCATAGCACACTGTATGGCATTTCTCCAACACACCTCGAATGATGACAATTTTAACCACCAATCGGAAAAAAATGGGGCTTGGGAATATCTATCTTTGATGGACGGTATAAATCAGTGTATGAAAACATCAATAGGGATGCTTGAAGACTAAAGTGAGATAACCTATGTCTTTCAGAACTGACATGTTTATACATGGTGAAGATCTATCAACTAATGAAGTTGTACCAGCTTATGATTTATTGAGGTCAGGCATTTGAACAGTTTGGTTTTACATATTAATACATATTAGTATTTTCATCATCAGAAACAGTGTAGTGTTACCTATAAATACATTTCATCGTAATATAAATTATGTTGCCTGTATAATAGTTACAAAAGCAAAATTGAAATTTTTTGTTAGCTTAATTTAAATTTTCCCTCATGTATGTACACTAACATTGAAGATATTTATAATTCATTGCACCACATTTCTGAAATATCCGTGATTCTGATTAGCTGAAATTCATTATTTCCTGTGATTATTGATGAAAATGAATGTGACTTTTAAAATACTCCTGAGCTCTATTTCTACTTTTAGGATACCATTGTTTAGTTCTATATGCTGTTAGGCCCTAGATTCTGACACACCATTACTCTATAACTGTTACATTAATAACTATATCTGGCCAAAATTTATTGAAATTTGATTAACATGTACATGTATCTCTTTATTTGTAAACCGTATCGTCTTTTGTTGGGTGTTTTTCCCTTGGCACTAAACTGGATTATTTTTGCTCCATTGATAGACTACATTCCTTTGATCATTTTTCTATAAATAATAGATGAAAAATTTAAATATTTCAGAAAAATAGATTATAATGCTGAAAGGATGGTCTCTATATTAAATGATTATAATGTACTGACTATAGTTGTAAGTAAATCTGGCATTACTTCCCCTTTCATTCTTGAAATACTTAAATATGCAAATAACTGATTCATCCAAATATTGAAAACAAACACAAGTTGATTACTGCTTTTGTACCTCAATAATTATTTCAATGAATTTTCAAGTAGAGAGAGAGAGAAATGGGGTTTAACGTCCACTCGACACAAACTAGGTCATTTCGGGACTAACATGGTTCAATTTTATTTCCATAATTCGCTTGCGCGTAGGGGTCTTTAGCAGTGGGAGGAAACCGGGGGACCCGGAAATAAACCCACGAGGTTGGGCAGGTGACCCTACTCCTTGTCACGTACAACCGGGGATTCGAAACCATGCCAGTTGACTCATCAAGTAGAGGGTAAAAGCTGTTTGTTTATAGTGTCTGCTATAGAAATATTAGATTTTCTACATGTTTTTTATTTTGTTTTTTTTAGCCAACATATATTGAAGCTAGCAATGATGAAACAGAAAAACAACTACGAATGGCACTAATATTGGTATCAGTAATACTTGGTGCTTTAGTCATCATCTTGATAGTAGCCTTCTATACTAGTCGAAGAAAATATCAGAGAAAACTTAAAGCAGCAACTGCTATGGCATATGGTAGGTTAAAGTAATCACTGGGAAATGTATAAAATTAGTTTAGAAATTTAAAATGTCAGAAAAAATGCCTTATGAATGTGGCATTATTTGATATTAATAGCAATATTTCTTATATTTTGTACTACTGGTAATCATAACTATATATCTACAATTCTGGCTGGTTTGTTACAAAATGAAGAGCCCTATTTATGCAACAGGTAAAAAATATGCATATTGTTCAAGTTAGCAGCCCTTATTACATGTGTCTGTCTGTCCCTGTCAGCAAAATAGACATTACATCTGTTGCTACCTTCTCTTTTGGCCTTTTAAACTTGGGAGAATTGAAGGAATGAGGGGAAAAATGTACATGTATATTATATGTACATTGTATATGATAATGTTTGAGTTTTAACTCCAGTGTTTAGTACATGTACATCACTTTTATGTCTTTTTTATGTAGTATCCAATGGAAATGGAAAGGGTAATTTTCTATTAATCTTCATTTTTGATGAAATATATAACCTATCCATACTTCTTTGCTTTACTGAATTATAGCTGGTACTAAAATTCTACTAATATTCATAGTATTAATATATTTAATTTGAAATTACATTATATACTCTTCATATTCTGTTTTTCTATCAATCATTAATAAAGGGGCTTTGTCAGTAGAAAGATCATTTTTAGACTGTTGATGCATAGTGGTAAAGTGTGCTGTCTCACCCAATAGATTGCATTCAAGTGTACATAATTTACTTCAAGAACTTGTACTTAGATCAGCTGCTGTTTAGAATTATCGTAAACATTACTAATGAAATTCCCTTTTGAGTTTTATAAAATGCCTTTGGACACCTTTTGATTAACTTACAGCATTCCTTTATTTCTTTAACAATGAGGGGCTTTATTTCTATATATCTTTATATATTATACTATTGCTCTTTAGTTCCTCTCTAATTAATTAATACTCAAATTTCTTTATGACAAATAAATTTTATATTAAATATTTTCATAATACTAATTTTGTGGAATGGAAAAAGTATAACTTTTGGAATTTAAGAAACAAATTAATTGATAATAGAAAATGCATTTGCACATTGGATTATGGTGATAATTTGGAATTAATTAATAGAAATTAGAATTACTTGGTAATTAAGTTTCCATAGCACATATTCCTCTTATTTTTTTTTAGGTTCTCAAGATTCAGATTTATATAAATTGGAGATGCCTGGAACAAATATCCATTCTTATGAAAAGTAAGTACATTTATTTTGGAACATATATTCTGTTTGAATTTTTCAATCTATTCTGCATTTTTGAAACCTTAGCAATATCACCTATCTGTAGAGAGTTTTATTTGCATCATACATAATGGTTATGGTTTTAGCTAAATAAAAGTGATTATTATTTTTGACTTATTTTGAGTACTAATTTGATTAATCACAAGAAAACTCATTTTATCCCACTATGCTTTTTTTTATCACTACAATTTTGAATCAGTATAAATCACATTTCATTAGAAAGAAGTTTTTCTAATGTATATCTGTAGAATATAATAATGAATCATGAATTCTGTGTCAACCCGTTTTGAATAGTAATTTTAATTTCAACCCTTAGCTACTTATATAATTTGTTTTAATTTTCCTACCCTGGCTTTAAATCCCCGAAACAGTAAATAAGCAGAGTCTTAAGAGACAGATTTGAATTTTTTTAATTTTATTGTTATTGAGTTTTGAATGAATTATTTGATATGTTTGTTTATTTTTGGTGTACATTTATTTAATATCATGCTTTCCCCTTTGAACCCTGCAGGCCTCATTTACATGAGGGACAGACAAGGTTCTAGTCTCGGTAAATTATTTGTTTCCCTGTATCTACTTTCGTCCTCACCAACTTTTATTTATTTTCATCAATTTTTATTCTCATTTTGTTTACATAATAGAACATCTGAGAATAAGTCAGGGTCTTATAATTTAAAAAATCTATCCCAGTGTTCATACTCACTAAACCGTTAATGATAATTGGACAAAAAAGAAATTTATCATTTTTTACAAGTTTAAATTAGTCATCATATTAAAATCATTATGGCTACAGATGTTCTGTTATTGTTAAAGGCATGGTATATTGTACTAAATTTGTGTATATAAATAATATAAGAATAGTTTTATTTCAGCTTTTTTCATATTTTTTAAATTTTAACCTCAATATTATTGTTTTAGATATTTTGGGAATTTGGTGCTGTTAATTTTTGCTTTCCATGGTTTTAGAGATCTTTTACTGTTGTTGTATTTAATCTTAAAGTCAAGGGGTCATATTTAAACATTAATTAATTTACTCTCTGGTGAATCAAAAGTTAATTATGAAAATGGTGTTGTGTTGTATAAATATGGGTTATGACAGTAAAAGATTTAGTACTGAATTTGATTATGCATGATACTGACTGTCCCTTCGTAATATAGATGTGCCCTAGACATTATTGCATGTTTGCACAAATATTTCTACATGGATATACTTACCAATGTACATTGAGCACATTATCTATAACTGACCTATTGATCACTCTGTGCATGAAATAGATATTATTAGGCTTTGGCTATTAGATTGGATAGCTTATTATCAAGATGTAAGGTTTGTAGAAGTATTCTGTTTCAGTTTAAGTTTAGCTTTTTTCCTTATATGTACATATATGCAGTATGCTAATTAATCTGCTAATCATACAAGATAATACAACAAGATTTAATCATTGAACTTGCTGCTTTGGTTGTTAAGAGCTATATGCATATGTTTTCGATCTCTCTTGATTTGTTTGGCAATTACACATCTGTATTCTCCAAATGGTTTTAACAGTTTCAATTTCCCTTAAAAATCAAAATGTAGTCTGAAAAGAATGTAGAATCTGAATTAAAAATATTTATTATTTATGAATTTCCACACTTCCCTATCAAACTTTTAAAATCTTCTAGGAAAATACCACACTATATATTTCGAGTGAATATTTTTAATTTGCTATTTTTCAACACTGTCTTATATCAGGTGCTAAAAATCTAGGGCATATAAGTAAATAACTAAAATTAGAACTAAAAAAAAAGATTTTTGTTTTAAGCTGTCTTTCATTATAGGTCCTAGTGAGTATTTTTTATAACTTTAACTATTATTTATTGTTGTATTTTTCAGTGCCAATCCAATTTACCTAGAAAAAATATTATTGGGTGAAATGGAAGAAGATGGGTAGGTCATTGTTATTTTATAAAATAATATTATTGTCACGTCTCCTTAAGTGTTAGTGACCGATGTCAGTGTGTCACCCATGTCTATTAGTTACTTTGTTTCTTTGTTTTTTTCTAAATAATTATTGTTTTTAGCTAGTTACCTTAATGCATAGGTAGGCTATAAATAAAAAAATAAGTAGCAAAGTACTTTTTGAAAAATGTACTTTAAAATATTTCATATACAAAATTTAAAGATGTAGTAAACTGTAATTTTTAGGAGAACTGCTACTGCCTAGTGAAGGTAAGAGTTAATACTATTATCTGGCACAGTTTCCATCCTTTTTTTTCATTTAGTTTAAGAAAGAAATGTATTCTCTTTAATTATGTAGAATTATCAATGTTATTATTGCTATTTGTTTTGGATACAGAATATCCCACTCCTCATCTTTTTACCAGACCTACTTTGACCAGTAAGACTTAAATATTTTGGATGTTATGGGATACTTGTTGTCAAGCATATATTTGCTGGGCTTTTAGCTAAATCTTTAAGGACAAATGTTTTATGAAACTGAAAACGTGCAAACGGAAATATGTTGTGTTGCTCACATTCACATTCTATCAAAGAAAGATCTATTTGGCAAATAATTTACCCCACTTGCTGTAGCATAGAACATAACTTATTAAATGAATGAACATATTATATTTGTTCCTGTACATATAACTTAGCTCTTTTTTATATTATACACCCACATTGTTATCACCTTTATCTGTTGATCCATCATCTGTCCACAATTTCATTTTTTTTGCCATAATTTCCAACTTAATTGAAAATGAAATTACCATGTGCTCATTTATAAAATCAAACATCTCATCTAACTGAAATTTTACACAAGAAAATGTAGCAAATATTTTTATTCACAAATGACAATTTTCATTGTCATGACAAATGTGCCCATGTAATTTTAGCTTTAATGTGTGATAAATAAGTAAAAAAAAATGTACGTTAGGGCTATCAAATAAACAGAAATTGATAGGCCTATACATGTATATCGATATATTGCAATGCAGACTCCCCAATAAACATTACGATATGAAATTAAGCATATCATTATTTTCACTCTACATATACTTTCATTTTGTTTGTAAACAGACTTTTGACATCTATATTTCATTTGAATCAAATCATAATTTCTATCATTTAATTCATCAAAATTCAAGTGTCATGTAATTAAGTTATTAGTAACTTTCATTAGAAAATTTCCCCAAAAAGATGTTATACTTTCTCTTTTTTGAAGCCCTAGTGATCTTTCAAAAGACATATTCAAAACTTATCTATTATTGATAGAATTCTGCTTGATAACGTTAAGTGTTGATTCTGATGTGCTCCATGGAATATAATATTTGACCTCTTTTTATCTCTCTTGACCCTTTTTCCCACTGTTCTTTGGTTTGGTTTTTTAATTTGGTTATTGCATAATTATCAACACCCAATAATTCCTCCATTTATTCAATTTCAATGGGATCATTTTACTTGTATCTGGGTAAGAATGGATTTTCGATTGTCCAAAAATTCTCCATTTACATATACATGTATTGATTATTGATTAATCAAATCTCTTTTACTACTTTTCACACACAACCATATAAAAGCAATCCATTTTCAAAATGGTTATCCTTTTGCTAATTGAATATTTCATTAATGCCACAAAATTTGGAAGACCTTGACACAGGTAGATAATTGTAAATTATGTCAAAAAATGACAAAAGTATCTGAGTAACATATCCCTGAAGCAATGGCATGAAAAATCCCTCTCTAGACATTGCTGTATTGAGACTAAAAACTTAAGTCTTTGATGGAGCGTGTCCATTCTCATCGTCCTATCAAATCTCTCCTGAGTAAAATATAGGGAATTTTCATGACTTAACTGGGGTGACTTCTTTAAAAAAAATATCCTAGTATTTGTTAGTGCTCATTCTATCATAGGTAAGTTTGACCGTTGCTGAAACTCGCTATTGGAACGAAAATTCTAAGACTCAAATCTCCGATTTCAATTCTATAAACGTGTACCAATCATTACTGCCTTTGATAATATTTATCCATTTTTGTGAAGCAAATTCATGAATTGTTTTTTCTTATCAAAAAAAAACCATGTCATATTTCTATCCAGTTTGTTAAAACACAATACGTAACATGACAGCCTTTCTCTTTGATCTGATGTGGGGTCCAAGAGATGATAAAAAGATTCCAGGTGCATAGCGATTACCAAATGTTTACATTGTAGCTATATCGGATAACCTCGTTTATCATACAATTAGTTTCTCTGCAATATTCTGTTATGTATTACTTATTGAGCTTAATACATTTCACACGTTCTGACGTAATGTAGCCACATTTGTCACCAGACACTTTACGGTAACGTATTTAAAGCTCTGGTTAATCCTGATTGATTTTGTTACCTCATAATGTACTGGTTGTTGATCGGACTGTTAACCAGTCATAATTTGTGACAGAAGTTTGCGCTGATTAAGGCAGTATTTGAGTGGGATTAGGTCTAATCAAACAAAACACTGCGAGGAGTATGCTAAGTAATAACTTTAAAATCTTTTATTGTATTATTAACTTTTACCTTCATTTGACAGGTAGGAAAAGTAAATAAGACGTATGCATACGTTAATTGGTAGCATATTTAACTGGTAACAAAGAAACATATATTATAAATATCAAAAGTTAATGATGTATTAATTGAGATCCAAAATACATATCCATCATTTGAAACTTGGAAGTAAATATTTATTTTGCATCATTTCGGTTAAGCAATAACAAGAATGTGGTCCTGTTACATAGGTTGTAATATGCTCTTTTTAATAAAAATTAGGGATGCTACAATTTTATTTCTAGCTATATGAAGTGCAAGATGCTTTGAATATTGTATGGTTGTTTATTTATATCATACTTTGTTATTGTGACACAGCATCTGTATTCCCTATTGTGTGCAGTGTTTTTTAGTTGTAGCAACAAGCTTTAACTTGTTATTGATAGATTAATCTCTGTTCGTCACTCTGCTACATATATATGTGGTTAAAGCGTTTCCGTGTGAACATCAGTGTAATGTTTCGATTTATGCAAAATAGATAAACATTGACATAGTTGAATTAAATTGAAATGTTGGCTAAGTACCCAAAAATAGAAATGTACCTATATACTATATGTTACAGTTTTGAATGACAGTGTTGTATGCCTTAAATTCTTTTGGATTGTCACTTTATATAAATGAACCCCCTTTGGTTAATTGTTCATGTGATTTAAATGTACCGTAAATATTTTTCACAGTTTATTCAATATCTAAATGAATATTTTCACTAAAATAGTGGCATGATGTGTGTACCCTATTGCAAGATACACATTTGAATATTTTATCTGTCATGAAATAATAATATAGTAAATCAGTATTAGACAGAAGAATTAATTAAGATAGGACTATGTATGTATGTATGTATGTATGTATGTAATAAAGGTTACTTCTCTTTGTATCATGAAATGAAATTGTCATTCATACTTACTTTTCATTCATGCAATAATTTCATTGCATTCTCATACATTCATACAACAATTTTATTGCATTCTCATACATTCATTCAATGATTTCATTGCATTCTTGTACATTCATGCAGCAAATTTCATTGCATTCTTGTACATTCATGCAATAATTTCATTGCATTCTTGTAAATGCAAAATCCAAAAATAAAGCCTGAAAGGAATAATTTTCAATATCAACATTAGCATTGTATCTAATTTCAATTTTTTTCTATTTTCAGTCAAAATTCTCTTGATGAAAATGCCATTGAAACAAATCCTAGTTATGATGAACAAGAAGTTTCTATGAATATATTTCCTGAAGATAAAGACCAAACTAATGTGGAAGGGACTACAGATCTTTATCTTAAAGCAGCTTTAAAAGAACATGAAACTTCTAAAAATTTAAAAAATAGTGACATAAATAAGAATATCCCAAATGGTAAAATTAAGATTAAAAATGGTCATGCATTAGAGCCATTAGCAGACTTAAGTACAACACGAAATATTGATGGTTTACAGACTACAGAAATATAATCTTCAAAAACAATAAGTGTGCGTAAAAATATGCATAGTTTCCATACATATTATTTTGTATGACAGTGCTTATCAAGAAATTTTATTTAGAGTGATCAGAGAAAAGTGTGTGTGAAATTGGATAAAAACAAGAAAATGTGTTTTATCATCAATATATTACATTTTTAGATTTTCTTAAAACTGGTGCTGGCACTGGCTTATGGAACATGGAGATAAGTTATTACTTTTTGGGAAATATTTTGTTCATTTTTTCCAAAAATTTTGTGGATATGGCATGTTCATTTAATGGACAGACATATTGGAATCAAGATTTATATATTGATAAGATTATTTTCTCAATTAATCTTTGTGTTATATGTATATTTATTGTGGAGTTGATTCCTCAGGTGCCTAATTCTATTTAAACATGTCCTATAGTTGTGATATAAAGTTATTTTTGTACTGTATATTTATCTTGTGTACAAGATACTGTTAGTTTTTATTCAGACATCTAACACGCTTTCAAATTGTACCTTTTTTTATTCTCCAGTAAAGGATATCTTTTTTTATATTATAAATGAGATTTTGTTGTATTTTTAACATTACCTTTTAATTTTAATTCTTATTAGAAACTTATTTTCATTTTCATTTGATATTATTACAGATTTTCATTAAACTGGTATTTTAGGGAAAATGAATTATATTCAGTTGATGAGAATCTTTTTTGACTTCTGTTCGTTCGATAGATCTTGTGGATTCATACCCTGTGAATATAATACATGAAAAGGTGTCCGTTATTAAGATCTGGATTCATGATATACTCGTAACTTTTGATTTTTTGAGGAAAAAAAAGTATAAAAAAAAGCTTACAGGGTGATAAAAACAAGCCTTCACCTTTGTGTAAATTTTAAACCTGCATACCTCTGTAAATAAGCAAACGAATTATGCCTCATATCAAGCTTTTTTTGAAGGCTAGACCACCATTAAGTTCCCCGGCTGATGAAAGAGAAGATCACTATTTAATGGATCTAGCTAAGAAAAACTGTGATAAAAAGAATGATGTAGACAAATAGTAAACATTACATAATTTTTTGTTAATTTATTCTGGTGTGGTGCTGTTAAAGATTTATTTTCCATTTTTATGAATATATGACAAAAATAGAATAGGGTGCAATGCTTGCACTTGCTTCCATGAAACTTTCAAGTTGAAAGGTCCATGACATGTCACACAATATCTAAGGCTTTAAAGAGTTTGTATTTTATATTATGAAAAGTTTTTGCAAATATAACTAGTAAAGAACATTGAATGGAGAGGGATACAAGCTTGGTTTTAAAAGAATATAATGCAGAACAACACTTAATTTATTTTATTAATGCACTTTTAACTTAATCAAATGTTTTATATATTATTATGTAAATATTGTACGTAGTTGTCATTATGGTTATGTATAGTTTTCTGTATATTTAAAAAAACAAATTAAATATATTAAATTTATATATGTATACATTTCACCTATTGTCGTCACCTATGTCTGTCGGTCCGTCCATCACTACAGACTGTTTCTGATCCAGGAATTGTTTTGGTCAAGAGTAAGAATTCCATCGAAAATTCAAAAGATTTGGTTTGTAAATTTCAGAGTTGACACAATATTTGTTGACAAGATATTTACGCTCACAATCATGGAACCCTGCAAACATGTGTTTTGTCGATAACCCGCAGGGTTTGGATCCCGAAAAATATGCAGTATAATAGGCCGTGTTTATAGTAATATAAACCTATCATAAGTGATATAAAGAAGCTTGAAATTATTAGAATAATTAGTTTGATGTAGTAAACCAGGGGTGGTTAAAGCAATTCTGCAAAGAGAAGTCCAGAGGCGGGGGGAATTATGCCGGAGGATGGCAACACACCTACATGTATGTATTTTGATTTTTTAATAGAATTTGGTCTCCGGTTATGGAACTAGTTTGAAGATCTATCTATTGGACAGGCGATTTCGGGTAGCATACTGAAGCATTTTCACTGGAATGTATTAAGAGAAATGAAATGGGGGTTAAGGTTCTACTATATTCTCTGACTTGGCTAATGAAGCCGAGAATACACCATGCAGTGTGATATGAGGCACATTTTGTCTGGACAACAAAACTACGGCCTACTCTTTTATCTAATTTTAAGTCCCATCCTTGTCAGGCCCTCCGTTCTACACCACTAACAAGGGAAAACCTCGCCAGAAAATCCCGAGGAATTTCCTCTGCTCTGCTAGATCCTCACCAGCGACCCAGAATCTTACTCACTGAGCCACCACGGCTCCCTTATTAAGAGAGGGAAATTTGACATCGGTGAGTTATTATTTATTTTACAACTGGTTGGCTCACATAAACAGCATTTAGCATTGAAAGTTCTTCAATGGTGCAACTAAAATAGGCATCAATGAATGAATAATATTTATTATCGTAACTAAATCTGCCTACTGCATGTCTTTAGACTTCAGATGTTATACTCAAAATCAACTCTGTAGACCCTCGGATGACTTGGATTTAAACAGTCGTCCATTTTATAACAATCTGATTAAAATACAGATCTATATTTCGTTTCGTTTTTTTTTATACTTTCGATGGCATACACTACATGGAAGATCTGACAAGTTATAGCGATAGGTCACGTCAGGGGTCAAAAGACCAACTTTTGACCTATGACGTCAGACATTTGATTAGCCAATCAGCATTGATGTTACTAGTGGATTACCCACAGTTCCGAGCAAAAAAGGTCAAACACTCGATTCGACAGATCATTTGATTGGCTGACCCATCATTTCAAGCAGAACACGGGTTAAATAACAAGTCTTCCAGATCCAAGTGTAGTAAAGACAAGTAAAACGAAATTTTGAACTATAAAAACGAAACGAAATAGGATCTGTGTTTTAACCAGATTGATTTAATAATTAAATCAATAAATGGCTGATCAAGCTAACGTTTACCGTTAGTCACTGACGTCACTACCAGAGACTGTGGATGAAAAGCCGGCCAATCGAAGGTACCGTAGCAATTGAGAATGTTACTTGATTATCCAGAATATGTGGGTGGAGTTATCGTCTGTCAATCAAACGATCGGCAATCCTCGGAGACGGTGCGGAGACAGTTGATACATATTTCTTGTCCAAACTTCCAACAGTGACAACTTTCAGAATAAAGTAATTTGACTGAAATTTTCAATATTATCGTTTTCCATCATCTATTTTTGAATTATTATAGCAAGAATGGCCAACTCTTTATTAAACTCTCAACTAATGTATCTTTGATGCGTTGGTGTTAATTGAATAGGAAGTCATTGGCTAAACAATATAAACCCCCGCGGGTTCAGTTCTGCCACTATGTAAACCCTTACATCAAATTTTGACCTTTCACGGTGCTCAAATTGGTCCGAACAAATCCATAACTACAACCATAATTGACCGATTTGTGAAAAAAAGAAATTGACTGTGTGACATTGTGTGGGTCACTTGTGGCGAGGGTGAGCGATTGGAATTTCTAAAAGAGGTTATAGTTTAAACACCATTATTTAAACTGGTGGCTGGCGCGGATCCAGGGGGTGGGGGTGGGGGGCCCTCAGCCCCTGTGAGACTGGTCATCACTGTTCAGACCAGCAATTGGATTCCCAGATTTTAGTTTCTGTTTAATGAGGCGGCGACGAAGACTCTGGGGACTACACCAAACCACTAGTGCATGCGGCACTCTGATGATTATACCCTTTGCTCCAATGTATTCAGACAAGGAGTGGGGTCGCCTGTCCAACCTCGTGGGGTTTGCCCGGGTCCTCCGGTTTACTCCTACTGCTAAAGACCCCTACGCACAAACGAATTATTGAAATAAAATTAAAAAACCATAATATGTTAGTCCCGAAATGACCTAGTTTGTGTCGAGTGGACGTTAAACCCCATCTCTCTCTCTCTCTCTCTATCTATCTCTCTCTCTCTCCAATGTATGCCCCCCCCCCTCGATAAAATCCTGGATCCGGGCCTGGGTGGGGGGCTGGGTTCTTTGAAAGTTTTATGAATAATGTACGGCCAGTAATAAGAATACACATGGATATTGTATAAATGTTTATATTCAGTTACAAGTAATATATACATAGAAAATATATATATATATATAAATTGCTAAAGAAAATTTACACGAGATGCAATAAGCAGGCGGGGATGTAGGGTAAGGGGATGCAGAGGTGCGCCCAGTCCACTTTCTATTGACAATTGTTGGGGAATGTCTTCACTACCATATGAACGTACCTTGTGTATAACCGGAGGGGGGGGGCTGTGTATATAAATATTAATAACACTGCTTACAATATTATCTTTTTATTGGCCTCTGGTGGATCAACACGGGCTCACTAACCAGGAGGTCCCGGGTACGATCTCAGTGCTGCAGTGAATAATTCTTCGCAACCTGGAAGTTTGACTATATTCATATACCAGCTTTGAACGACCTGCTAGTGCACAAGAATCCTCAATTTTCGTACTAATGGGTTTCCAATATACATTGTTTTAGAATCTTAAAAGGTACAAACATCGTATCAAGCTTCAAAATGGAAGAGTAAATTTAACTGACTGGCTCTGCTCTATTGTCTTTCTATAATTTGTTAGCAATATTAAGTTATTTTACTCATTGGTGAAAAATAGCTACGTCACTGACACCATTCCGACAGAATAAAAGCATCAAACGAAAATAAGAGTGTCACAAATTGCATGTTCTAATGGAACATGTAACAAATTCACTTTTTAAGTCAAATTTCTCAGAAAAGATTCCATTTTTTACTTTGCAGATATTTGGTTCGCGCAGACAATAAGCTATTTTATGCTATGGATGTTAATACTTAACATTTGAGCTAACCATACGAGAATCTAGTTGACACTATTTTGATGGCACGTCAACCGATGTTCTCTTAAATAACTACGTTCAGTATTATTTATTTAGTTCAATATATATTCATTTAATATCAAACTATGCCGTTATATTAGAGTTCGCATATCCGATCCAAAATTTTTTTTAATATTAATCTTAATCACGAATTGAAGCACACGTTTCGTAGTAAGCTGGTACTCGGGCCAAACCAAAAATACTATCAAACGTATATTGCTTGACATTAGTCGGTTTGGTGAATTTACAATTTTGAAATATGCCCGTCAAAAACAAGAATATTTCCATCCGAGCTAAGAATTCACCCAAACACTTTCTTCGTCCCATAGAAAACACATTAAATCGCTCAGTGATAGCTTGATCCAATTGTCCTTCGCTATCGAGGAATCGGTCCGGCCGGAAATTGAAGGGATCTCCCCATATGTCCTTGTCGTGACTGATAGAGTACATGTTAGGAATAATGATGGTTCCTTCCCTAATGGTGTACCCACTTAGTTCCGTATCTTTTGTAGCAGCATGGGGAATGGCCAATGGTGCTATGTTTGAAAACCTTAAAACTTCATGTATGGTTGCCATGCAGTAAGGCATTTTGGCTTTATCTTGTAGTCTTGGTGGTCGCTTTCCGAGTACGTTGTCAATCTCTGCGTGGACAACTTCTTGGGCTTTAGGATAAGCTGTTAAAAGCAATATCGCCCAGTTCAAGACAGTGGACACAGTTTCAAATCCAGCTCCCATGATGTCATCAATTGTTGAATAAATTCTTTCTCTACTCAGGGTTGAGTTAGGATCAGCTTCGTGTTCATTGGCTGCAGCAATGATGCCATCGGACAAGTGCCTAATATTTGAAGGAGAAAAACTTTCCAGATTTTCTTCGATCTTTTTGTTCCTGATGGCTTTGAAGCCAGTGACAAGTTCAACAAACTTGGTAACTTTCCACGGCATAATAAACCGCATCCAAGGCATCACATCAACTGGATTTCCGGTTCCTACAAATTCTGAAAACTCGCTCGAACTAAGTATGAAATCTCTAAAGTATGAATCCTCTTCTCGGATATTAGTGTGCTTACCATAACAAATTTGAAATATGACGCTACCAACGCTGGAATAAATTATGTCCTTCGGGTAAAAGGGTTGGCCCTTCAGTTGTGCAAATTCTGTTAATGCGATCTTAGCTTCAAAATCTACTATATCTTCAATAGGATTTTTACGAGCACTGGCAAATTCAAGTAATTTGTTTGCAGCCATCTTTTTATGAGTAATTGTACGTTCATCAAAGACCCCAAAGCTCATGGTTTCTACACCCAAAATAGTATTTGAGTAGAACTGTGGTCTTCCAGAAAAATCATCGCCCCTGCCGACAAAAGCTTCCTTTATAAGATCCTTACCATTAATAACAACAGCCGGAAAACTGCCCATTTTCACACTAAAAATGTCACCATACTTTTCTCGAAGTTTAGAAAAAGTAAGATATGGATGGGTTCCGAAGAATGGTAAATATCCGAGCAAAGGTACACCTGAAGGTCCAGGCGGTTGATTATCTCTTTTAACAAAATCCATTATAACTTTAGCCCCGATCAGTGCAGAAAAGAAAGTAATCAGGGTGGCCTGGATCCTGGTATTAGGATCCACAAAATATGTTGACAACTCCTGAATCATTGACATTGTACCGCCAGTAAGTCCAATGGAATAAACACTAAATGATTTGATATTTGTCAGCTGCGCTCAAACACAAACAATCTTACTTATAATATAAGTATGCGTCTATAAAACACTAGTCCCTTACTTATAAAATAAGTATATATTAGTCTATAAAACACTAGTCCCTTGTCGGTCGCAGAATAGGGTTTTATATAAGCGATATTGTAAACAAGTATCAGTTACAAGCAATGTCCATCCAGCACATATTTTGCACACTTTCAATATCCACTACCTGCTATTCTCATTTGAGGCCCCCTTACGTTATTTACTGAACTCCACTGACTTTGTCAAGAGGATAATTCTAAAAATAGACGCATTATGAAATCTGTACACACAGTTTTTGACCTAGATGTATATCATGTCTCGTTGCTGATAGGGGTTAGTTTGTCATAAACTCAGTCGATACATTTTCCAGGTACAGGAAAGCATAGCGTGCAATTATGTGCCCAGGTTAAATTGAAGGCCATGTGACCACCCGTCCACCTCAGTTTGTACATGTACATATGTATATAATACAATGTACATATAGAATGCCATAAGTACAGAGGCCAGCTTATACATTCAGCGCATTGCAGAGTGGCCTACAGCCTCAAATATGTGTGCTAATTAAACAGTGCCCGAATAAGACGCATGAGGGCCCTGGCCAGTATGGCGGTATACTAGATTAAAAATTCTAAAATACTATCGTCCTGTAACTTCTATCCATTCAATTTCTAACTTCTACTCATGTAATTTCTAAATTAAGACAATGTATAATCCAACTTCTTATTTGTTCAGTGTAAATTTTAATTCTGTTTCATCTTGTTTCTATTAAGACGAAACATGTCTACTTCATTTTCGTTTTACATGTTAAGCATGAATGTCGAACAAATTTAGAATTTTGATACTTCTACCTGGCAACCATCATTATGACGTACGTCGTTTGGTAACCAACGTGTGCTCAATTTGGCGATTAAGCACCTGATCGGGACCTTTATGTTGATACAAACTCCGGTTTCCTCCTACTGCTAAAGACCCCTACGCACAAGCGAAATACTGAAATAAAATTTAACAATTTGTTAGTCCCGAAATGACCTAGTTTGTGTCGAGTGAACGTTAAACCCCATCTGTCTCGCCAAAATATACCCCGGACCTCGGTTTTTCGTATACCATCCGAACGACTAGACAGCTCTCCTTGTCAGGCCCTCCGCCACTATGACAAGGAGAAAACCACGCCGGAAAATCAAAATTTCAAATAAAAGTCTCCAAAAATCCTTCACTTATCTTCAAAAAAAAAAAAAAAAAAAAAATTAACAAATGTTGTTTAACTTATATTATGTGAAATAATATTTGCAAACCATATCACGTTCGATGTTGTTTTAAATTTTAGCATCGATGTCCCGTTTGTATGTAACAAGCAGTAGGGTCGTCTGTCTAGCCTCGTGGGTTATATCCGGGTACCCCGGTTTCCTCCCACTGCTAAAGACCTCTACGCGCAAGCGAATTAATGAAGTAAAATTGACCGTATGTTAGTCCCGCTTAAATCTTACACCATGTATTGTGCTCCTCGGGCTAACATATATTTGTTCTTGTATTTCTTTCATTTTGAATGCAAACTTCATCTCTTTCTAGAAGATTTCCCTTTTTCATTCCACTGAAAACGACTAAAATCACCCCCCCCCCCTACCCCACATTTTTAAAAATGCGTTTTGAGTGATTTAATGCCACAGTGCTGACATTTAAAATAACAGAATGTTTGACATTTCAAGGAATTTTATCACTTTTGTAACGAGTCAAACATATATAGTATTAGCATTCTGGTGCACTTCAGGCCAAGGAGGCTAGGGCGTAAATATAAATATGGCCAACGAAACAGTTTTTGCTGGATTTTATGGACTAAGACTAGTAATTATTTCCCCTTATTTCATGATGGGTAATGCGAGTCATAAATGGACAATTTTTCCCTTAATTTTTTTATCCCCCCTTCCTGCATTTTTTGGTTGACTTTTTGGTCTAGAATTGGAGAAAAGGGATCAAATTTGCAATTTCATAGCAGTTTTGGGTAATACTGATGATATTACAGCGGGGGGATAGGGGGTGTAAAGTGTCTTTCTGCAGAGCAATCATTGTGACGGAAGTGAGATTTTCACCCCAGTCAACTTTAAATCCGCGTAGCAAAAAATCTAAATGGTCAACCCCCTACAAAATTATGATGAGGAGATTGCCAAATGTTGTCCCCATTGTGCCTATAAAGATTGGAACCAACGGAATGTTGAGAAAATAGCTACAGCCTGTGATGTTACAGCCATTTAACATTGAAGTCAATGGGCAAATAATTGCTAGTCTGAGTCCTTATTATGTTGAAGTATGTTTCTGTTATCGTTTGGAGGCAGATCACCATTAAATTTTACCATCTTATTACCCACAAATTGTAGTTCGTCTATTTAAAGTAATTCTCTCTCTGTCTCTTTTTTCTCCCCTTTTGCATGCCCATTATTGATTTTTGGGTCTAGAATGGATGAAGGGGGTTTGAATTAACATTTTCTGCCAGGTTTTGGTAAATATTCATGATTTTGAGGCGGAAGGATAACGGGGTTATCAGGTTGGCGACGGTGATATGTACGGCAACTATAGTTATATGTTTTTAGTATGCTTCTTCAAGTTTGTGTATCTCAAAATTTTAGTGGTCAACCTAATACAAATTTTAGTGCAAAGACATGACCATTTGTTCCTCTGTCTGTAGTAAAAAGCATTCAGCCCAACGAAAATTTGAGGAAAAGTTGGAGGTGGGCAAAGAGGCCAGAATTAACATTTAAGTCAATGGGATAATTAATGGTGGTCTGCCTCCGTTTGACCGAGCAAGAGTTATTCCCCTTATTCCTGTAGCTGATATTTATCCAATCGGCATTTATAAAGCCCCAAAAATGACAACCTTCGTGAAATAATGCTACTTCGTAAGATCCAGGTATGTCACCCAAGAAATAATATTTATGGAGTATAAATTCCATTACCGTTATTGATTTAAAGTGGTGGAGACTACGTGAAAAGTGTCAGGAATACTTATCCTCGCCTTAAAAAACAGACGTGACTTGGTGTATGGGAACCAATGCTGAAAAAATGCGTTCGGTTTCATTTCTAGTAATCTGTCGATTTTGTAAATTTTACGCATATAACTGTAATATCCGCTTTAAATACTTTAATATAACAAGACACCCATTGCTAAAAGCTTGTCATTACTGTATTATCAGTTTGAAGACTGGCTAAATGATCACAATGACAAGATTGGACATTTTGTCCCATTACTAATTGAAATAACACATGGGATGAACTCAATTTAACACTTTAGTTTCATTTAATTCGAAGAGATTTAGTTCATTTGAATGGACTTTGATTCTTTCAATATCTTTGCGAACGACCTGAACAATTTCTGGCTAGGTCCATGGGCAGATCATTACTCGGAGTCTAGTTCCATGAAGCTCTGGCGTTCTAAGACTTTAGAAGTGGTGTTTAATGAATTAAAGATCAATGGCTTGTAGACATATGAATATCGCCAAACACTGATAAAACATTGAAAAATAAAAACCAAATAAATTATACTTTGCCTTTAACTGGAATATGAAAAGGGACCTCAATCATATGCATGCGTTCGACACACTCTATTCTGTTGAGACTGAGGTCGTAGAACATTGTAAGTGAGGTACCATTTACTTGAAATTAAAGTGTTTTGTTTTCTGAATACCTTGCAAAATTGTCAATATTCCCAACTGAATTCTTCAATTATAAAAAGACCCCAAACCGCTCTCCCGCGGGACTATTTTGTGGGGTTCTTGTAATATCCTGTATAAGCGCTGCTATCTGAAATTTCTCAGAAGAGGGGGAGTGCTTGATCGTGAAAATAAATCTGCCGGGTAGAGGTGTGGGTAGGACTGCCACTGCCTTTATGATTAAACTTAAAGTCGGCCTGGACGACGGTCTGAAAACTAGCAGATTATTGTTTGCCATATGTTCTAAAGAGGACTGCAATCCGTGTAGCCGGCAAGTCTTTATGGCTTTATGAATGGTCTAACATTGACGGCTTGAAAGCGAAGAATTGATTATGACCAAGATAAGACCACAGTAATATAGTTTACAAAGAAATTTCTGTACGGCAATATTGTAGTATGATAATATTGACGGTGTAATGGTACAGCAGTCAATCACGGATCTTCTTTAAATAACTAGAGACATATTGAGGAATTATCTAAATTCCCTTATAACCACTATCAACGACGTCAGAACCACGCTTCCAGGTCAACATGAACGATTTTGGAAATAAAGGGGCTAAAACATAAAAAGGTTTGCCAAGTATTTTAATTTGAAACCTTAGTGCGATTACATGAACAATGAATCCTAGAAAAGAGGAGTATTGCCAAGCACAAAGCAAATTTTCGGGCAAATAGCCTCAGCCACCCCAAATCCAACAGAGATTGGCTCCCTACGCCTATGCTTTCCGAACTTTTCAAGGATTACCGAAGAACCAGAGTCGAAATTCTTGTTTTCAAAAATTGTTCGCATACTATAAGAGCTGATTTACTGTTGGATCTTTATTCATTTTTACGTAAAATATATCTAGATGTAATTGCCAAAACAAAACGAGACGAGAAACTTTTGTTACAGGGGTATATTTCTTTAGCATTTCCTAGTTTCATATAATTATTGGAGACACGCTGTTGACATAATTTGATATTCGTTTGTATTAAAATGGTTGATGTTACAGTATCGTGGTAATGCTATAAATTGCATTGCATCAAACGCTTAATTAATTGAAATCTCTGGGTATTTATCTTCTACCCTATTCACAAACTCTTACTATATTATGTGTATAGTCTATTGATAAAGTCAGAATAGGAATTGAAACATGTAAACAACTGGAAGTGGTTAGTGGTTCGTATTATTCATGGGAATTTTCTATAGTCTTGGAACAGTATATAAATGACCCAGCTTCATTCATTTCTTCTACCATAAAAATATATCTAAAAATGGCAAAAAAGTTGGAACTGGAGCCCCCAACATCTACTGTACTACATGCCCTGGTTTGCATATTTTCCTTTTTCAAAATGAAATGAAATGAAATGGGGTTTAACGTCCCGCCGTTCTGCTCCGAACTGGGCAAATGAAGACGGGCACACGCCATACAGTGTGCTATAGAGGGAAATTGGACCCAGACAGCGACACTGCGGCCTACTCTTATATCGAATTCCAACTGTCACAGGATCTTTTTTTTTTACGTGTACATCAATGTGTACACATGACCTCGGTTTTTCGTCCCATCCGAACGACTAGACAGCTGTAGTTGTCAGGCGCTCCGCCCTGCATCACTAACAAGGGGGTGCCACGCCGTAAAATCTGAATGAGGCCACCGTGCCCCCCCCCCCCCCCACTTGTTCAAACTCAAATAATACCCAAATCTCCTAACCCGTATAGTTAAAATACAATATCCTTTGGGTCTTTATTGGTGATATATACTATTAAAAAAAAGTAGGGGATATTTGATTTTGGGGGCATAATACTAAAATATGCAAATGACTACGAAAAAAGTCACTATAGAACCTAACAGAAGAAACATTTCCAGTTACATGTGACGCCCAAACGCACCAATAGCTACCGCATGGAATGCAGGTGATGCTTGGGATCATCATGGGGGTCCAACCCAAGATTTGCACGACTCTGACTTTGAATGTTACAGTCATTGTGGCATTGAATTCCAGGGTGGAAACATCAGTTTAATTGTTTTAGTGACCAGAAAACAAATTTTGATATGCGTCGGCTTACCCAAAATGAAAGGTTACGTGCCCTTGGCATGCTACAGATCGGCACAACACAGGCGGTTGTGGCGCGGACGATGAATGTTTCTCAGTCTGTCATAAGCAGGCTATGGTCCAGATACCGTGATACACAATCTGTACAGGACAGACCACGCTCAGGTCGACCAAGGGCGACAACTCAAGCCCAGGATCGATTTATCCGTACCTTGGCCTTGAGAAATCGTGTCATCACAGCAAATCAGATCAGCGCTCGACTTCAAACAGACACTGGTGTGAGAGTGAGTGGCCAGACGATTCGGAATCGACTGCATAGGGGTCACCTTCGCGCCCGACGTCCTCGCGTGATCCCTTGTTTGAGAGATCATCACATTCAGGCAAGACGTCGTTGGTGTAGGGATCGTCAACACTGGGATAATCGACGCTGGAGCAATGTGATGTTTTCAGATGAGTCAAGGTTCACTGTTGATTTTTTGGACAGACGTAGGAGGATGTGGCGTCGTCGAAACGAGCGCTTCCAAGACGTTAACGTCATCAGACATGATCGATTTGGGGGTGGTTCTGTTATGGTGTGGGGAGGCATCACTGTTGCTGGAAGAACGGCTTTACATGTTGTTGCAGGGCGTGTTACAGGCCAGTACTACCGGGACAACATCTTGGCAGTCCATGTTGTGCCGTTCGCACGACGTCATGGCCGCCGTTTCATCTTCCAGGATGACAACGCAAGATGTCACAGGGCCAGGATCGTTACAGGTTACCTCCAACAACAGAACATCACCACATTACCTTGGCCAGCACTGAGTCCCGACCTCTCCCCCATCGAGCATGTCTGGGACATGCTTGGACAGAGGTTACGTCAACGTCAACAACGTCCTGCCAATGTCCAAGAACTTGCTGCTGCGTTGCAACAGGAATGGGACAATCTGGACCAAAATGACCTTAGACGTCTCATTAGGAGTATGCCACGTCGGATCAATGCTTGTTTGGCAAACAGAGGAGGATTTACCCGTTACTGACTTGGTTGTGATGCTGTGGTAACTTTGCTGTTTGACCCCGGGTATCATTTTACCCTTATAATGGTCAGTCTGTGCCTTACTTAGTCTAACGATCATTTGGAATAAATCGATGAATGTGAACTTCATTTCATTTTGTCATTTGTTTCTTCGTCAGTTTCATTAGGTGACTTTAATAACACTTAAAAATCAAATATCCCCTACTTTTTTTGAATAGTATATTATTTTTATTTTACTGCATTAAACACTATATAGCGACAAGCAGTTGAAGTTTATTCAAAACAGCCATGTATCTTACCTCGTATCTTATACGGCGTGTGTAATTATTTTCATATTTTATTGAACAGACAATAACGTGTTATATTCCAAAAACACAGCGATTTAACAACTTATAAAACAATACAACCCGAAATGAATTTCGAAACGTATTTGTGTATTGTAGCAAGATATTGACAATAGGATCTTAAGCCGTTATAAATATTTTATGTACGGGAAATATGTCTTGTAATGTATACAGACTGAGTCAATAAGTAAACACAGTAACATATAGGGGGTCATCCGTCTTCATAGCAAGGTTTGATCGTAAGAGATCGTGTCTGCGCATTAGGACAGTCATTGCGTTTATTACTCTAAAGTGGGGGTATAAAACAAATTTATCTATATCTCAACAAGCTGATTAGTACCGAATAGAATATGTAATCAGCTAATATATATTTGTTCATATTTATTGTGCTATTTGTCTGGGTGTGGCGTGAATACCTAATAAATCTATATCTTTCTAGGCTTGTTAGTTGGACGTGTGAGTACTTTTTAATATTTTTTGTGGCCTATCTATATATAATTATTAGCAATGATAAATTGTCTAGAGGAACACTGTTTAATTCATACTCTAATGATCTCTTTGGTTATTCGCAATGTTTCAGCCTTACATACATTATTTCCTGGGAGTGTGATTGTGTGATTGGTTACCGAATGTTCTACCGTGTGCACCCTGGATCATTAGGGGTGTATCTATGCACGTCATGGGTTCTTTCCATAACAAGGAGTAGGGTACTCGGGTTTCCTCCCAATTCTAAAGACTCCTATAAGCAAGCCATGACAATGTCCTAGTCCCAAGATGACCCGGTTGAGTGGATATTACGCAATCCTTGCTAATCGATATTTATTGATATGGTTAAATTATAGACATTGATTTGTATTAAATGCCCTCCAGAGAGATATTATTTCTTGGGCTTGGTAGGGGAAGTCAGAGTCCATCGTTGATATTACATTACAAAATGTAGGCCTCTAAACTATAATTCAATATTCGATCAGTTTTGGGAGTAATAACGAAGGACCAGTGTGTATTATTCTTGCGTATTTTAAAACATTACACCACATATTGACTAATCGAATTTGATATAGTCGCATATTATAGAGAGCTTCTAAAATTTACATCATTGACGTGTATTATTAAACAATAAATTATATTGAAAGGCATTTAAGTTGATATTGAAATATCCGTATATAACCCATACAAATCAAATCTGATAGACATGATATTTATGTTCTTATTAAATTATTATATAGCTATAAGATTATCTATTTATTCCCCTTAACCTAGATTGTAAAACGTTACCTGAGTCACGTCTGACAAGAATATAACATGTATAGGTTGCCGGGTTGTTATCAGTGCAGGGTTAAAATGGCGGAAACCAGTGTTTTAAACTGAATTCCCGAAATTAAAACTGTATTGTATTCATTGAAAGGAATAACACATTTTTTCTGGTAAGTTGTTTTGAGATTTTGCTGTCTATTAACATTACGTTTAAAAAGATCACATTGTTCTCCTACCAAAACACTACATAAAATCCTTTCTTAATATTTCGTATCTAAAAAGCATGATAACAGTGTGCTTCCTTGTTGTTGTTTCACGGTATTAAAAAATGAGTATCAAGTGGGTTTGTGGTTGAAATATTAAAAATCTTAGCTTTATTGATTTATGCTGAATTTGAATTTAATCTTCTTTTTAGCTAATTTTATAGATATTTCCCGAATAGTATTTTAATGATGGGTTCTGGCGCGGATTTGCTCGCATCAATGAACTGAAATGTCAGGAAATTTAGGCCCAGTCCTAAAATATAAAAGCTTAATTACGTATTATACGTTGCTATCTGAATTTTTTTCTCGCCTACGGCGCTCGATTGCATAATAGCATCAGTCTTCCTCCACTCCTCTGTGGTCTTATACTATTTCATCGCTACCATATTCACGGTTATAGCGAACCGCCAAGTTAGTAGTACCACTAGTGCGTGGAGCGACAAACTGTACAAATTTTCTGGCAACTCTCACAAAACGGGCGGAATTGACACACAGATCTCAAGATTCTGTCCCATTGACTCCCATTTTGATTCCCATTACTAATCCCCTCGCTCACTAGAATTTGCTCCCAGCAAATTTTCAACATGAGCAGTCTTTGTACTTTTGTTTTAAAGACGGACACGTGAAGTTCCAGTCCGATATTTTAATACTATCGGTATGACCAGGTACATGAACAGACAGAATAATTTAATATACAGTTATTTACGTCATCCGATATCTATATATATATACTATTCAAAAAAAGTAGGGGATATTTGATTTTTAAGTGTTATTAAAGTCACCTAATGAAACTGACGAAGAAACAAATGACAAAATGAAATGAAGTTCACATTCATCGATTTATTCCAAATGATCGTTAGACTAAGTAAGGCACAGACTGACCATTATAAGGGTAAAATGATACCCGGGGTCAAACAGCAAAGTTACCACAGCATCACAACCAAGTCAGTAACGGGTAAATCCTCCTCTGTTTGCCAAACAAGCATTGATCCGACGTGGCATACTCCTAATGAGACGTCTAAGGTCATTTTGGTCCAGATTGTCCCATTCCTGTTGCAACGCAGCAGCAAGTTCTTGGACATTGGCAGGACGTTGTTGACGTTGACGTAACCTCTATCCAAGCATGTCCCAGACATGCTCGATGGGGGAGAGGTCGGGACTCAGTGCTGGCCAAGGTAATGTGGTGATGTTCTGTTGTTGGAGGTAACCTGTAACGATCCTGGCCCTGTGACATCTTGCGTTGTCATCCTGGAAGATGAAACGGCGGCCATGACGTCGTGCGAACGGCACAACATGGACTGCCAAGATGTTGTCCCGGTAGTACTGGCCTGTAACACGCCCTGCAACAACATGTAAAGCCGTTCTTCCAGCAACAGTGATGCCTCCGCACACCATAACAGAACCACCCCCAAATCGATCATGTCTGATGACGTTAACGTCTTGGAAGCGCTCGTTTCGACGACGCCACACCCTCCTACGTCACATTGCTCCAGCGTCGATTATCCCAGTGTTGACGATCCCTACACCAACGACGTCTTGCCTGAATGTGATGATCTCTCAAACAAGGGATCACGCGAGGACGTCGGGCGCGAAGGTGACCCCTATGCAGTCGATTCCGAATCGTCTGGCCACTCACTCTCACACCAGTGTCTGTTTGAAGACGAGCGCTGATCTGATTTGCTGTGATGACACGATTTCTCAAGGCCAAGGTACGGATAAATCGATCCTGGGCTTGAGTTGTCGCCCTTGGTCGACCTGAGCGTGGTCTGTCCTGTACAGATTGTGTATCACGGTATCTGGACCATAGCCTGCTTATGACAGACTGAGAAACATTCATCGTCCGCGCCACAACCGCCTGTGTTGTGCCGATCTGTAGCATGCCAAGGGCACGTAAGCTTTCATTTTGGGTAAGCCGACGCATATCAAAATTTGTTTTCTGGTCACTAAAACAATTAAACTGATGTTTCCACCATGGAATTCAATGCCACAATGACTGTAACATTCAAAGTCAGAGTCGTGCAAATCTTGGGTTGGACCCCCATGATGATCCCAAGCATCACCTGCATTCCATGCGGTAGCTATTGGTGCGTTTGGGCGTCACATGTAACTGGAAATGTTTCTTCTGTTAGGTTCTATAGTGACTTTTTTCGTAGTCATTTGCATATTTTAGTATTATGCCCCCAAAATCAAATATCCCCTACTTTTTTTGAATAGTATATTTAATTATTCAAAACATTAATTGTGTGTGTGCATTCCATGCGGTAGCTATTGGTGCGTTTGGGCGTCACATGTAACTGGAAATGTTTCTTCTGTTAGGTTCTATAGTGACTTTTTTCGTAGTCATTTGCATATTTTAGTATTATGCCCCCAAAATCAAATATCCCCTACTTTTTTTGAATAGTATATTTGTGACTGTCGTTTGTCTGTCTGTTTTTCTGTCTGTCTGTCTGTTCGGGGTTGGCAGCTACACTAGGTCTTCCCCGACTCTGAAATTTGGGGTATAGGGGTAGCTCGGACCGGGGAGTAACATAGGCCAGGTGGCGTTAGTCTACCACTTCCGGTTTCGGAGTTATGACCCCCCGAGCGAAGCCGGTCTGTTCGGGGTTGGCGGCTACACTAGGTCTGCCCCGAGTCTGAAATTTGGGGTATAGGGGTAGCTCCGACAGGGGAGTAACATAGGCCAGGTGGCGTTAGTCTACCACTTCCGGTTTCGGAGTTATGACCCCCGAGCGAAGTCTGTCTGTTCGGGGTTGGCGCCTACATCTGCCCCGAGTCTGAAATTTGGGGTATAGGGGTAACTCCGACTGGGGAGTAACATAGTCCAGGTGACGTTAGTCTACCACTTCCGGTTTCGGAGTTATGACCCCCGAGCGAAGTCTGTTCGGGGTTGGAGGCTACATCTGCCCCGAGTCTGAAATTTGGGGTATAGGGGTAGCTCGGACCGGGAAGTAACATAGGCCAGGTGGCGTTAGTCTACCACTTCCGGTTTCGGCGTTATGACCCCCGAGCGAAGCCGGGTATCTTGCTAGTCATAAAATATTTCGATTTCTTATATTTTGAACGAGCCATAAACTTTATTTACTCGGTACGTATCAAGGTACATTGTAGATTTATGGTTTAATTTTTTTTTTCAAAATAGGGGGCTAAAGTTGATACTGTCAAAAGAAAAGAGAAGAGCGTCAAAACATCCAGAGCATTCGGTTAAAACTATTGATGACTGTCATATATGAGGCAGAGTATGCGTACTTTTTCTAGAACAATTGTTATCCTACTAATTACAATTTGAGCAGTTCTCACTTGTCGAATGTTTATGAATAGTATTTTCAAAGTTTACACAAATGTACATCCAAAGAGTTATGACCGTTGACTAACATCACATAGTACTCACTCTATATAAATGCCTTCTTAACCAATTTACACAATATTTGTATCGTGATCTTTATTTACAGAACAGGTCCCGGGTCCCAAAACCATGTGTACGCAAACTATATATAATTCAATAACCTCTGTCCATCCAACCGCCCGTGTGTTGTTCACGTTTGTTGTTAGCTTATTAAAGATTTTTATATTCATATCTTGTTTTGAAATTGTTATAGTGTCCTCTTTTACCTTTAAAAGAAAATCTTTCTACGTTTTCCCAATAATCTCTCCCTGGTGTATGCCCCCATAATACTAAATCTTGTTAGCTCTTAAGGTCGGGCTAATATGGGTTGTCTAGTTCAATGAAAGGACAAACTTTGATTGAGTTTCAATGGATTTGGATAATCACATTTAGAAGTATTACACATTTCTGGAGTTCAAAATGAGAGGTATTTGTTTGTATATCTCTATGAAATATTAATTTGTTTTTCTACCATACAATAAATAAACTTCAATTATATTTAGATGAATCGGTTTATTTATGGTTTTGATCAGACCTCAGTGATAATAAGACACCGAAAACCATAATAAAAGGACGCCACAAACTTTTACCTTCTAAAGGGCAGGTGAAGATGAAACCTCAAACTCTTTGGCAATATGAAGTCGAAACGATAGAGAAGTGACACATTTGTTAGTTTGGATTGGTCAAAGGAATTAACCCTTGTTTAATCAATCGCTTTTGCTTTGTTTCGTCAGGTGAAGGGTATCCCCCAGAATTCTGGTGAAGCGCTATATTCTCTATCATTCAGTTTGATATTGTACGTTGAAGACAAGGCGGTTCTGGGTGACCGTGACTGGTCAAGTCCTAATGAACTGTGCATTTGCTTGTTTAAAGTCTCAGGTCCATCTGTTAATCAGAGTGCCACGAAACGCCTGAACGAAATTTGAACTATTCAACAATGGGAGAAAATGCTAGTTTTTTTAATCAAGAGATGTAGTGTTCTGTATGTATAAATGTTTATAATGACTTCTGTTATATATTTGCAGACCCAAGGAAGAAACTTTCAAAACAACATGGGTTATCAGACATATATATTTTCATTTTTCGTCACAGCTTGCTTTATCTCTCAAGGTAATTGTTAAGATCATAATTAGTTAACAGGACAGTATATCTACACCCAAGTATGCTTACAAAAATAACCAAAAATTATTATATTGCGATGGAATATTCGTTTTACTTCTCAGATCTTTTATTTTATTTATTCTGGTTATAAGAGATATAAAAGTCATCGTTATCAAGTATTGCTATTATTATAACAGATAATAAAGTAGAGATATAATATTATTTATGACTATGACTTGATTCCCCCTAACATACGTGTTTTCGTGACAATAAAATATCTGAAAAGAATATTAGTCACAACCTGAAATTTTGAATAAACACTAAAACTATTCCAGTGTGCAATATAATTTGTATGTGCAGTATTTATTTTAGTATTGATCAAAAGCAGTAATGTGTAGTCTACGTTGCAGGGTATTTTCTTGCGTTGGAGTGTTGATTGTCTTAAATCCATAAACGTTTTTTTTAGAAATTTTGCTTTACATTGACTAAGTCTTTAAAACTGTAATTAATAGTTGACATTTCGATGGTCATCTACTCGACATGGAAAGGCAAATATTTAAAGGGGCATTTTAATAGATTAGATAAAGAGCTGACAGTTAGAAAATAAATAATGAAAGCAGAATATGCTGAAAATTTCAGTCAAATTGCTTCACTCTGAACCGAGATATTAGTGATTCGATTTAAGGCTAGCGTCGATCGTCATTACTACCGTTGGTACGATAATAAACAAAGTCTCGATTATCCGTTTTTGCGTTAAATCATCCGGGGTCATAAAAGGTATTCAAATCATGTGTATTTAGTTCTATGTTCAAATTCACTAAATATCGCAGGCTAACGCTGGCATCGAGAGTTGATTGTGGTCTTGATAAGCTAATTAATGTCTAATTAATAATTTAGATAACATTTCATGCCTAAAGAAAGACCTGCAATAGACAGATTTACCTCTTGCATAATGCATGTTTAATAGTACATATGTGGGTTAAATATACAAGGGTAACAGTTACGGATATATTGTGGGAAAGTGTCCGAGAGAAATTGTCTTAAGAAATGTTGGGATGGTATATAAATACTCGCTACACAATTACTTTTATTTTAAACAGTTCTATCACAGAATGTGCCGAGATTAACAGTGACGCCATCTGGTGGGTTTATGCAGATACCAGAAGGAAATTATACAGGTAATTATTACATCTATATATCGTGTTTCCTGTATACAAATATTAATACATCCTATCTGTATACATATTTATACGTAGTTTATACATACCGGTATTACTTTTATTAATATCGTTTTGTTTTGTTTTTTGGGGTTTTGTTTCGTTCTGTGGATTATGAAGTTTAATATTGATATATTTGGTCTTAGAGGAGACTTCCTGAAGCATTTTCAGTTGGGAAAGATTGGTACTGTTGGGAAGCCGCGATTCGGCAGGTTGCGATGAAGCTCATTGGTTAGCCTCTGTCACAAAGCAACGAACAGAGCAACTCATGCACACCGAACTGACTACTGTTACTCCAACCAAAACGTTCCTTCACTTCCAATGTTACCGAAACAACGCCAGCTGTAGGATGTAGCTGTACTGAACACAAACTTTACTGTATCGGTAGTCTAACATACGTTAGAATGCTCTACGTATATACATAACGTATTGATCACTACGTCGTTACACGCGCAAAATTTTGAACGTCCTAAAATATTTCTAGACCCAAGTGTGACTCTGCGTACCCCTTCGAACCACCGACGAATAATACTTATAACAAACGTGTCACGGACGGATGACAACTTACATTAATTTACACCCAAATGTACACGTTAGCTGTATTCGCAACAGCGTGACTGGGACTTTAAAACTGTAACATGTTTGTAATGGATTTCATATATGATACTCCTTCCTGCTATAAATGGCGTGCGTGAGTTGAAAATGGGCCTTCATTTGAAATATTCTGTTGATATGGGAAGCTCTATATTAATTTAAATTTGATCCATAGGATCGATGGTAAAATACTGCATCCGAAAATAATATATATTTTAGTTCTAAATCTGATCTTTTTATACATTTATTGAATAGTTCTTACTTTATACCAGGGACAGTCGTAGGAAGTCTTACAGCCAAAGACTTATTTATTGAATAGTTCTTACTTTATACCAGGGGAAGTCGTAGGAATTCTTACAGCCAAAGACCCGGATGATAAAGAATCTTTAACTATAGAAATAGATCATACTGATGCATCTGGCAGTCTGGTTCAGTTATCACCACCAGCTGATTGTGGCCCGGATTCGTGTGTAACAGTTAATATTACAGTAAATGCTACTTTAGATAGAGACTATGTTCGTATACCAATATATTGTTATTAACTAATTACAAACAAAACAAAGGGGCTTTAACCAGGACTAGAACGAGGGAAATGAATTAGGGAGCTCGTTTTTTTTGTGAGATTTGCCCAACTTTTAGGCTTTAGATTCATTTTAAGCGGATTGCATTTTCGATATCTTTTAAGATATACATTAACCGATCATGGGCCCTTGTTTGTTCGATCTTGTTACTACATGTAATATATTGTGTTTGTAAAATGTCAGTGAACTATCAGACAGCAAATAGATATACACTAAAATAAAAATATATTTTAATACATGTCGTGACCGCTTGAAAATTCATCTTAACATTCGGAATCTTCTCTAGCAGGCTGTCGTTCATCACCGGAACAGTGAAAGAATTAAACTATTTTGTTGGGACCATTTTTATAGAAGGTCGAGTTTATCAGCCGCAGATATGACAGTGAATCTTCGTGGTGTGCAATTTAAACCGTTTCCTCGACAATGCATTAAATACTGTAACCCCACCTCACCCCAAATTGGGAAATAATTGAATGTTACAATTTTGAATTCGTATTTAGTTAGAACCAATCTTACAGAACGTCTGGTTTATCAGCCGAACATGTGACGCTGAATCTTCGTGTGGAATTTACTCCGTTTCCCCGACCATGCATTAAATACTGTAACCCCCACCTCCCCCCAAATTGGGCAATGATTGAATGTTACATTTTTTAATTCGTATTTCAAATTGCCCAATCGCAGGGCACAAATACTCACCAAAATTATTATCAATGTACATGTACTAGCTCAAGGCTATTTACTAAAACTGCACCGTATTATGTTATACAGGAACCATCTCAAAGACCTCTGTATTTTAAAGTCACAGATAAAGATGGTAATGTTGTAAGTATACTTCTACGTAAATCCGTGCTTTATAGGTTTTGGTTTCTTCATTAGGTTAAGATGACGAGAATACAATTACAGAATACAATCCTAAGAATAGGGAAACACCACATTTTTTTTTAAGAAACCGAACTTTCACTAATTGACTTTTCTGATAATTCATCATTGAACGAACTAGCAGGGGATGTGGTCGATTGGTTTAATGCGCGCGCTTTAGATAATGAAATCTGTTATTGTGTCAAATGGCGCGGTTTTGATTCCCCTCCTGTACATGATATGGATTGTAGCTAAAGACTACGAACCAATAAAAAAAACAGTTTACAAACCAGTCTTACTAATGAAATCGCCTTCGTTTCGCCTTCGTTTTTATAAGGGTAGATAACCATATGTCCATTTATTGAATGATTTATGTAAATAATGTACATATTTCTAATTGTATTATCAAAATCTGTAGTATGTGTTGTTGATTTTAAATATGTAAAACATCTATATGTTTGACTTATGTTATTATTATTGCTATTTGTTCTTTGTCTGTCTGAAATGTTTCATTTTGTTATGTTTAGTATTAATCTTGTCTACGACATCACCTTTGGTGGAAGTGAACGTAACACTCCAGGAACGAACGAAAGAACCTACATTATTATTATACCTTATTATTATACATTATTGTCATTATATCCGGTGATATTTCTAAGCGCTTAACAAATGGCACATCAAAGTTTGTAATAATATTTAAACAAGTGTGTTTTTAACTCCGATTTAAATTTAACAGAAGTTGAACTTTCTCTAATTGTTCTTGGTAGCTTATTCCACGTATGGGCACCATTTATAGGGAAAGATAATTTTCCGCTGAATCTCGTGTAAACACCTGTTCGATCTTCATTAATATGTTATATAATAATTGTAATTCGTTGATAATAAATACGCATTTAGTATAATTTGGACTTCTAGCTAATTCCAAACCTTGTCTCTTGAAGGAGAGCATTTGCGTTTTGCTTACTTTACCCGATGACAGTGACTTCCCATTGCCATTTTCCTTTTCAATTAACGATTTATGGGATTGGTCGATAAATATAGCACAATCATCCAGGGCAAGTAACTTGAAAACGTGTTCCTCCCATAAATTAGCCCAGGGGTTAGTGGAGTAGAACGGAATGAGACTATTGGGGATACCGAGGATGATGAACAGCGTAACCATTTTCGTTATGTAGAGTTACTTCCCATATAACAAACTCAACCTTTTTCAAATAGCCAACCCCTAAACTGTAATATATAATATTTACGGTAGTTTGTGTGACTAATTATATTATTATCTCCATCATGATGTTGAAATTTAATTACGCACTCGTAATATAAAGCAAAGGCTTCATATCGGGTTTAGATTTCAGGTGCCATTTTAATGAATATGAATTTAATTTTTTTGATTTTTTCCAGGATCAATTAAGAACCAGTTTACTGATAACAGATGTGAATGATTGTAAACCAGAATTTAAAAACCAACCTTACCAATTAACCGTCCCGGAGGTATTTGTTACTAAACTGAAATAATAGCTTTTGATATGAAGGTTTTTTTGCAGTAAATTATCAATTCGTTCGAAATTGGACTAACCTGTTTAACGTAGACCTGAACTTCCTTCAAAAATCTTCGATCTAAAAGAACAGAAACGTTAAGTTAAAATTGCATTACGTGAGATTAAAAATCGTCCAAATGACGATCAAAGACTTCAAGGGACAATAGACACCTATGAGTTTAAACCTACTATGGATGTCTTGGTAACGACTCAAAGCCATACAAATATTATCCTGTGGCGAGATAGTCAGAGTAAGAACACATTCTAAAATCAGAAATAAGCATTGATAGATTAACACCTTTGTTTCAGAATGAACCTATTGGAACATCTTTATTGAGAATAAGTGCGTCTGATCCAGATATAGGCAATGGGGGCGTCATCAAACTCAGATTGGAGGTACATATTTTGTATTGTATAATAATTAACGCACATAAGAACTAACTAGAAACATCGTCAAAATCTGCTGAAATTCAGTGAACAGTAAAAACTACTAGTTTGATTCCGTAAAACGTTTAGTTTAAACTTATTTTACATGATGCAAACGTTTAACAATAACACAGTACCATCTTTAATATTTGTTCCAATGAGCTTTCAGTAATTATCTTCTCCATGTCTTTAAATGAGAGTTCTGTTTCACAGAATACACCTCCCTGTCCACGCCCCTTTACTTATTCTCTTCACTCAAATCTCTAGCATATATATAATATAAATAATCTATAACACTCAATATATTTATTAACTTTGTATTGTAAATCATTCATTTTACAGGATCCCCTGAATATTGGAAATCCGTTTTCATTAAAGGGTGTTGATCTGTTCCTAACTAAAGCTTTAAATTATTCAATCAACACATTTTATCAGCTGGAAGTCCATGCTATGGTAAGAACACAATTACTCCTTCTTAGATATTCATCGATATTAGATAACGCCTTTTGCACAACTGAGATACCAGATTCACCAAAGGTTACGGTCTTCTTGCCAACTTAACCCCAGTACAGCAGATCGGATTATCAAATAAACATGTGCACATTGTTAGGTTATCGTTGTATTTAAACACATATATAGATTTTGTAATTATTTATTTTATTATAGGATAATGCATTTCCATTTACACATTTGTAATCATTTATTTCATTATAGGATAATGCAGATCCATATAATAATGCTACCCCGGCTAATTTAATTGTAAATATTGAAGATGTCCAGAATAGTCCACCATACTTCATCTATCAACCTTACATTGGGTCCATTCCTGAAAATACAGAAACGGTAAGTTATTTAAACACAAGATAAATATTAAATTACTCTAATAGTTAAAATTTACAAAAAAAGCACACCCTCTTCCTCCTTTTCGTCGAAATGCTCTATTAGATCAAATATATTTCTAATAGTTTGTCCGACCGCAGTTTATAATCTCAGATAAGTAGTGTTTTTGTCTCAGATGAGCCAAAAAACAGTTGAATTTGAAAACAGAGACCCAACTCTTCTCTTATTGCATAATTAATCTAATTAAATATGATGATATTAGAATAACATAATTAATTTTAATTTGATATGAAATCTTTTTAAGGGATACCATATTCTTACCGTACATGCTTTAGATGGAGACAGAGGTGTTCCCAATTCTATAGAATATTTCTTTGTCGAAGGTAATAATATATTAGTTTCACAGTACTTTTTATTATTCTAATGACCCCGTCCTTCGTCAGGGGCAAAATGTCGACTTTTTTGTCTCTATAATATTACATTAATTCTTTCATATTTTACGAGCACTAGTGTAATATTTATAACCATTCTAATTGGGTCCAACTTTATATTGTGTATACCGCTAACGATATTTTGTTGCTTTTTTTGCAATTAGGAGGAGCAGAACATAACTTTACAATAAATAGTACATCAGGAACGATATCTGTAGCAGGACTGTTAGACGCAGATGATGAAGACGTCCAACAGAATGGAGGTCTCTTTAGACTCACTGTAAATGTAAGCGAAATCATTGTACAGATTTCAGGAATCAGTAGTTTAGTTACCATTATTATCGAAATAGAGAAATAAACAATCGCAAACCACATTTAATACTTGTAACAGATTTGTTAAAAGCTTGACTTCCAGTGTGTCAAAATCAATTGAATTTTTCTCTGACACCAGGGTGTTCATTTACACAGGGCTTAGACCACTTACTAGTATTAATATAAATCGTGATTATGATGATAATATTAAATGTTTTGACTGATAAATCTTTACCTTGTTCAACATTAGCTAATAAGCTTATAATTTGTTATATTTTAAGGCGAGTGAGATTATTCCAGCTGGACAGAATAATACTGGTATAACCTGGTCTACTACATCTGTTTCAATAACAGTAACAGATATAAATGATAACAGACCAGTATTCACCAAACCTGTATATCATGCCAGTGTAGCAGAAAATTCCCCAAAGGGTATTCCATTGACAATGGAAAATGGTGAATTGATAGAAGTCTTTGATATAGATCAGGTAGACTATTTAATCTATTCTTCATGTACCGTGCGAAAGTACATATTCAATACATATTATGCATTTTCTGTGGCCCTTTGGTCCCATTCCCACTGGACAGAAACGACCCCAGTTGGGAAAATCTGGGAGGAACGAAACTAGGCAACATAAACCATAACAGTACTGTTGAATTTCGCTCTATGGAATTCATGAACAAAATTTTTATTTACAATGCCATTTGAGTATTAGGTAAGTTAACATTTCTGCCATAGCATGCTGCCCTTATTCTCAAAGCCTGTGGAATACTCTTAATGGCATCTTGATTAAAAATAGAATATACAGTAATCTCCTTCTGTCATACATTTTGGATATTACAATTTACATGACGATGTTATCAAATTTGAAAACAAATTCCAGTTAGAATTCATCAATTATGTAATCCTGACGACGAAATACTTCATCTTCAAATTAAAATGCACGAACATTATAAGGCTTACATAAGAAACAAGCTTGAACTTGAACTATCTGCAAATCCTAATGTTAGTTCGAAATTGCAATATGATGTATCGTAACTCTGATTCCTTGATCTTACCCGGTACAGTGTATACTATATTATTTAAGCCGGTGAATTATATCCTTATGTTAATCCATGTACTTTTGTAAATTGATTTCATGTATTATTTAGCCAATAAACTTTAAAAAAAAAAGAAAGAAAAAAAAAGTGAACATTACTACAACTCAAATTATCAAGCTATCCCAGAAATCTCACTTGGACTTATGGTACTGGTGGTTTTTTTTTATATGTGCCAACATTTCATTTTATTGACGTCACATGTATCTGTTGGTTTACTTATACACATGTGTGTCCTGTCTGGTGGGTATGTTTTCGCTATGGGGCCATGTTGACATTGGGGTAGGTCGGACGAATTTGTTGGGTGGCCTGAAAAACCCCAGTCTGTAGTTACCCTAGTCTGTGGCTTTTACTGTCCGTTTAAAATCAAAGAATTTAGTGAGAAATTGTGATAACATATTCTTGACTATTTACAGACTTTCGCCATATGTAAAGGTATAAATATATTATTACAGGTTCCCAACAATAGATTTAATCTGTCTATCAATACAGATAATCATCTGTCGTCTGCTTTTGATACAATACCTTCCCAATTTACAACCATATACGGCAGGTCAACTATCATTCTAAATGTCAACAATACAGAATTTTTAGATTATGAAACTAGAACCAACATAACAATTCAGGTAAGGTGTACATTGGTAAACTATATTGTTCATTTCAGCTAGTTAATTTCATCATTAGAAACTCAAAGAGGCATTATGCGAGAGCAAAATTTACTTGTTGACGGGACGTGTTTCTGGCTTCAAATGTTATGTGAATTATTATTCACATGCCAAGCCTATGTCAAACCCATCACTTAGATATTGAGTTGATTAGACAAAGCCTACCCCATCTGCGTTAATTTCCGATAAAAAGACTGACAATCGAGGCTTCGTTGGTTATCATTACAATGTACTGTGGTCACCGTTCCTATCTGTAAATTTTGGCGAATTCTTGTCAAAACTTCAATCAATGGTTCATAACATCGCTCAACATCAAGACATTTGACTGAAATTTTCATTATATTCTTTTTCCATTTTCTATTTTTTTAACTATACTAGCAAAAATGGCCATCTCTTTCTCTAAATCTTCGAGAATTTATATTAAAAGAGATTATAAGCAGCAACCTATTGTTTAGTTATATTCAGACATCTTACTGTAAATCACGACTACAAATCACCAATATTAAAGGATTTGCGAATATTATTTGATTTTTCTTCCCTCTTGTTGTGTTTGTAAACAGGTACTATACAATATAAACATGTGACTGGTCTCCGTTATTTACTTTATTTACATTTAAGATATTCCCTGTTTAGGATGTTTGTATTTACCAAACTGGTGTCCAAGCTTATCTTTAGCACCATATTCACTTGATATTAAGTTAAAATTGAATACCAAAAAAATTGTTTCTCCTAAAGATATTCGTGTTGGTATATGCTATCTTGCAGTTCATCTTATCCTAAACAATATATTCACATTGTTTTATGTTAAAATTAAATCCAACAAATTTTGATTCATAGCTGAAAGCAACAGAAAATGCAACATATGAATCCGAAACGAAAATAATAGTTTCTATCCTGGATGTCAATGACAACTCACCAATATTTGATGAATATCAACGTACTACGTTTATGGTTCACGAAAACGTTAATAGTGGAACATTCGTTGGCATGATGAAAGCCACAGATATGGAATCGGGTGTTATTTACAGCCTTGATGGAGATGAGGATAATGTATTTTCTATTGATGCTAATAATGTAATTACTATTATTAATTATTATTAAACATTAAGATAGTATTATCACCAAATAAAATTTGGATTTAGATGTTTGACTGTTCAGCGTACCACTACTTATAAATAGAGGAAGGAAAAGGGGTGATGCAACCGTTTGTTCAAAATATACTATAGCCCTTTAATGTCATACTCTTACAAAAATATCAACAATTTTAATCAAAAAAGCAAATAATATCCAAATGTACATTCTGGCGTTGTGGACTATATCCCACAGAAAAGACAAAGGAAAACAACGGGCTTTAACGTTCCGTTAGTACAACACCTCGGTCATGTGTGCAACGCTAAAAAAGGGCGGGGGTGGGCATCAATATTTTGGTTGGTATATTCAGGCTGGATACTTTGTATTGTCTATGGTGTTAATTAATCACTTAAATGCATTTAGACACATATTTACCAACCGTATTTTTATATATGATACTGAAACTCTATGAATATGTCATACACCCATAAACCTAGAATGATTTGAGGACTATATATGTTTAGGGCCCTATAAACCTAGAATGATTTGAGAACTATATTTGTTTAGGTCACTATAAACCTAGAATGATCTGGGGACTATATATTTTTAGGGCACTATAACTGTGAATGGATCCCTTGATAGAGAGACAAGAAGCTCTTATACAATATTTGTAATAGCCACAGATCAACCAGAGGATGAAAATCAGCAGAGAGCAACTCGGATAAAGATAACCATTGACATATTAGATATAAATGACAACGCTCCGGAGTTTACACAACTGCCGTCCAGAAGGGATATCCCTGAAGATTCTCAAAATGGGACAGAACTATTAACAGTGCGAGCTACGGACAGAGACAATGGAACCAATCAGGAAATAGTCTATTCCTTGACTGACAATGGTAACATAACCGGATTCTCCATAAATCCCGATTCCGGATCCATAACGATAAGTGGTTCACTGGTTGGTATGGTTGGGTCCAGGTATCTAACAGTAATGGCGAAAGATAAAGGGATACCACCTTTGAATAGTACAGCACACATCAACCTTTTTGTTTTGGATGTAAATCTACATAGACCTATATTCTACAAACCATCCCACAGAGATTACAATCTATCAGCTGGTATTTTACCTAGTGTTGATGTAATGGAGGTACGTTTTGTCGTCTATTGTAATTATCTATAATCCACCAACTAACATTTGTACACGTACTTGTCTATGTATGGTATGTGGGTAAGTTCAAAACACCGACAGTCCAACAAACAGTTGTTTATGATAGCTGTATGGTGTACATATTTGCATCAAATGAAATTGTTCTTCAATTGCACGAAATTTAGATCACCTGTCTTCCTTAAATCAGAGGCATTTGGCTGCTAGAAACTATACCCCCTAGATGGTGCGACCTGTTGTTGTTTCAGTTTTTTGATTCAAATGAGACCCCCGAATAAATTAATACTTGGCTTAAAGGGTGAATAGATTTTAAAAGAATCTTGAGTCATCAGTTTCCATATTCGTCATTAACAATATGCGTGATTTCCATATCCGAGATACATACATTTAAAGGTTTACAATCAGTTATATTCGGTGGATGGTTTGAAAGAAAGTATTTACATAAATAGTGACGTATTAACTTAGAATTTAATATGTTATCTCATGTATCTTTTAACAGGAGCAACCAGTTGAATCAAATGTTTTTTCATTGTATGCCAATGATTCCGATTCTGGTCAAAATGGAGAAATACTGTACTCCATACTTCCTGATAATTCTGATGATTGGCAGAAATTTAGAGTTGATCGGTTAACTGGACATTTAACAAATCTTGTTAGTTTGGATCGAGAAGTTAAAGAGAATTATACGGTATTTATCTGGATAATTTTTGTTTTGTTGCTATAAAAATGGTTTTATTTGTTAACGTAACATGGAATGTTAGTCGTCTGTCAGACCAAGAGGTAAAGGAAAAGATAAGTATAGTTTAGTCCTTGACTGGTTTACACGTTGCTTTACTTACTCATAAACTGCAAATCAATGTATAATAAATACAACTTTCAATAAATGAAGACTTTAGAGAAGGTTGGTATGGAGTGGTGCTAAATTAAGGTCTTTAAACCAGGACGGGATACAGTAAATCTAATTCTTGTTAATTGAGACCTAAATTGCAATTACAAGTACTGTATGTGATATCTCCCTGGTAGATAATGTTATTATAATAGTAAGAGTATATTGGTTATTGTGTTTATTTACATTAATAGATTGTATTGACAGCCGAGGACCAGGGTTTACCGTCGTTAGAGACATCTATAACATTACAAATAGTACTCTTAGATATAGATGATAATCCACCAAGCTTCGAAAATGAAAACAGGGACAAGCCATTCCATTTAAGTGTAGACGAAGAAAGTCGTGACGAAGAGATAGGCCAGATCTTTTTAGCCACGGATAAGGATGCCACACCCATCGTTTGCTATTATATTATAGGTATAGTATTTTATTGTACGGCTTATTAAATATGTCTGAACAGGTGCAGATTGATGTTCATATATTAAACCGATTACACTAGACCCAAGTCAGTTCACTTATACGTACATGACCATAATATAAATAGGGGCGCAATATTTAGCCCCAGCTAAATGTTTGTTAAAGATATTTTGCATGTTACAAGCGCTGGTGCCCGCGAGCTGTCATTGAATGATGCTGTAAATTGAATGGTGTCAGATGTTGAGACACCATAGTTCAGTTGGGTATACTAAACCTATGTTCATACTTTGAAGGGAGTTCTCGCGGGAGCATTGAAACCGCAACTAAGAAGATACATATTTTAAAACGTCTTTATTTTGAAAATGTTAATGCAGTCAGATGACGCCATATGAACTAGAATAATGGGGGCTTAAAATCTTGTCATGTCAAATACTAAAGGGACAAGATACTACCATGCATTTAATTCATTTGGAGATGCTACCGTAATAAAATGACAGTGATGTTACAACACAATGAACGTAGAATGAAATAAAAGTAGAAGGAAATGGAAAAAAAGAGGAAAAATTGGACTCCGAATATTAAATGCCTATGGATAACATTCCTTAATGTCCATAGCCGTTCAAGTTACATTTAAAAAATGACAGACAGCGCATTTCAAATTAAAGAAGTTAGTACCAGAAACGTAATTTCGTTAATTTAGTTTACAGCAACCGGAAAGCAACACTGGACAAGACTATACATTTGTAAAATCTTAATGTGATCCTATCATATAGAAATATTTCTTTTCTTCTCAATTCTTTCTTAGGTGGTGAAATGGTGAACCACTTCAACTTAAATAAAACATCGGGAATATTATCATTAATTGGATGTTTAGACAGAGAGAGAAAAGCCAAAGTTAATCTAGTCATTCAAGCCAGTCGATATTGTTCCCAGAAACCTCCCGTAACCTCCAATAAGAAAGAAGATTTTACGGCAACGTGTCCTCCAGAATATGACCCGGAGAATAATACTCTGTTATGGGTTCAAATTGAAGTAATAGATGTAAATGACCAGCCACCCAAATTTAAACAAAATGAATTAACAGCAGGGTTCCTCTATGATGTTGAATTTGGAACAATAGTTAAAGAATTAAGAGTAAGTTTATGATATAAATGTAGAGAACCTTGTTCATTACACTGATAAAAGTCTAGAAGGAATTTCCCTAGAAAGTTATCCACATAAATACTGCCGTAGTCATCGATGATCTAATTTCTGAATACCTCTCTTGTGATACGGTTATTGACGGCCTCTGTCTAACATCATAAACAACTGATATAAAGGTATAACTACAGCACAGGAACGGGCAGCAAAATTACTCATTGTAATCTAATAAATAGTAACTATCCAGAAACATGTCAGGTCATAGGCCTAGTTCTAGTCTTCGTCTCCTCCTCGTTACTCACATATCACTCTCTGGGCAATACCTAATATAGTAATAAACGTATTTGACAATCATTAATAATCTTAAAATACGATGTGACATCATCATTTGATGTTGGCGTACCATTATTTCAAGTATTTCAAATACGGGTACCGTCACTGTGCGAATCGCCCCTTATTTATACAAGATGGCGGAAAATGCCACATGATATTGTTATCCATATAACTTTGTGTTTATTTTTTAAATTGTATAATATTGGTTAAACGGCAAAGCGGAAAGATTACCATTACTGGCGAAATGACATTCTATTTGACCGTTTGTTGGTTAAACGGCGCAGCGGAGAGTTTGTCATAACTGTCGAGGTGTCATTCTGTTTGTCCGGGGCATATCTCCAACACTTCAGCATCGATCTTCGACAAACTCGCATGGCATGTCCAGATCAGTGATCAATGGTCAAATAATGCATTTTTCGTGAATGTATCTTCTACAGTTTCAATCGTATGGCTATCAAACGTTGACATTATTTTAAACTGAACTGGTTTAAATTTTGGCTTTATTTCCAAATGGCATCCTCTGATCTTGAGTATATTTCGAAAGTTTTAGTGGCCATATCATTGTAATATTTGTCACTATCTTTCCCACTATATGTTTCACCATGTATTCATATTCTTCTCATAGGAGGAAGTCACCGATGATGATGTTGGCATTAACGCAATAACATACTTCAGATTATTGGGCATATCAACAAAAGATATGGAAGTAGACATCGGAACAGTTAAACCTTTGATACTTGATTCAAATGGTACTGTTAAAACAAATATGTTATTTTCCTCTGATATGACTGGTGCTTTTGTTCTAGACATTCAAGCTTATGATATCGGAAATTTGACAAGCGATGCCCGATTTGAGGTGAGTTTAAAGATGCATCCTTTTGATAAGTAGTACTTTATCTATGTTGCAACAATGAAGAAAATAATTGTCATAGTAAATTATCTTTGATGATTTGGTGTATAGATAATATCTTAACTGTTTCCACCTCAATATATCTACATCACGACGGCTATGGATACATATTTCTATGTATGGATACATATCGTTTTGTTATTTCATTTCTTATAGGCCATTAAAATATATTAATCCTAAAACTGAATAGGGTAATCTTGTTTCCCTGGTTTTCAAATATTAATAAAAGATAAAAATCTAATCGATCCTTATCAGTTTTCAAAAAGTTTAATGTAAGAAAACCACTTAAGGACAGATAACGTGAGAATGTTCCATAACGGGAAATTTGTTACGTTATAATAAATATTCAAGGGTTATCTATAAGGGTTATTTAAACTTTTCAATTTCAGCTTATATTTTATTTTGTTTTTGTTTTTAATTCACAGATATATATAATCAGTGATATTCAAAGGTTAAAATTAGTGTTCATGAAAACACCCGATGAAGTTCGAGCTTTCAAAGGCGACCTTATTGAGTAAGTTTATATCAAGTACTATTAACATTAACAGAAAGAAATATCAGTTGACACAGATGAATCCTGCTAGATGAAACAAAACCATGGTATTGTTATCTATTAAATGAAATTGTATTTATTTATATCTAATTTTAATTAACAGTTTAAAAACTGTTTTGACTGGATCTGAGAAGTTCAGACGTTCGAAGGTTTATATTGGTCGGTACAACTAAATATTTCTGTGCGTTAACATGACAACACCATACATGTATGGGGTATATTGCAAGACAAGAAGGTAGTCATTCTTTCTATTGTTTTATTTTTATGAGAACACAACATAGATTAATATGAGGTTAACTTCGTGCGGTCGAAAAATTTGCATCTTTTTTTTTTAAAAAAAACCGAAATCGCGTCAAAACATCACAACTGCATTTAAAGTTGCAATTTCCTATTTTTACGTTATATTTTTAAACTTTATTAAAATAAAGTCTTAAAATAGACGGTATCTATAAACAATCCTACCTTGTTAAAGAACAATCCTTTTAATCCTATACTTCACTATACTTCAATATCATTTTCCTCTTCAAATTCAAACTTTTGAGGATAGCTACTCCATGGTGGAGAATAGAAAACAAGGGGGGTAATTGGGAGGTAATTGTGTTATTATTTCCGGTGTAAATGAGTTTTAAGTGTGAGAATGACACCTATGATCGTATAATAGTGAGTTGACAACCTATTGAGCGAACGACATAGAAATAATTATGTTTTGACTTTCTTAGAAAATATGAAATTGTAACTTTAAACCACAGTGAATCGTTTTAGATTATAATCAAGTGAGCTAAGTTATAGTGAAAGGGGTCATATGAGATAAAAATCAAGCACACTACGAAAATCTTAGTGAGCGTATTAATATGTTGTCACAAAACTGTAGCTTTTGATTTTATTTTTTCAGAGAATTAGAAAAAGATTTACAGTTTCGTATCATCGTTGATAAAATAGCTACTCACCAGAATTCTGACGGAACTCCTGTCATAACTAAGTAAGATGTTTTATTATTCTCTAAATTATACATCTTTCTGATAGTATTATATTTATATAGGGTTATTTACAATATTGTCCAGCAATAGTTAAATGGGACAGATGTCTCAATAAGTCATGCCCCTTATATAAGAATTTGCACGAAACGTAAGAGCATATAATTGTGTCGTCAGAAATTACTCTTCCCAATCCTTAATGGCAAAAACTTTATCAGAAATGCACATCATATCCTGTTTTTGGTTGCTATGCTATTATCTCAGTGCTGTTTTCTGGGAATGGTAGCGTATTCCAGCACCAATGACGATAACTCAGATAAATTGTTAAAATTAATAAACGAGTGTCCAAAACTGGGTAACGGTTACAATAACGAGATAGGTATCGCTAGAGTGAGCCGATCAACAGACTAAAGTTACAGTATATATACAAGCCGAGTATTAAAAAATAATTAAATAATAATATTTAAAGGCTCAATACCACTCTTGTTGTAACTGAATAATGTCCCAATTTTTATTCTGGTCAACAAATTGTACTATTTAAAAAAATGGAAAAATTCAATTAAATGATTTGAAAAGCCTAATGTAAACCTTTTCAAATGTGACTTGGATTTAAAAATATTTTCGAACCCTCTGGACAAGTAAAATAGGATGTAATGGATAATTTACACAACAGGTAGGACACTAACACATCTAGTACTTAGAATAAGGCTATTATTTATTTTCTGGAGCTGTCAAGCCAGCAAGAGTGTTATTGTCCCTTTAAGAAATGTTGAATTAAACATAGGAAACATATGTTTAAATACAGAAAATGATACGGACATAGCAAGAACGCGTGTTAACTATAATTACGTAATGTATAATATATCGTTACATTAAAGGGACAATAACACTCTGGCTGGCTTGACAGCTCCAGAAAATAAAAAATAGCCTTATTCTAAGTACTAGATGTGTTAGTGTCCTACCTGTTGTGTAAATTATCCATTAAATCCTATTTTACTTGTCCAAAGGGTTCAAAAATATTTTTAAATCCAAGTCACATTTGTAAAGCTTTACGTCAGGCTTTTCAAATAATTGAGTTGAATTTTTCCAATTTTTAAATTAGGTGTGTTAAGATGAAATTTGTATCATCAATTAATTGGAATATTGTAAAATAGTACAATTTGTTGACCAGAATAAAGATTGAGACATATTATTCAGTTACAACAAGAGTGGTATTGAGCCTTTAAGGAATAAACTCAAACAATTCGGACATTGGTCAATTGCTACATTAACCGAAATTAAATAATAATAAAGGTATACAAGGATATACTCTAACACTATCTTGCTTTCTTTATTTCTGACTATAATTGTTTTGGTGTAAACCAACTTCCAAGTTAAATATCCCAGTCGTATTTTAAAAGATAAGTGCATATATGTTTCTCTTTTAACTAGATCCAATTACAATGCTTTGAAGAATCGTCATTCCTACACCAATTGGCAATATTCATTTTAACCTTCTGGCTTTATAATTTTATTGTATTAATAATCTAGGGTGCCTAAATGTTATACATGTTCATAAATAGTCGATTTCTCTGTTTTCAGAAGTGATATGTTCATCCATGCTAGATATTTAGATACAGACAAGGTTGTTCCTGCTGAAGAATTATGGAGGTAAAGTGACTAAGTAAAAAAAAACGCGACACAAAAAGTATTAATGCCGCTTAACTCTTTATATGTTTAACGATTTAATTTAAACTGTCTTTTGTAAAACAAAAAAAAATACAATCATTTATATCCACCGACCTGGTCATCAGAAATATTGATTTTATTAGAATTATGTCCTAAATCAAACAAAGTTTAAACGTACATTATGCAAAAACTAAATCAGCCTATTGCAGTCTTCCTTTAGGCCTTAAATGCTATAAGAATTATTAATTAGACATTTATTAACATGAAAAGACCTTCGTCAACTCTCGATGCCATCTTATGTTTCGGATTTTCACTGGATTTAAATCCTATCTGCTGCTCAACGCTCATTGATGAATAAATCAAAAATGGATAATCGAGACTTTAGTAATGATGATCGAGGCTAGGCCTAAATTCAATCGCACTGAAATATTCAGCATATTCCTTTGCATTATCTATTTTTTAACTATTATAGTGAGAAATGCCAGCTCTTTATCCAATCTTCCATGATGCCCCTTCAGCGATGAATTGGCGAATTGAAGAAAATAAGTGTACATACCTCGAGTAATCGTGTAACACTATCAGATTAAAGGGACAATATGTAGTTATTAACTTTATTAACATCGGAAACACGTATGAAAGAATTTTCTGTCTAGCTAACTCCATGCATAAAGGTCTAATCGAGCTCAAACAACAAAGGAATTCGATATCATCTTTACCAGATATCATTATTTAAATTGTCTTCAAACGTAGAGAGTTTATGATAGTTAGGATAAGTCACAATGACCGAATGGTTAACGCGTGCGCGTTGTATCATAAGGTCTTGTCATTGAGCCGGCTGTCGTTGTCTCGATTCCCCGGATGTATGTGACAAGGAGTAGGGTCGCCCGTCCAACCTCGTGGGTTTTCTCCGGGACCTCCGGCTTCCTCCCACTGTTTAAGGCCCCTACGCACAAGCAAATTATTGAAAGAAAATTGAACCATATGTTAGTACCGTTAGTCGAGTGGACGTTAACCCCTCCCCCTCTCTCTCTCTCTCTCTCTCGGTTGCTCGGTCTAATTAACATCCCATCTGGCACACATTTGACACCCATCATGGGAACCGTCTGGTGCAAGTCTGTTTAACGTTGCTCACCTGTTCAGTCCAAAATATATGAGAGAGAGAGATGGGGTTTAACGTCCACTCGACACAAACTAGGTCATTTCGGGACTAACACATGGTTCAATTTTATTTCAATTATTCACTTGCGTGTAGGGGTCTTTAGCAGTGGGAGGAAACCGGAGGACCCGGAGAAAACCCACGAGGTTGGACAGGCGACCCTACTCCTTGTCACGTACAACCGGGGAATCGAAACCCCGTCAGTTGACTTAATGACAGACCGTATGATACAGCGCGCGCGTGCTAACCATTCGGCCATCCAACGCCCCTCCAAAATATATGCACCAAAGGGGCATTAAGTCTATAGTTACCAGCCTATCTTAAACAATATCACATGTCAGTCAGGCGGAGAATCAGGAAATCATTAAACCAGTCTATATGATATGCAATTAGATTAATTAATCAATTAAATTCCATCAGCTTCCTATTACAAGACTAATTTTATTTTCAGGGCTTTCGATTTCAGTTCTACGGTCCATGTGATATTAGATAAATTTAATGTAATTGAAACTAGCGTAAGTAGGAGCCAATTAGTAAATTATCATTCCTGTATCTTAATTTTTGTTTTATGCAAAAGATAACGATTATTTACTGCCGGTAGTCAATTTAATAGAATCGACATGCGATTTGATTTACCCTCTCTAATGGACGCAAACGTCATACTTTGGGAGGAAAGAATCGTCTTAAAAGTGTGCGTTAAAAGTATGCAGAATACGTGAGTCACTGTTTATAGTGTATTATATTATTAATATATGTATAGAAAATAAAAAGAAACCTATTCTTGAATCTCTATATATTCAAATATAAATTCCTTTAATTCACAGCCAGTAGCACAACAAGCTGAAAAGAATGACTCTTCAGAAGAAAACATGAAAAAGTCGTTAATTATTGTTACCTCAGGTCTAGCATTAATTGCCATAACTTTAGTTTTAGTTCTTATAAATTTACGATCAAGGTAGGTACATTAATAATGATAATAGAATTTGGGGAATTAATATTAAAAACTGCACATAAAGAGGGCACATTGTGTTGGGGCGGGGGAGGGGGATATTATGTTAGCGTGTAAATAATTTTGAAAAGTCTCATTGTCTAAACGCATCCAGCACATTCGAAATTGAGTTTTCTGTAAAGGATTGGTTCAGTAGTAAAAACGTCTACAAACATATTACCAGTCACAATTTAAGTTATATGTAACCCCGAGCTGAACAACTGGTCTGATAATGCCACCCACTGTAAATTAATGGATTTGTGGGCCTTATTCAGAATATTTAGATCTGGTTTGGGTGGCAGTATAGGTGATTTCGTATTACGTTTAAGTGTGTCTGTGCTTCCATATGCTTTTCGTTGTCTAGGTATCAATGTCTTAAATTTTGTTATCCCTACAAAAAACTTTGTGTTAAAGTATGTTCAATATTACATTACAAATATTGCCATAGTCATACCATCCTGGCATGCGAATTCGGCGAGGAGGTAATCTTGTTGCATATTGAATTGATGGTGTGTATTTGTTTCTTTGTGCACTATCATACATCTCTTAGCTAACTCTTCTGTTTTCGTTACTCTTTACATAAAACAAGGTAAATGTAATTCCTTATATTTCCACAGAACAAAAGAAATATACTTTCCTTTGAATAGTATTGTAATTCTGGGATAATGACTAACACCCATATTTCTATTTTAAATTTACCCCATTTTAATGTACACGCATCATTTATAAATGTGAAAAACCTACGGGCAAATGAAAATTTCCGTATTTTTCCTTGTTAACACAGAGTAGAGTTATAATTATGCGGTTTAACGTGAACTTGACACGATAAGGTAATTATGAGACTAGCATGTGGTATATCTCTACTGTAGATCGGATGCGGGCTGTGCTCTTCAGTAGTGAGAACAAACCAACGAAGCACGTATATACAACGCAACGTTTAAAGTCTTTCAATTTCGTTAACATCGGCAAAGCTGAAGGTTTATTAAAGGTCGACATTGATTGAATATATGCAGAAGAAGAGTAGGGGTTGCATTGCAACGTTAGGTACCATGGAATAAAATTTACAATGGTATACAAGTCTAACGTTAGGCTCATTTTATTCATTTATGCATTCATTCATTTGAATATTCATTGATCATTCATTGATTGATTGATCATTCATTGATTGATTGATCATTCATTGATTCATTGATCATTCATTGATTCATTCATTGATTCATTGATTCATTGATAATTCATTGAGTCATTGATAATTCATTAATAATTCATTGATTCATTGATCATTTACTGATTCATTCATTGATTAATTCATTGAAAGATCATTCACTGATTGATTGATTGATTTATTCATTCAATAAACTGATGGTACGCCGTGTAATATTGAGTTTGAGTTTGTGTAGATAATCAAGGCCTAAACATTCATATTAAGAATGCAACGTTCAAATGCACTACTCAAATATGACATCGGTATAGAGAATACCGTTTGAGCTTAATGAAAAATAAAACTTTATATTTCCAATATAAAATTTATCTGAATTTTATCCAAATTATATCAACAATAAAATAAAGTAAAAGAATAGGTCCAATAAGGAAATATATCTGAATAGATCATAATTATAAAACACTAAAATGAAGTAAAGGGTAAGGGAAATTAAAGAAATATGCAAATATTTGTTTACCTTGTTTCATGTTTACCGCTATAACCAGCTTTGCTGTCTGATAATAATTCTCTGTCTAACAAGGTAATTTCTTTTTTTTATATTATTGAGAACGCGTATCATTCTACACTGACGTGTATTATTTACCAAAAACACAAATATCAGTGTTGTTAATATATAAAAGTGCTAAATCTTTATTCTTTGGCACCTAGAAATGGACACAAATGGGTCGCAGCGCATAATAATGTAATATGAATGTATATAAACTGATTTACATTCAATCGTTTCTGTTTTTACTGTAATTTCTAATCAGTTATGTTCGGCGAGATACGCGATTTAAATTGTTGATTTAAATTGACCATTAAGTCGTGTATGCAATATAGTGATATTGAGTAAAAGCCTTGGCTCCTTTAATGCACAAAGGGGTAATATATTTTTACACTTACGCATATAAAGATCTGCAAGTATTTTAATCTCACAATGTGCATAAATTTTATTTCTAGATATCGAAGACGACTTCGTGCAGCTAGTACTAAAACTTTTGGTAAGATTATGTAACAAAATTCTAAGTAATAGTCCTAACTCGGGGGATGGGAAGGGGGGGGGGGGGTCTGTATACATTTCTCTTTTACAGCGACACTTTGACTTTTCCTGTCCCTATATGTAACACAACCAGGCCAAGTGCATTTTTCTGGACAGGCAAGTTACTGATAATGACTTGACGCCAATGGGCCAAAATAGCAAAAGTCAGTTTTTAATTAATTAATTAATTAATTCAAGAGTTATTTTATTTATCTTGTTTTAAAAGTGGTTCAAGCCAAAAATGACTAAATTATAATCGATTCATTTTCATTTTTTTATGTTTCTTTTATTTATAATCCAACTGTATTATTATTTATGTATTAAAATGGATTCTACGATTAAAAATTAATTCGATTCCTTTGGACTTCATTGTTTACAGTAAAATAAAAAATAAATATTAATACAATTGCATTTAAATTCTTAATGATCACTGGGAGCATATTTCATACCATGAATACACATTTATTTTAAAAGTTTTTACGTCCGTTATATAGTTTATTGCCACATTAAAGACTTGATCTCCAATGCAATGAACAATCCTGTATCATTATGGACAATTGATACACTGCTCTATACATATATTCAACATAATGACCAAAAGGTAAAAGATAAACGATCCAACTTATACCCCGCTACTGATAAATATTCGTACAGAAACTATTTCATCTTTGCCACTGTCAACTCTGGAATATGTACTATAATATATATTTCATACATGCATAGATATGAGAGTCAAATATCATACTTGAATTATTTTAGGCTCATCCAAAGATGCAGTTCCAGATCTCATTTCTCCAGGAACCAATAAATACTATGCTTCTGCGTGAGTATTGTCTATAATGGCCTTTACTGAAATTGCTTACTTAAAGATACATTATGGAAGATTAGATAAAGAGGTGGCAGTTCTCACTATAATAGTTAAAATCTAGGTAATGTAAAGGGGATATGCTGAAAATTGCTTCACTCTAAGCCGAGAAAGCCTTATTTTAAAATTACTGTAGCCTCGATTGTCATTGTTACCGTTGTCACGATAATAAAGTCTCGATTATCCATTTTTTTCGGTTAATCATCAATGGGCGTTGAACAACAGATCGGTTTCAAATCAAATGAAAATCGGACCTCTAAGATACCATCGAGAGTTGATTATGGCCTTTTCATATTAATAAATGTCTAATTATTAGTTAATAATAACATTTCGGGCCTAAAGAAAGACCTGCAGTAGGCAGATTTACCTCTTGCATAATTCATGTTTAATTACTTTGACAATTTATAGATTTATATCTGCGTTTAAAAGCCATTAGTATATGCATTTGATATTAATAAATTGTGAGTTTTTTTAAAGATGTTTGACTGTTGACTAAATGCGAGCAGTAATTATGGCCATGGGTTAAAATTCTGTGTCTAAAGTTTCTTTGCGTGACAAAAAACAATATATTTATAGCAACCCATAAATCATTCATAGAAAACCATGAAATACATATGTTTTACATTTTATAGATCCAACCCTGTTTATATGAAAGAACTGAATATTGATCTAACAGAAGACTCAATGAGGTAGTGTAGTCTTTTCAAGTTTTCGTATAACATGGAAAACGCATCACTTACTTTTTCGTATAACAAAATGATCCTGTAAACATATTTTATTTATTTTGCTTCTTATTGTGAACAATATTCAAATGGGAACACATCAATAACAACACATTTGTACACTTATGGAGGTTTAATCTGTAATCAACGGTACAAAGTCAGAGGGGTCAAAACCAAAAGTACGACACAGATGTCAGTAGCGCGTGTGTCCTCCACGGGCTCTTACGCACGCTGTGCAGCGACGTCGCATGGAATTTACCAATGTTTGAAAGAAGGCCTGGGGCAAATTGTTCTATTCTTGGACAAGAGCAGCGTTTAAAGCAGCAATGGTGTGCATCTGTGGTCTCCGATACAGACGGCGTCCAATCTCATCCCAGACATGTTCTATCGGTGCCATGTCCGGAGACATGGCTGGACAGTCCAAGACATTGATGTTGTTAGCAGCCAGGTAGTCCATACTAAAACGGGCGGTATGCGGACGTGCATTATCCTGTTGGAAGTGCTGAAGTTGTGGGTGCGCTCGAAACATCGGAACAACAATTGGTTGCAAGACATCATCACGGTAGGCTACAATATTAACGCGACCCCTGCAAATGTGTAGGGCGGTCCGGTGATGAAATGTCAAGCCTCCCCACACCATTACACTTCCCCCACCCCATCGATTCGTTTCGAAGACGCAGCAGTCTGCAATACGTTCCCCAAGACGTCTCCACATCAGCGTGATAAAGATGAAAGCGACTCTCGTCACTGAAGAGCACATTTTGCCAGTCTACTCTTCTCCATGTCTGGGGTCCTTGAGCCCATATCAAACGCCGCTGACGGTGATGATCCCTGAGGATAGCTCCAACATAAGGTCGTCGTGCACGGAGTCCTACTTCTCTTAGACGACGTCTTACGATGTTGGCACTTACTGGTCCTTGTCTTCCGACGACTGCTGCACCTGTTCGAGTCGCTGGGCGGAATCTGTCACGCAGATGAGTGACCCGGATGTAGCGGTCTTGAGTCTGGGTTGTAACGCGTTGTGGACCAGGACGTTGACGGTCACGTGTTGGTCCAGTAAGTCTCGGCATCTCTAGCTCGATTCCTTCACACGTCCAACAACAAATTACGACAGATTGACGTTTCACAGTTCATGTACTGCACATTAAGTTGAAAACATGCTTTTAATGGGCTCACACACAATGCTGCACGTGAATATTGTGGTTTTCATGTGCATCTCGTGCATTTTTTTTTGTGCACACGGGCCGATATTGTTTGCGTTTGGGAGCATTGTGTGAAACAATAGTTCATAGTATTGCATAATATTATACATACAAAACCACCTAGTAATAAAATATTTGGGAAAAAAAAGTGATGCGTTTTCCATGGCGCTCAGTATATATTATCACGGTAGCTTAACAGCGTGTCTCTAAAATAAAGATTTAATTGGGCTGATCGATCAGTTATTTCGATTAGTGGAGGGTCAAGCTCTGTAGATCGATTTTCTTGCCGGAGCAGTCAGTAGTAGGTTTGTTTTTCTTCAAATTAAGTTGGTCCGCCCACTGTTATATATCTCAACATTGGTTTAATATAGGGACGAAAAATTTGGATTGCAGTAAGATTGCCACTCAACAAAATAAATTAAATCTCAAATTCAAAGATCAATGAGGCGGTAAATTCTATTTTGCAGTAATATCGTCAAATGCTGCATTCATTTAAATAATTACCCTTTAAAAACACTGAGAAAATATGAGCTCTTAAATAAGTAAGATTTTTTGTTAAAATAATACGACGTAAATAAGCAGTCAATTGTAAGCACGTGACCACAAGTCTTTTAGCAGAAGCGTAGGAGAAAATAAGGAAAATACTAAAATACTATTCCTTACACAGATATTCCTTGCAGTCAGCTAAAATCATGTAATTTTGGCCTTGGATCACCATTGTCTGAGGAATAAAATACATAGATGCGGATTCAGCTATTCAGTATTTTAATAACCAGGTTTCGATTAGAAATGTCGTTCAAACCATAGGAAACTGCTGTAAATAACAAAATAACAAGAAGATTCGAATTTGTTTCAATCCGAAACTTTCCTAACCAATTGAGCATTTTTATCGGGTGTTTCCCAAAATTTACAGTTTTAAAGTTTTTATAGTGTATAAGATTTATTGGGCAGGGAAGGGTCGTGAGGTGAGGATCTGCAATTCATGGGTTTCATCCTGTCGAAGTCTCTCATTTCAAGAACTAAATCGATGCATTTGTTTCTTTTTTTTATTATCGTTAGTCGGAATTCTATTGATGATAACGAAGTTGGTGACAAAAAGGCCACTGACTCTTCAGAGCCGGAAGAACAAGAAATTGCTATCACACTATATGAAGAAAACACGTATAGTTTTAAAGATGCCAATCGTAGTTCAGCTTTAGATTTAGTTTTACAACAATATGAAGAATCTGCAAAAGCTAAGAAGGGCGCTAATTCTCTAAATTCAATATCCGCCAGTGATTTTTCCAATATTGATGATCTGGAGCATTCAGACATTTAACTAACAATGGATTGTTTGTTTAAATATATTCTATAATATGTCGATTGTGAACCTTAATCGTATTAGAATACCTTAGACTGTCTTGGCATCTATTGCTCTTTTAATTCAATATACATTGTTAGTATTGCATAATAAAATATATTACATATCTGCTTTACCCAGCATTTTATTTTTTAAAATAAGATAATATATTAAATTAATATATATTAAATATCTGCTTTAACTAGTATTTTATTATTTGAAATAGAATGACATATTAAATTAAGATTTCCTAAATATACGTTTACACATTTTATACTATAATTTATTAAATTAAGACAAGGATTTCTTGAGTTAAAAGCGTTATAAAAGTATTACTGTAAACGTATTGTTCTATAATTAAAAAATGGGGACAGAACCTGTGTTGAAAACTTTTATTTTTAAGGATTTAAACTGCCGTTAGCTGATAGATTATACGGGCTGTATTCTTATCTTTGCGAATCTATGAAAGAAGGATTTTAATGTAAGCGTACACAGCCTTCACCATAAATAAATTAACTTATATTATTAAATTACTTTTCAATTCATATTCCACGAAGAGGTTCTTTGCATTTGTCTCATAAATTTATAAATATATACAGTTTTATGTTGTATTTTTAGAGCTTTTCTTATTTTCTGTATTTGTATATTCAATTCAATATTATTATTATAAACTACATTTGTTGACGTAAATGAAAGATTGATATGTATGTAAATAAATGTGTATGTAAATTATTTATTTTAATAATAATTAATAAAAGAATCATCATTCAGTTAAATATTGCAATGCAAGAAATAAAACTCATTTGAAAACTTATATAATTAAGTGATCTTTTAATAAGCTTGCATATAGTCGGAAACAGTATGGCTGAACCCTTATCATTAATCGTAATCTACCCGAGCTGCAATCGCGTGACACAGCATGAAGAGTTATTTCAAAATGGCGGCAATATTTGGCGGGACATTTCGATGTTAATACTGGATAGTGTAATACGCCAAATTCATATCTGAAAGGCTGAATGTCCTATGATCGAACTAAACGACAATATGGTTCTCAAACGCGACATAATAGCTAAGTTCAGGATACCATAGAGAATATAGTAATGTAAAAACATTTGTACCAAGAACAACCAACCCAAGGATATTCTCCCCCGTATTATTGTAAGACCACAAATTATACACGGTCAAACACAATGAACTATCGAACCATCGTGAGTTGAAAGCAAATGTTTCTAAAAGCTAACTGGTGCTCACATATTTGTCTTGCCCACCCGCACATATATTTCGCTTTGATCACTGGAATACTCGCAATCGGTAAGAACCTAGACTGACATTTATTAGATCATTCATACGGGTAAAGTTGAGGTTTCGTATGACGCTGGCAAACATTTTCCATATCTTATTCCATATCTTGCGCCATTCAGATATGAAATTGGCGAACACGAAAACCTATAGTTTGACGTTTTACACTATCAAATTAATAACATCGTTATGCCTCCCCAAGTATTGTCGCCATTTTGAATATGAGCTCAATCTGAAATATCCTTTTGTCGGAACATGTTTTTATGTTTATATCCGAAGTAAAATATTACACACCTTAGGGAACTTTATTAGTTTCCCGCCAAAATGAGCCCCATTTTGAATTTGGCCTCCTTGTGGAATTTGCCGTCACTTTTAGTAGGAATACCCAAACTCGTTTGATTCTGCGGGTCAAATTCTTACAGAAAGTCCCTTTAACCCGAGGCCCAAGAGAATTAAATTTCAACAAGGGTGCCAGGGTGGCACCATCGGGATTCAAAATCTACACAAATCGAAGACAGATCATCCACCGAAAACCTATATTTCAATATATTACACACCTTTTTAGAGAACGTTATTAGTTCCCCGCCAAAATGAGCGTCCATTTGAGATTGGCCCTCTCTAGCGGAATTAGCCGTCACTTTTAGGAGGAATACCCAAGCTCATTGGATCCAGCTGGTCGAATTCTTATAGATACCACCTTCAGGCCGAGGTCCGACATACTCTTCGCAGTGTTTCGTTTGATTAGTGCTAATCCCATTTAATACTGCTGTAAAGGAAGCAAATTTCTGTTCCAAATTATTACTGGTCAATAGTCCGATTAACAACCAATAGCTATCTGCGTAACAATATCAATACGCTTTAAACAGAGCTCAAAATTGGACCAAATGTGTTTACATAACGTTACGTCATGACTCACGATTTTATTATGCCCAATTAATCAATACATAGCAAAATATTACAGAAAAATAATTGCGTGACAAACGAGGCTATCAACACGAATACCATGTAAACAATACTGTTTGGAGACAAACAATACTTTCATCGTTTTTAATACCTTAAATCACTGTCCAAAGTTTTAGGGAAGACTCCAGATTAAACGAAGAGTTGTTATGTTGCTGTGCTTGGGATAGATTTGATTGAACGGGAAGAATAGACACACTCCCTCAAAAGCTCAAGTATAAGAAGCCAATCCAGCAACGGCAAGAGAGGGATTTCTCGGGCCATTGCTTCAGGAATATGAGGTCCGAAAGAATCTGTAACTAGTTTTACCCCAATAAATAACCAGAAAATGCCCCATGGCGGCCACCATGAATATTTCAATTTCCACAAGCGTGCCAGTGTGGCATCATCCGGATTCTGAACCTATACATACTGAACATATATAATCCATCAAAAAACATAACGTGGACTATATTTCCACTGCTGCCGGACTAAGAACATCTTTGAGGCGTGGTGTTTGGTGGCGACAGAGATTGGAAGATCACACAATTGAATTGCTTTGTACTCCAATTTCATGAGATAATCCTGCTAGTAGTCGTTCAGTTCTTTTTTGTCGTCTTGAATTAAGACGTTTATTGGGTCCATTGTTCTTTTATTATGGTTGGAGTTTATGATTGGATATACCCGTTTGTCGTCAATTATTTTAAGGACTTTTCTCCCATAATATCGAGCTTCCTTGACAACGATGGCACACAATGATGGTAGATAATTAACCAAAACTTTCTCTTATCTCTTGACAGTCAATTCTTATTATGAACAGATATCCTCTCAGAATATCATATAACAACTCCTCGTCTTCAACGGAAAGGGCAATGAGTTGAAAATCAACTGTGTATCTGTTATCGCTATCTACCTCAGCCAGTGAGGATAACTCGTGTTTTCTTTTTTTGCGCCACTTTCCGATTTCTTAATTCTTTGTTACGGATCAGAGAAATCTATGTTAAAATTATATTTGGAATCTAGTTAACCAGTTTTATCACATAATGTATGTATAATTGGTGTACACGAACATTGTCCTTTAAAGCTACAATTTCACATTTTTAAGTTATATTTTTAAAATGTATTAAAATAAAGCCTTAAAATCGACGCTATGTATAAACAGCCCTAAAATTAATCCTATTAATCCTATATGTAATTCACTATTGCCAGTTGAGAAATTCGCAAAAATATCATTTTCAACTTCAAATTCAAACGTTTGAAGATAGCTATTCCATGGTAGGGAATAGAAAAACAAGGGAGGTAATTAGGAGGTAATTGTATTATTATTTCCGGTGTGAAACAGTTTTGATTGTGAGAATGATAACTATGATCGTATAATAGTGAGTTGACAACCTATTGAGCAAAAGACATAGAAATAATTATGTTTTGACTTTCTTAGAATATATGAAATTCTCGCTTTAAACTTGCTTGAAAATGCCCATATTAAAAAAATCACGAGATAGTGTCATTGTAACGTTATGCCTAGTCAAGAAGTGGGACCACAACGTCAGTATTTCTACTCAAATAAGTAGCAGTAATAAACTTCATACTTGTGTATGCTTTTACTAGATTTTATTCAGTGCGGGCAGGATATACACGACAAAGTGTGCAAGACTACAGGAAGTACAAGCCGGTTTGTTTAAAACACGGATGGACATTGGAAGAGGGATATCGTTACACCTTTCCTTCTAAACTAAAATTGTCTTATTTATAAAATAAAGTGAACGTTTTAAAGTCAGTATATTTACTTCACTAGCTATGTCCTGAATATGTTTAGCACATTTAAATATATGAATGTTCTTCAAATAAAGTTCAAACACACTGTGAACACTTTTGACAGGTTAGATAATAGATTTTAAGATGATACACACTAAAATATATCACAATTTTAGTTGAGCATGCATGAACTTTAAGAAAAATAACACAAATATAGCCACTATTTCAATTACTACTGATTTTTATATATCTATATAGCTTATTTAATTTTCTCAGATGATACCACACAAATCTGACTTATTACTTTGAATAATCTTTGAGGTACTTTGGTGTTTTGACAACTCTTCCACTACGCGAAGACACACTTGTGGATGGTACAGGTAATACCGGTTCAGTCTCATTCCTTGTAGGAGTTATTACAGGAGTCGGTGACATAACTCTTGATTCAGGTACACGCGGCTTTAATGTTTACTAGGAGTTGATTTTGAGACTTCTGACTGTGATCTTGATGGGGTTGGTTCCGGCTGTATTACAGGAGTAAAAAAATGTGTTAAATGATTCAGATGAGGTTTTCAGATATTTCCGATTCCTCCTATAGACTCTTCCATCTTCTGCTCTAACATCGTATGACCTAATATCAACTTGCTGTTCAACTCTGGCTTTGGTCCATCTATTTCCTTTATCATGAGTTGAAGGCTGAATTCTAACGATGTCACCAGATTTAAGTTGAGGTAGCTCTTTAACACATTTGTTGTAATTCCGCGACTGTTTAAGTTTTCTATTGAACAGTTTCTGTTTAACAGATACAGGGAACTCTGGATCTAGCAATTTTCTGGCAGTTGGTATGGTGGTTCTAGTTCGGCGATTGAATAATCTTTGAGCAGGTGAAGTTCCCAATATTTCACTTGGTGTATTTCGCCAGTCGAGTAGTGATGAGTAGAAATCTGAACCACTATCTTGAGCTTTTTTCATGAGCATCTTTGCTATTTTGACGGCATTTTCAGCCTTTCCATTACTTTGAGCATATTCTGGTGAGTTGGTAATGTGCTCAAAGGAATACTGGCTTGCAAACTGTCGGAATTCTTTTGAGCTGTACGGCACGTTGTCACTGTAAAAGCGATCTGGAATTCCGTGAGTGGCAAATATCCTCTTTGTTTTCTTTATTACTTCAGATGCAGTTTTTTCATACAGGCGGTCAATTTCAAAGTAATCCGAGAAGTAATCAACCGTGCACAGATAGTCCTTATTTTTGAAGGTAAATATATCTGAAGCCGCAGCTTCCCAAGCTCTTATTCCAACATCTCGACATATGATTGCCTCTTTTTGTTGCTTTTTTTGAAAGGTATTGCAAGTTTCACATTTAGAGATGTAATCTGCCAAATCCTTGTTCATCCCAGGCCAATACACTACTTCACGGGCTCGTCTAAGGCATGACTGTATACCAGTATGTGAATTGTGTAATTTGGTTCGAATCTTTTGGCGCAGACTTGCAGGCACAATACACCTGTAACCTTTATAAATTATGCCATCCTGAACGGCCAACCCATCCCGGCTGGGATAGTAAACTCTCAAATATTCCGGCAGACTGGAACTGTTATCTGGCCATCCTTTCAAGATAATGCCCTTGAGGGACAGTAGGACTTGATCCTCTGAAGTTTCCTTCTTGATTTCCT